CGTCCAACACTGAGTTTTCCTAGCAAGGTTTTAACGAGACAACATAAGCACGTCCAACACTATATCAAGTCCCAAACGAAGTTGTACTCTTTTTCATTCTCTTAGGTTTTTTTTTCATTGGGTTTTTCCTAGCAAGGTTTTAACGATGCAACATAAGCGTCCAACACTATATCAAGTCCCAAATGAAGTTGTACTCTTTTTCCTTCGCTTAGGTTTTTTTTTCACTAGGTTTTTCCTAGCAAGGTTTTAATGAGACAACCAATCAAAGCACTTGTGGGTATCTAAAGGGAAGTATTGTAAATATGTGGATGGCCCACAACTATTAGGATGAAGACTTTTGTGTATTGTAGGTGAAAGTAAGAAGGCTAAAGTTAAGATAAAGTGTAGAAAATGTTTACAACACTCGGTGAATTGCTTAATATTTAAGGGTACTTTGATGTTCCATCTATTTTATAACAAACATGACAGTTTCATGTAAGGAACAATTTAAACTTCGAAGTTGCAACACGTGTTGTACCCAAAAAAAAACAAGTAGTAACATGGCGTCTGAAACCTTGATTATTTTAAGGAAACGTAAATCTGTGTGGGAAAAGGTTTATATGAAACTTGTTGAATTTGGGGATGTGGATTTGCTACCAAACTCCAAAGAGCAACCTCTGAGTCAATGCAGAAGGGGAGAAATTCCGAATCTGGGTCCCATGTGCCTAACTCGACACAACGTGGCACATATTCAACCCCCATTTGTTTAGTAATTGGTTTCAAGTTTGAACAAATACACACACACTACAGGTCTTTACTGGCATAAGATTCAAGACAGAGCATGCATATGTGTGGAGTGGAGTTGGGTGGTGGAGGACAGGTGCAACTTCTTTCGATCTCACGAGCCACCACGTTGCATTGCATGTAGATTTTCATCTAATGGTCACCCATTACAAATTTAGAACCATCATACCCTTTGACGGGTAGATCCCTTCTTCATCTTCTTTCCTCCTTGATATATAATAATCTTTTCTTTTCTTATTTGTCTTTCATAAAATTGATATTTGATATGCATTGCTTCAGATTTATTGCAATTAAAAATTGTTTTGTTTTGTTTTGTTATATATATATATATAAAAGGACATCTAATTAATATAGGGCTACATATTGTGATCAACTCTACAAAAATTAACCAAATTTACTTACTATTTAGTTATCTAATTGCGAATAAATAGATAGAGGAATACAATATTTCTAATAAACATTAAAACAATTTCCAACAAAACAAAGTGAACACTAAGGCAATCATGATCATATCAAATGGCAATATTTTTTTTTGTTGAGCTAGCTAACTTTTGCAAGAATGACACTTTAAAATCTATAACATGAACAGTTTGGGCTCTCCGGTGTCATACTGTTGTGCGAAAACACTACAAGGCCTTGTCGTTGATGCACTACGCAACAATCACACACAAGGCACGCAAAGAACACAAGAATTTATAGAGGTTCAGCTTTGTGCCTATGTCCTCTTGGTTATCCCCGAGAAATTTACTAGTATGAAATAACCCCCTTTGATCTCTCACAAACCCTAGCTCTCTTTTCTCTCACCATTGACTCAAACCCAATTTGATGCCTTAGCTTTCTCACGTTATCAAAACCTAGCGCTAAAGTGCTTATTTATATGTCATAAGGCTTTAATGCAATTATAAAAGGAAGAAAACTTAAAGGACCATACAACTAGGAGAAAATATGTCCAGATATGATAAGGATGCGCGATGGATTCGTGTCTTGCTCGAAAGCCTACATCTCCTCGTGTCTGAGTTCTACTACTCGAGCGCCTGTAGCTTTTGCTTGAGCGCCAGAGCCCAGCCAACACATCTGCAACTAGTTTAACTGTCCGTTTCCTTCAATCCTTTCGCATCTTTAAGGTAAGCCAACATCAACAATACTTTGGGAGCCATCGGTAATATTAGATTTCTGGGGCACAAAATTTAAGTTTGTTACAAAATATTAGGAGTTTTTAACAATGTTCACCACTCACATTTGCAATTTTTTGAATTCATTAAGAGGAAAGGGAGTACAAAAATTGAACTTTTGACATTTATTGGCGTTAGGGCAAAGGATTCTACCAGTTTGAGTCCAAATGGAAAACACTCCTATGAGTGAAATTTAAAAAAAAAACAAATAAACGTGTACTCAACACACATTATCATATTCACAAAACACCCTTACATAAATAAAATATTTATTTCGTTTGTAGTAATTTTGAAAGAGAGTAAAATTGTCATTAAATGTCTTTCCACCTTGAATAAAGCCTTGTTTTCAGATTACGTATGGATTTTTTTTTTTAATACAAACAATAGTCTAGGCCTGGCCTATAGGGCTGGGCAACGGTACAGGGCCCTCCACGTACCTCCATTAAAAACTTCTCGAACTCCTCAGTTTTCTTCTTTGATCTCTCAGTCAAAAATTCGCCACTTTTTTTTTTCTTTTCTTCTTCTGATCTTGGTGTATGTAAGTTCTCTAAAGGTAATCTGATTTCGTTTAAATTATTATTATTATTATTTTTTTTTAATGTTCTTGCAATAACATACCCCATACGTTTTGTTTGTAAAGACATTATTTATAAATTCTTTTTTGCAAAAACCATATGCTACATCAAATTCATATAAATTGCTCCAAATTTATTCACTGGCGCTCTGTTTCTTATGTTTTTATTTGATTGGTGGCTTTATTATTCTTGTTTTGTTGGCCTTTTGTGGGTGCATAATGAAGCTTTATTGACAAAAAAAGAAAAAGAAAAAGGACATGTATAACCTTTTATGTATCTAATTGGAGTTAAGGTGTGATTAAAGATATGTATTATGAATTGCATGATTTAACTATAATTTTTTCTTTGTAGATTTGCAATGTATCATCCTCTTTGTAGTAAGTTTTGGAAAGATTTGCATTTTTTTTTCTTTTTTTCTTGTTAAACTTAGCTGGTATACAAAAGAGAAGGGCCTCAATTTAATTTATGTCATGGACCACCCAAAAGTTAGAATCAGCCCTGAGTCTGACTAGATGGCAATGTGGTTGTACTTGGATGAGTACACTTTTCGTCATAAGGTGTGGACATATTCTTTTTCGAGTATTTATTCAAAGGTTTTATATTTTGAGTAATGCTACACTTACCACATTTTTATTCCACATTTCTATACCATATGATGTGGCATGTCCATATCATATGCCACATCAATTAAATGAATGAAGTGTATTTTAATAAATAAAATTAGAAAAACAGAAACTATTATTTTACATGATGTGGTATGTACACATCAGCTGCCACATCATGTGGTATGAAATTATGGTATAAAAATGTGGTAAGACTAGTATTATTCGTCTATAAATTATAAACTTTGGGAAACTTAGTGACCAATTTGGCTATAAAAAAATCCTCATTGACCAAATTTAATTTTCATGTAAAACCCAATGACCAAAAATGTATTTAACCCTATTCTATTTTATCAAAAAATTATATTATTATATTTTTCAATATCATTTGGAACTTAATTAGCAAATTTCATTAAGCAAAAATCACTCGTGAGAATCGAGACAGGATTTACAGAATTCGTGATATGTTGTGCCTCTATTTTTGTTTTCGTTGTCAATAATGAAGAGAGATTCTCCAATAAGTATTTTATGTCCCTTTGTCTTTTTATATACCATTGAAAGTTTCCGAGAAAATAGTAATAATAATAAAATTGTTCGTTTTCTTTGGTGCGTGTGCTGACTGATTTCTGCATCCAAAAGAAGCGGAGAAAAGGTCGCTATAAAAAGGGGAAAATCAGAGGTAAAGAGAAAAATCGGAATTTGGAAACAAAGAAAATATCTGTTCATGTATTATGCAAGCAAAAGCAATGGTGAATTTTAATTGGACAGAATAAAAATAAATCACAGAACGAGACAAGTTAAGAAATTGGCAGTTTCAATCATTGACATGAAAACAAAGATGCATAATTTAAAAGAAAAAACAAATAGAAAAAGAAAGAAAGAAAATAAGAACTCTATTCTAGCATGGCAAGTATGGTTTGGACCGTTTGGAATTCAGCTCCAGAGATTAGTAGGTTCCACTGTCCAGCTCCCTTGCTTGCACTCTCTTGGTTTTTTTATATTTATATTTCCTTTAATTTTCTTATTTAATTCATTACTGCCTAATCTTTCACTCCCACGCCACTCGCAGTTGCAGAGTATGAATTCTTGGGAATTTATTCAAAATCATTTTCATCTCTCCTTCTATCCGGGTCTGTTCCAAATTCAAGTCTCTGAGAATTCCGAGTTATCCGGAACTGAAACTCAGTTGTGAGTGAGAAGTGAAGTGGTTCAGTCTTAACTACAGTTGACGGATGTTGAAGGGTTGTTGGCAAAAGCTGCTTAAACCTCTCTCTCTCTCTGTGTTTCTTTCTCTCTCTCTTACTTTCGATCTCGATTGAGTTTTAGAGGTATTCTGGATCTTAAACTGCCAAATAATATTAGTAAATTTGTAAAACTTGAGGCTGTATTTGTCTGTATACCAAGATTCTGCCTAAGAAGCCAGCCAGCCAGTCCTCACCCATCACCCATTTTAAGATACTTACGTTGTTGCTTTGGAAGCAGAGGTTACAGTGAGCTGAGCTCTCTTGTTGTCCAAGGTTACTCTCTCTCTCTCTCTCTCTCTCTCTCTCTCTCTCTCTCTCTCAACGGGTCCCTTTTTATTAAATTCAGTTGTGGGTGCTCCATATTAACTTACATTTAGCAAACTCTCTGTGCCAAGCCTCACCTGACCCCCTGAAGAGGTAAGCAATCTAAAGGATCTGTTGCATTCTGGGACAGGGAGATGCAGAGACCCATTAGCCCTTTTGCAGTGAGAAATGGTTACTTATGAGTGAGCTAGATCTGGGTCTTTCTATAGTTGGAATGATTTATTAATTTTGTGATGTGGGTACTTTTTTCCTTTCAGGTTTGTTTGAGATTGGGGGTCTCGTTCATTCATTGGTGAAAAGATGAGGAGCGCTATGATGGTGGCTATTGCTGCCACAATTGGTAACCTTCTGCAAGGATGGGATAATGCTACAATTGCCGGTACAGATTTCTATATCTGTTTGTTTTAAAGTTGTAAATTTAGACATGTTTGAACTAGAATTTCAAGCCTCCTCCATTCTTGTTTGGGCAGTCTCTGTGCATTGGGATTCAAAGTAATTTTGTATTTTCCCAGGAATTTTATCTGCTTAGCTAACTTCAATCACAGAGTTTGTCCCAATTTGTTTTGTTAACTTCATGTTTTCCCTGGTTCTCATTTTCTGCTAATATAGTAATATCTAGTTACTTCTTTCTTCTATGATTTCAGGGGCTATTGTTTACATAACGGAAGATTTCGATTTGGGAAGCTCTCTAGAAGGCCTTGTTGTGGCCATGTCACTCATTGGCGCAACAGCTATTACAACATGCTCAGGAGCCATATCAGATTGCATTGGTAGGAAGCCAATGTTAATAGCCTCATCAGTCCTTTATTTTGTGAGTGGCTTGGTAATGGTTTGGTCGCCCAATGTCTATGTACTATGTATAGCAAGGCTATTAGATGGATTTGGAATTGGTCTAGCAGTTACTCTCGTCCCGCTCTACATATCTGAAACTGCCCCAGCAGATATAAGGGGATCATTAAATACTCTTCCACAGTTCCTTGGTTCAGGCGGCATGTTTTTATCATATTGTATGGTTTTTGGGATGTCACTGATGAACTCACCAAACTGGAGACTGATGCTCGGTGTTCTTTCCATTCCCTCTATTATCTATTTTCTATTAACGGTATTTTACTTGCCTGAATCTCCTCGATGGCTTGTGAGTAAGGGCAGGATGCTTGAGGCAAAGAAGGTTCTCCAGCAGTTACGTGGCACTGAAGACGTTTCTGGTTTGTTGCTTATTACTTGCTTGCAATATAATGTTTGTATGTAGAGATCCTGATTCCCAAATGCATATCATCTGTCTCTTGTTTCAGTGGATCCAACTCTTAAAGCATTGTCTCATGCACTGAAATGCGCGTGCTAAAATTCTTATCATAAATTCATGCATGATTCACTGAACTCGATAAAGATTCAATATATTTTAGGACAAAAAGCTGCATATTATCGTTATGGGTAAAAGATACTCGGAGTTGTCTTTTCTACCTTTGGTTTCCAATTTAAAGTTTAATGTTCTTTCTTATTGAGAGAAATAGTTTTCGCTTGTAAAAAAGTTGTTTAGACATTTGGTTAAATTATTACTAATGCTTGTAGGAAAATGCATTACTTATGGAGGAATTATGTTCTCAGACCTTTTCTATTCAGTTGTAACTATGACTAATTTATCATGTGAATCTTGCTAATGCATCATGGTTTATAGGTGAAATGGCTTTGCTGGTTGAAGGTCTTGGAATTGGGGGTGAAACATCTATAGAAGAGTACATAATAGGCCCCGCTGATGAACTTGCTGATGATCAGGAACCAGCTGACAAAGACAAAATTAGGTTATATGGACCTGAGGAAGGCCTTTCCTGGGTTGCCAGACCTGTCACGGGACAGGGTTCCCTTATTAGTCTTGTCTCTCGCCAAGGAAGCATGGTAAACCAGGGTGTGCCTCTAATGGACCCTCTCGTCGCTCTGTTTGGTAGTGTCCATGAAAAGTTCCCAGAGACTGCTAGTACCCGTAGCATGCTTTTTCCTAACTTTGGGAGCATGTTCAGCACAGCAGATCCTCGCGTTAAAACTGAACAATGGGATGAAGAGAGCTTGCAGAGGGAAGGTGAGGGCTATGCATCTGACGCTGCAGGGGGAGACTCAGATGACAATCTGCATAGTCCATTGATTTCACGCCAGGCAACAAGTTTGGAAAAGGATTTAGTGCCCCCTGCTTCCCATGGCAGTGTTCTAAGCATGAGGCGGCACAGCAGTCTCATGCAAGGAACAGGGGAGACAGTTGGTAGCACAGGCATTGGTGGTGGCTGGCAATTGGCATGGAAGTGGTCTGAGAAAGAAGGCGGGGATGGAAAGAAGGAAGGAGGATTTAAAAGGGTATATTTGCACCAGGAGGGAGGCCCAGGCTCCCGTCGTGGGTCCCTTTTGTCACTTCCTGGTGGTGATGTTCCTGCAGAAGGTGAGTTTATACAGGCAGCTGCTCTGGTCAGTCAGCCTGCTCTATATTCGAAGGAGCTTATAGATCAGCATCCAGTTGGACCTGCAATGGTTCATCCATCGGAAACAGCTTCAAAAGGACCAATCTGGGCTGCTCTGTTTGAACCAGGGGTTAAGCATGCATTGTTCGTTGGAATAGGAATCCAGCTTCTTCAGCAGGTAGTAAATAGTTATAATTTATAAAAATTTATAAAATTCTCATTTCTATCTTATCTGACATTTTGTTCATTGGGATTGGCAAAATGTGATACTTTTTTCTGGCTAACTTTCTGAGAATGACAATCATCGAGTTTATTTGATGTGATTCATGATGTTTCCTGAGCCAGTCCTAGCGATGTAAAAAATGTCTGGCACATAGAACGTCCATTTTGTTATGCATTGTTCTTCATTTGCATCTGAATCTATAATTTTTTATTTATGACATTTTCCTAATCCCTTCTCAGTTAGAATATCTCCCTTTTGGTGTTCTCAGGGGAAACTAATGACTAAAGTGTTCCTTAAATTTTTTTCTTTGACCGGCAACTAAAGTGTTCCTTAAATAATTGTGCAGTTTTCTGGCATAAATGGGGTTCTGTACTACACTCCTCAAATTCTTGAAGAGGCAGGTGTTGAAGTTCTTCTTGAAGACTTGGGTCTCAGTACACAGTCTTCATCCTTCCTCATAAGTGCATTCACAACTTTGTTGATGCTTCCTTGTATAGCCATAGCCATAAAGCTCATGGATATCGCTGGTAGAAGGTGATTAATTCTTCTGTACTTTTATTTATTTTTAATCTGACCAGAAACTCTTCAGTTAGGGTTGCTCATATCCAAGGTCTTATCTTTTAACTATAACTTTTAACAAATTGCTGTGGCATTACACGAAAAGCTGGTTTGGCTGTCAGCAAATGACAGTCTGCATTAAGCTGCCTTATGTTTTAAGATAGTGGTCCTATGCAGCCTTCTTAAATTAATTTCTATTTTATAAAATGTTAAACATTTGTAAGATGTGAGGCTAAGGCTATCTCATGAAAGGAAGTAGTGTAATAGTTTTGCGGTCGGGTGATTCTTGACAATCTGCTAAAATTAAGTCTCGCTCCTTAAGAGCTCATTAACTTAAAAGGTTCTTTCTGTTGGCTTAATTCATTTTTTTTTACTTGGTGCACTGTCCTAAAGATTTAATTTGGAACTCTGGCTTATTTTTCGTTTTAGAGGAAGAAATTTAAGTTTAAATCTTAATTAAGCATTCCTTATTGCAGGACGCTGCTGCTGACTACAATTCCTGTGTTGGTAGTGTCACTCGTCATCCTAATCATTGCCAACCTTATGACCTTGGGTACAGTTCTTCATGCGGCGTTATCAACCATTTGTGTTATCATCTATTTCTGCGTCTTTGTCATGGCCTATGGGCCAATTCCAAATATCCTCTGCTCGGAGATCTTTCCGACAAGGGTACGTGGCCTCTGCATTGCCATATGCGCCCTGGTGTACTGGATTGGGGACATTATCGTCACCTACTCACTACCTGATCTGCTTGATTCAATAGGCCTAGCTGGTGTCTTCGGTATTTATGCTGTGGTTTGTGTCATTTCCTTTATATTTATCTTCTTGAAGGTTCCAGAAACCAAAGGCATGCCCCTTGAAGTCATTACTGAATTCTTTGCTGTTGGTGCAAGACAAGTCGCCGCCGCCAAAAGTGAGTAATTGGAAGCTTTTATCTGTTTGCTAGTTCTGCAGTTTGTGGCGTCCTCCCATCTTCTGTACGGAGATTTTGCTCGTTGTACTGCATTTTATATTCAAACAGCGTCATTCTTCAATTTTGATTGTGTATGATAACCTAGATTATTTGGAGATAATAATACTAAAAAGCTTAGCAGAGATGGTTGATTCATTGACTATGGAGGCATCCTACACCATGTCCTTATTTAAATAAAGCATTCAAATAAATAAATTTCAGGTTTACGATTCTACATGCCCCTCTGAAAACCTCTCATCACTCGTTTTGCCATGAAAACATAACATTTCTCTTCTTGCACTTCTGCTTAATTTCAAGTCCCTGTTTCCTCTTGATCCTGGCCATCAGAACCATCCTCATTATCAAGGTCATTGACTATCAGGGTAAATAACATCAACAAGCAGGTGTTCGATTCAGTTTAACGATGACTACTAACCGAATTTCAGTCTAATCAAGAACAAAAATCAGTATATAAAAAATATCAGATAAAGTAAGGGGTACACCATTCTGGAGTATTAAATTGTCATCTACAAACAGTATATTTAAGATACGGAACTACATGACTCTATATACAGCCCAACCTGAACTTTTTAAACCGGATATCTCAAGCAGCTACATCATATTTCAAAACTTTAGGTTGCAATTCAATACGATATCTGGACCTGCTAAGTAAAACTCAGAGTCCCAGTCGTCCTCGTTGAGTAATTTGACGATCCACAATGATAGAAATAGAAGCAACGATTAAATTCAATCATGTGTTTCCTCAGAGGGCGACATAATTCCAAAGGAATTTGGGCCACATTCTGACAACAGCGGCTTGGAGTTACCAGCTTGATTATTGATGGGGCTTTCTTCTCCATGCTCAGGTGACTTGGGACCCGACTTGAATGCTTTCACAAAATCACTATCATTGCTAGAGTCCATCACTAGCCTGTTCAGCTTTTGCTCCTACAAAAAATAAAAACCGCTAGAAATTGTTAAAGTAGAGCATCATTGCAAGGTTTTTTTCCCCTTTCTATTCACAACTGCAATGTATTAATGTATTACAAGTGCTTACCCTCTGCAGTGCTTCATGCTCAGCCTGAATTCGAAAGGGAACACCACGTTTCTGATACACATTGTTTTGTGCTAAGTCTTCATCAATGTCACCGGCAGTGGTTGCAAAAGGATGATTGGCAGGAATCCACCTAACCGTATCAGGGTCAACATCAGGAGGTATTGATTCCCCTTCCTTTAGGAATATTGTCGGTCTCTTCCACTTGTAAGCCCGCGATCTCCTTTTCTGATGGACAGCTTGCTGCTCTTCTGTAAGGGTAACTGGGGCTAGGCGATAAACCTTTCCACACATCTCTACAGTTGAATTGCCTTTACCAACCTTAACCAATGGATTATTGAATGGGTCATCATACTTGAGAGGCTGTGAACTGTGAAATACGGGCACCGAACATTTGCAAAGGGCAAAACATAAGTAAACACTTGCAATTTAAAAGTTTTCAAACTTATGCCCTAAACAATTCTACACAACGACAACGAGAAAAAGGGTTGGAATCATACATGCCTCTTCTATCAGATCTAAGCTGGCCACGTCTAACAAGATCAGCTACAGAGCCAGGACGATTGTACTTTGATTTCCTCACCGCATACACTCTCAAAGCAATGACCAAAAATGCAGCTACAATACATAAACCAATTGCCAAATTGGATCCCACTCTTTGCCGCATCTGATTATTATTCGGAAAAAAGAAGAAGAAAAAAGTTAAACCAGTTTCAAATTGCAAATATATAAACTAGCCAATGTACAGACACTGAAATAAACCCGGAAAAAGAAACCGAGTACTTTTTCCAACATTTCCATCACAGAAACCCCAATATTAAAAATGAAAATCTTACCGAGTAGACGACGGGAGAGAAGGAGCTGATAATTCCGTGCAATTCGCCAACAGTGTCTTTGAGATTTATGCCATTTTTGTTCTTACTCTTCACTACCCCATCATTACGGAGACTCTGGTCTTGACCAGCAGAGGAGCTAACCGAGCCGTCAATGGCTCTCAATAGAAACCTCTGACTGGATATTAATCGTCCAGCCCAGCTGAGCTCACCATTTCTTGACCCGAATTCGGGTCTAAGCTTCAGCAGGAGGGAAGGGGTTCGATGCTTTGAGACCAAATGTGAGAGCTATGATTCAGAATTCAATGCCAAAATCAAATCAGTGAATAGAACTAATAGTAATAATTTGTTGCAACGATTGAAAAAGCTTCAGAAACATACCGGAAAGGGAAGGACTTGGAGAGTCGAAATGGAAGCCATTAGATTAGAGGATGATTGAGTGCTTCAATTTCATACCTGAGAACGAATTGGGGCTTAGGGTTTTGAAGATGTTACCATTTGTGTGAAGGAATTACGTGCCGTTTGTAATTGTAGGGCTCAAAGAACAGGGAACTTGTTAGTAATCACTGACAAAGTAGTGCACTTTGAATTTGTGAGTTCATCGACGTCAGAAATTGGGAATGAGATAATCAGTTCGATATTCGATTCTGAACTGAGTGAGGAAAAAAAAATCAGAAGAAGAAGATGCGGAGGAGATTTACTGCCTGTTGGATCAAACGGACGGTGAGGATCTAATTTTAAAACAAAATAGTGCGAGTGCACCTTGAATTTGTGAGTTCTTTTTCGCTTGATTTGGAGAATCACAATACACATCATTCGCATAATTGCTCAAGAACACTAATTAGTGAGTTAATGTGGCTCTAATCACATAATTTATTTATTAGATCATCATCGAATCAATGATGATCTCTATGAAAAATTCACTCAAATAAAAAAACATTTAGTTATCTAACAATGACCAAATAAATAGACGAACATAATATTTTCGATAAATAAGAAATTGTTCACAATAATACTCAACTGGCTAGACGATTTTTGATTTGGATAAAACTTTGTAGGAATGATCTTCGAATTATGACATGAAAAATGAACCGTTTGAATTATGAAATATATTGTGTGTTAGGCTCAAGCAAGTGGTTAAGCATTTGAACGGGATTAATTTGTGGTATATTGAAAGAACTACAATTAGAAATAGTTAGAGAATGGCATGGTAGGTTGGACAAATTTGAGAGTCAAGTAAACGGATCGGATATACCTCAATTCAAATTCAAATTCATTTATAATCAAATTATTGGATCTAGATCGTATTCAGAATATCATATTCAAATTGGATCAAATTATTATTGAATTTATTTTGAGATGTACAAAAAATCAAAATTCCATTAGTAGCCTCGTTCTTTTATTCTATTTATCTGTTTTTTATATCAATTTTTTATACTTCATCATAAAAATTAGTTTTAAGTGTATTTTTTAGTGCATATAAAACTAAAATTACTCATTTACACTTGTATTTATCTACTTTTTATATTAATTTTTGATATTTTATCATAAAAATTAGTTTTAAGTGTATTCTTAGTGCATATAAAACTAAAATTACTCATTTACGCATATAAAATACTAATATAAAGCATAGAAAAATTAAATTTTACTTCATACTAAGTCGGATTGGATAAACTATAATTCATATCCAAATTCATTTATAATCGGATTACTGAATTCGCATTGTAATTAGATTATCGAATTAAGAAGTTCAATCCATCTCCTATTAATTACACCGGATTCGGATAGAATTCAGATCAAAATCTGATCCATTGACAGGTCATGATCATCTAAGTTACAAATTCTATTTGCTCATTAGAACTCAAGGAAATGAACCCTTCCCCCCACAAAAAAAAAAAAAAAAAAAAAAAAAAAAAAATAAATCTTTTTGGTCACTATGTTATACTCGAAAATTCAATTTGGTCACTTAGAAAAAAATTTAGCCAAATTGGTCACTGTGTTTCCCAAAGTTTACAATTTATAGACATTTTGTTATCTTCCGTTAAGTTCCACTCCACCTTCAAAGCACATGCTTTTCACCTTTCAATTATTTTCTTCAAGGTGATAAAGCACCAAAATATATTGGTAAGTTGTAGATTTCATTTTAATTTGGTTTGACCTTTTGATTTTCCTTATACCTCACAATTTCGATTTCAACCCAAAATTTCCCAAATTTTGCTAGACCCCTTATAGCACAAATATACCCTAATTCGTTGAGTTAGAGTAAGAAGACTAAAGGGGCTTCCTATAAAAATAAAAATAAAAACTACACTTAACAAAAGATAACGGAATGTCTATAATTTGTAAACTTTGGGAAACACAGTGACCAATTTGGCTAAATTTTTCTCTCAGTGACGAAATTGAATTTTTGTGTAAAACCTACCTAGTGGCCAAAAAAGTATTTAACCCAAAATAAAATCATCTCAAATGAAATGTTTGGGTTGCTCAAATTACGGTAGGAAAATGTTGGACATAACATAACAAGGAAACTTCAAAAAACCAACGTGAAAGTTTGAGGTTGAGAAATAATAGGAAATACCATTTGCCAAAGAAATATTAAATGGTTTTGATTAAAGAAAAAAAAAAGAGTAAAGTTTCTCGTCAACTTTTCTGACATTGTTCTGTAATTCTACTTATATGAGAGCTTTCATAAACAAGACCATACTCTCATCAAGATCAACAATGACATGAGATTTATTCCTATTAAATAAAATGAGATTTAATTTGCGTTGGTATGATTTACAGATAATTTACGCACAAAAGGAAACTAAAATACGTACACATATATACCAACCGTCTGTCGGTCAGTAACAGAGCAGTTGGTGTGAACAAGGGAAAAACCATACATGGTATCAAAAGCAATGCAATACTTATTGAGCAAAACACATGAAAATACTTGATGATCAACGCCTTCCTGATGCCACAGATTCACTAGAGAAGAGGTACTTCACTCTTGAAAGAACTGAATCATGAGCAGGGTCATAGGGATGATCCTTGGAAGGGATTTCCAAAATAGCTGGAACTGGCTTATTGTAGCTATCAACTAGAAACCTTATCATGTTTGCAACCTGGTAAGAAAAGCGTAGAAAATGGTCATTTCCTTTTCAAATAATCTTCAACTAACAACAAATTTGGAAGGAATGCATACAAAGATTGCTATAAATTCTAATATGTTTTGCAACCACTTGGACGGCAATAAGGATATTGCCTTGCGGACCAGAAAAGTCCTCTAATCATAACAGTTGAAGAACTTCAAAGTATGAGAAAGAACTTACATATTGGCTGATCAAGACAATTGCAATATCCTCCTTTGTTGTAAACTCTTTGAATGCATCTTCAATTGCTTTCACTGTTGTTTCTGAGCAGAAAACAAGAAAACAAATACTATTAGACACAAATAATAATAATAATTAAGCACCAGAGACTGAACCTTGCTTTAAGTATTAAATTGAATTCATAGCTAAGTTTTTCACACCAAAAACAGAAAAGAAACTAAACTTTTCATTTAAGGGACCAAGTTGTTGTTTAATTTAAAGTGCTGTGATAATCGTTAAGAAGAACAGAAGGAATACCAAAGGACTGTCACAGCAGACCAAATTTAACTGACCAAAATGTAATTTTATACCTTTCTTCACTAATGAATGGTAGCCTAATTTGCTTGCTTTTCTTTGATAAACAAGAACGAAAACTTATACCATAGATAAACTGCAACAATACTTACAAAAGAGCAACTTCTCAACAAAAAGATAATAGTCTTTTACCTAGAATACATCTCCTAGAAGTTTGTAGTTTCCCTTTCCCTTCCCCTTCCCAGGCCCCCCTATTTCGTTTACCCACTGGATTAGTTGGTAAAATATTCTTACAAATAGATTACTAATCATATACCATAATTGGCATTTTAGTCCACCTGATGACCTATCTGCATACAAACATATAGAAACAGATTACCAGTATGGATGAAGTTCCAAAGTTCAAGCATCAAAAAAGCTCAAAACGTACTTGAATCAACAATAAGATAATTTGTCTTTCTCCGCAAGTCAACGTTACCAACTCCAGCCAGCAAAAATCCAGTTACAGTGTCCTACACGATAACAATCATCACATCAGGAAGACAAATCAAGACTGCAACAACTATTTCAACCAAAAGAATTACAGAACAACATTATCCATACCTCATCAGCAATCATGGCAATGAGTGCTGAGCTCTTAGTGGGGATATGAGCTCTGCCAGCCATTCTAAATTGATATCCACTACATCAGGGAGAAAAGAAACTATCAGGACAAATATGTGTTCTCACTGACTACATTAAACAGTATAATTTACAATGTACAGAACTAGAGCCCATCAATATACTTGTCATTTGTGCCTACTACAATTTAACCGGTACGAAAACCATTATTCTATGCCTTTTGGTTGCTGAAATAAAAAAGAAACAAAAATTTAGACCTCAAAGTTGAAGTGTGATTGGATTCATAGATACAAAAAGCCTTTTACCAATCAACAACTTAAGTTCGGCTGAGGTGAGTTTCAATCACTCGAATTTTAGGACGTTAATAATGGTAAAACCTAAACTGGGTCAGCACAATGCATATATATGTATTAACAAATGACCAAATATTGCACTGAGAAGCCGATTTTAGAAATCAACCCAAAAATCATATCAAAACCCATAAACCTAAAAACATGGAATCAATAGATTTTTCGTTCATTGGTGTCAAACGAAAAGCTAACAAATCTGGAAAGAAAAAGAAAAAACAAAACAACCTCCCTCAACTACGAAATTATGGAAGCCACGATCTCAGGCAAATATAATCCAAACTGAAACAACACCAGATGTAAAACGATAGCGTAAATAAATTTGGTGGCGAATTACCTGAGATCAATTCAGGCGGGCCGTGAGGTGGATGAGAGAGGGAGGGAGAAGTAGAGAGATCGGGTCGGTGGTGTGGAAGATGCGAGGAAAGGATATAGTTGTAAAAATGCAAACGTACTTATTTTCTCCTGTATAGTACAACTGTATATTACTAGCATCCAAACCCAAATTTTATTTCGGAACAAAAAAATATATATCCAAATTTTCTTCCAGCAAATTACAAATAATCCCTAAATAGATAATTTACAAAAGTACATACAAACTCCTGTAAGTTATGCGAGTCTCATTTTTTATGCTAAAGTGGTCTCTACCTCAAAGAGAAAATTGATAATTTATTAAACAATTATAAAGATGAAAATTAAATTTTTAAAACAAAAATTAAAACTCCAAAACAATTCGGGTCCGTTTGGAAGTACTGCTGAAAGGATTAAAAGTGCTTTCAGACAATCAAAGCCTTTCTAACAAAAATCCTTATGAGCCGTAGAAGTGCTTTTTAAAGAAGCATTTGTCATATGCTTATTTAGGAAAAAGTACTTCAATTTCTTAGGAAAATTTCAATATTTTTATAATATAAACGCTTCTAAAAGTGCTTCTTAGAGAAGCAGTCCTAAACATGCCATTCGTTGGTAGCGTGTTGTAGTTTAGACTATAAATTCTAAAAAAATAACTTCAATTCACAAATAAGAAATAATCAATGGAATTAAGAAAATAAAATAAGAAAAAAACACGGGAGAATTCTCCGAAAAAAGACCGCGAAGCAAACAACGGTGGTGCATTGATACCCTTCCCTCTCCAACTAAATTTTTCTCTCTGTTCCCCCCCCCTTTCACCATTCATTCATACACCCCAAAAAAAAAAAAAAAAAAAAAAAAAAAAAAAAAAAAAAATTTTTTTTTGTTTCTTATTTATTTCTCAAATTCAAACCCTTCTGAATTTCCCTCTCTGCTTAACGAACTTATGGGCACAGGTATCTCGCATAAACCCTGGTTAATCGTTGCTTTTCTACATACCCATTTGCTTTTTCTTTTTTTTATGCCTCTCTGGGCATTTGGATTTTTTTTATTTCATTCAATGGGATTTTTTTTGTGTGCTTATTCTTGCTTTGATTGATTGGTGAATTTCAGAATGTTGTTTGACGGAGGAAGGGAGAAATGGGGGCAGGGAACTTACTTGGGACGATAAGGAGGTTTGTGGGCATTATCTGGTTCGCTTTTGTCCTTTGGATCTCTTCGCCAATACTCGAAGCGATATAGGTGCATTGCTATTCAATTCGTATTGAATTACACCTTGTTAACAGTCTATCTGGTTGCTTAGAAAAACCAACAAGGAATCACGATTCTGAATTTTAGTTTTTTGAATCATTTGCTTTTTTAATATGTTTGGAGAGAGCAAACGCATCAATAACAGCACATCTTTTGTTTTCTTAATCAGGACCCTGCCCTAGAATACATGACCCCAAGCTGAAAGAAAGGTGATTAACGGAATATTTTGTGTAGATTAGGATTTTCCTGTGGGAAATGTTACTTGGGTTTTCATCTTGCGTTTTTTCAGTGCATCCAAATTGAATGAAATATAATTATAAAGTCCTTCCCTTTTTCGCATGTCAACTTAATTGCTTTCATGATTTTGCTAACAATCTCCATTTTTATGAATAACTATCTGCTTTATATGTGTGGAATGATATGTTAGTTGCTTGCTGATGTTTCACATGTCATGATGTGCTGCTTTTTTCATTATTTTTTTTAAGGGTTCTGTTCCTGGTGCTTGAACCCTTTGCAAGCCTTTTTTTTTCATTTTTCTTACCTGTAAACAGTTGATGAATAAATATTTTTACACTGTCTGGAAAAGGGTTTATCATTGCTAGCTTTCATAAGAGCATCTAGATTCTTCTGTCAAAAGTTGAAGTTTTTTTCTTAAAGATCAGATTATCATCTGAGTTCATTTAATACACTCTCTTCCTTTTCATCAGAAAACTTGAGAACTTGCTGTTTTCGTTTTCGTATAAAACACAAAATACATCACCTGCTGCCTGCTACATTTTTTTTCTTCCCTTTTTACCTGATATGGCATTGTGATTATATTCTATTGTCTCAGTTTTAAGTGGTTTTTTTATACGTTGGTGATTTTAGTTTTGAGAAGTCCCCACAGCATGATGCATATGTGGCCAAGTTTGAAGCTGAACTTGCTCAGTTTTGTGAGATATTGGTAAGTTGCACTTCTAGCCACTGGGCATTATGATCTCGAATTATTCACATGTATGTCTTTGTCTTATTCTACTTGCATGGCAGGTGATGGATTTGGATAGAAGAGTAAGGCGTGAGCGAGAACGCCGTCATCAGGAGGTGGAACCTGCACTGCCACATCCACCTTCAACTGAACAGTATGAACAGTTGTCTGTTGTGGAGGAAAAATTAAAGAACTTGCTTGAACAAGTGGAGGCCCTTGGTGAAGCTGGGAAGATGGATGAAGCTGAAGCGCCCATGAGAAAGGTGTTGTTATTCTTTCCCGATTTTTCTGTTAAACATTTGTTTCCAAATTGTGCAAATAATTTTACCAGGAAGTCTGTGCACCCTGTGGTTCTGGCAACCAGGTGCATTTTCCCTATCCTGTTTTTCTTGATGGACTAACAGAATCTTTTGATCCTGTGATAGATGCCTAATAATAATGGTGTGGAGATTCCTGAAGCTGGTCAGGGCCATCAGGTCCAGGGTGGTTCTAGTTCCCCCACTGTCTTCAGTAATAGCCAATCAAACTGGTATAGTGTTTTACTCCAGCAAATCTCAGTCTATGGGGTAGCCGCTGGCTACTGCTTATCTGCCTCGTTGCTTTCCATCATCAACAAATGGGCTGTCATGAAATTTCCTTATCCTGGGGCACTAACTGCTTTACAGTATTTTACAAGTGTTATTGGGGTCCTCGTTTGTGGCCAGCTTAAGTTGATAGAGTATGATTCGCTTTACCTACTTACCATGTGGCGCTTCCTACCAGCAGCAATTATATTCTACCTCTCTCTCTTCACTAACAGTGAGCTCCTTCTCCATGCTAATGTTGACACTTTCATTGTCTTTCGTTCTGTTGTTCCAATTTTTGTTGCCATAGGAGAGACTCTTTTCTTGCACCAACCATGGCCATCAATGAGGACATGGACCTCACTTGCCACTATTTTTGGGGGAAGTGTGATTTTTGTACTAACAGATTACCAGTTCACAGTAACGGCTTATAGTTGGGCTCTAGCTTACTTGGTAAGCATGTCCATAGACTTTGTCTACATAAAGCATGTGGTAATGACCATTGGTTTAAATACATGGGGTCTTGTACTGTATAACAATCTTGAGGCTTTTCTACTGTTTCCGTTGGAACTACTTGTAATGGGTGAATTGAAGAAGATTAAGCATGAAATCTCAGATGAATCAGATTGGTATTCTCTTGAGGTGCTGTTTCCAGTGGGGTTATCATGTTTATTTGGTTTATCCATCTCTTTCTTTGGGTTTTCTTGCCGAAGGGCTATTTCTGCAACTGGATTTACTGTTCTTGGTATAGTGAACAAATTATTAACAGTTGTGATTAATCTGGTTATTTGGGACAAACATTCAACCTTTGTTGGTACAGTGGGCCTGTTGATATGCATGGCAGGTGGTGTTATGTATCAGCAATCTACAAGCAAGAAGCCTAAGGATGTGAATCAAGTAAAAGCACAAGAGACTGTGGAAGAAAAACAAAAGTTAATTGAAATGAAAAGCAGCTTAGAAAGCAAGAACAATGAGAAATGGACTGTTGAATCTGAAGGGGGGAAATGACAGACGGCTTTTTTCAAGGTAATATTGTTCCGTTCTTTTGTGGCTTCTGGATTTAATTTTTCTCCAATTCAGATTTATTGATTGATAAGTCGCCGGTGGCAACTTCTCATTGAGATGAGTTAAAGACAGTTTGTGTTTGACAAAACACACATGATCGACATGTTGGTTAAATGAGTTATATTTTTCAGCCACAAAATTCTTTGTACTGATGATTAATTTCTTAAGCCTCATCAGCAGCATTATTCGACCGGAGAACACCCTGTCAGATGAAATGTTGCATTCTTTTGTTCTGTAAATTTATATTCATAAAAAAAGTCCCAGTAGCAATAGCAATGCCTTATTTGTTGTAAGGATGCGGTGCGGGATGTCTAAAGACATGCCTGCTAATGTCAAAATGTAAAAATCACGGGAGATAGTGTTGTAAGCAGTTCGCAATTCTGTGTAACATTTTTGAATGAGTATAAAAGGGTTTGGTTTACTGGTTGGTAATTTACCAAAAAGAACATATTTTGTTTTGAGGATTATATTTTAGAATAGGTGATATATGTTTTGCAATAGTATCTATTATCCATTTTTATCAAGGTTTTTCATGCCTTCTGATACATGTACTCCAAAATCTATGGAATTTCCTCTTCCCCTCCCTACCCCAAATAAATAAAATAAAATAAAAATTACAGGAAAACTTCTGGATTAAATACAACTATATGGTGGTGAAGTGTTATTGTCATAAATTGTTTTGTTTGAGCTTGTTGGAGCATGAAATTTTGGGTCCTCCAATAAGTAATTTGATTTTCATGTTGAGAAGTTAGACGCCATCTTCAATTGTCACAAGTGAGTGAGGAATGGGGTACCTGCAAGAAAACACTCTGAAGCTCAAGTCAGTGTTCGTTTAGGAATGTTGCAGTAGAATCAATCATCCCTTTCTTCCCTTATGTTGGGGGATTAGTTGGCCTTTTATAGGCACTGAACCGTTAGACTAGGAGTCCCATATCCCTTATTTATCTTCATGTTCAATGGTAGTGGATATCATGTTGATTCCCTCCACTCCCTCAAATTTAGGATTCATGGGAAGTGACTTGTTACTTGGGCCTTAACTTTTACTCCCACAGAGCTAAATTCATAAATCAACATGGTAGCTGTGCTCTGGCTATGCTCTATGGTCTTCTTTTTGCTCAAGAGATGGTTTTCTTCATGATCTTATTTTGGACTCTGATGCTCTTGCTGCTGTTCAAATGGTGTTGGCTGAGGAGGAATGTATAGTTGCAATAGAAGAAGGTAATATTGTCAATGAGATAAAAACATCTCTCAGTCTTTTTGGTCCATGGTGATTCAATAAAGACCACATTTAGCAAACAATGGTTGCTCATAGTCTAAGAGCACACCACGCTCTTTGAGTGAGTTTACATGATTGTATGATTTGGATGATGGACTTGTTTCATTAGTTCAAGCGGATGCTGTTGTAAATTCTTTTTTTTTTTTTTTTTTTTTTTTTTTTTATTTAATTCTCTTAAAAAAGAAGGAGATATATTTACAATTAAGTCCATTTTAAGCGTGACATATTATATAAAAACTCATATAAAGTCTATTTGGAGAGAAAAACTCAAAATTAAACACTTGTCATTTTCCAATGGGTAAACTGCGAATACCCCCTTAGACGATCTCCAACCCTAAAGGACTCAAACTCAAAATTTCACCCTCCAACTGTTCATGTATTTTTAGGACTCAAACTGTTTTTTCCTCCAACCTTGCAAACTCATAATTTGAGTCCGCAACTTTATTAAATTATTAAAGAATAATATAATCCTATTTTGTTTTCATGGTTAATTTAGTTAATTTTTGCATATTACTCCATGATTTATTTTTTTTAACATTTTGACATAAATGTTTTGAAATTTCACAAACATAATTTTATTAACAAATTGATGGGTATGTATAGAGTTTATGATATGTTTTGAGGTTGCATCCAATTTAGAATAATATATTTACTTATTTTTACCTTTAGATTTAAATTTCAATTGTTTTTCCTGTTGATCCAGCCAAAATTTAATATCAGCCGTTAATTTCTAGCCTTTAGGTTTGGAAATTTTTGTTGTTGAAAGAAACCCATTTGAAATGCAGCCATAGAAGTGCAATTTTAAGTTGCCTAGACTTTGACACGTGGCCAGAAACTTGGGGTAGTGGGCAACAACCCATCATTTGCTTCAAATGAGGACCCATGTGGCTCTTGTTTGCTGCGAATTGGGCCCCACAAAAATAATACATGGATTGGAATCTGGGGCCAAATTCTGCCCCATTTTTCAGTCAACTCAAATTTCCCCCCATCCAAATACATGGGTTAGAGAAGGTTTTGAGTTAAAAATCCCAAATTTTGGGTTTTGCCTCTCATGGTTGGAGATGGCTTACAATAACAAGTGACTAATTTGGGAGTTTTCTCTCCAAATAGGTTTTATATGAATTTTTATATAATATATCATGTTAGAATGAGTCTATTTGTAAGAAGCAAAAAGGAAAAAGAAAAAAAAGTGCATTTCCCCAAGCCATTTTATGTGTTGAATATTTTAGGGATTTAGAATTGGGCTTCAAAAATGAAAGAAGCAATTATAAAACAAGGACTCCAACAAAAAAATAATAATAAAACAAGGGCAATATCAGCATTCCCTCTTAAAGACAATAATATATATATATATATATAGAGTGGTGATTTCCCCACTTCAATTTTATCCCTTTACACTCCATTTTATAATTAAAAAATGAGTGTAAGTGGATAAAATTGGAGTGGGGAAAAAAAAATATATATATATATATTGTTTTGGTTGGTAAACACAAACTTGATAGAATCTTGGGAAATATTCGAATATTTGAGGTTATGGATAGCCGCTACTCTTGGGTCTGTTCCTCTCTGTTAAAATATAAATAAAATAGCATTCATCATACAAGGATCCGTGGCGCAATGGTAGCGCGTCTGACTCCAGATCAGAAGGTTGCGTGTTCGATTCACGTCGGGTTCAAATTTTGAGATTCATTTTTGACATTTAAAAAAAAAAATTATCATTTGAATGGAAGCATAGTTTTTTTATTTATAAATACCAAGAGGTGTCCCACGTTCGAAAGGTAGAATTAATCTCTGCTTAGGGTTCGGCTTACTCCTGACCACAAAGTTATTCAAACGGGTTTCAAACCCGTCATTGAGGCACCAGGTAGTTCGCTAATTGAAGGTGACAATTTACCAACCGCACCACACTTTATGGTTGAAGCATAATTTTTTGTTGTATGTCATTGTTAACAATCTAAAACCAGAAAAAGTACGTCTCCATTAATGCAGTGGGCATCATTCCATGTGTTCTAAATTGTTATTTGCCTTTTTCTATCTCCCATGATTTATTAAGATGGTGCCTTTTCTTTTGGTACTAGTTTAGGATTGTGCTTAGAACACTAATACTTTTACTTAAATAAATAATCATCTATTTTAAGGATGGAATTAGGTTATGCTAAAACTTGAGTGGGTGTTTTATTCAACGGTTCCAAATATAATTAAAAAAATAATACTACCGTAAAGTAGTCAAACTCGTTTTTTCTTTGTTTTATTTTTCTTGTTCTGACTCTGATTAGGTCTAATTCACTATCTTTGCTTAGATGAAGATAAGAAAGTTGCTAGTTTTGTGATCAGATCACTACTACTGTTAGTGTAGTGACGATATTTTGGAAATTATTATTCCTTCGGAAGTTAGTGGACTCTTATTTCAATTGACATCAACAGTCAAATAAATACTCAAATGTAAATGTAGCAAACGATGTTGTAGAAATAATATGAAGAGAGAGTTGTCTCTCTCCTTTGTCATGTAGGAAATAAGAATGGAGTCATGTAGGGAGATGGATGGGAGTTGTTTTTTGACAGCCCAAATAATTTTATTTGAATGACACTTATTGGGGTTTCTTATAAATTTTTTTTCAACAATCCAAATTATCTATTTTTTAAGTCTACATCCATCGACATTCAATTGTGTTCTACAAAATCAATGAACACGATATTTCAAGAAAGTACTAAAATTTCAATATTTCAATTGAGTGATCAAATAATATCATATTCAAGTGATTTTTTTGTAGAGATGGTCTTTAAATGAAAATCTACAAAATAGACTATTTGGATTAATGAAATACAATACAAAGTGGGCCCCTATAAGGGTGTCTCTCAACTAAAACTCTCTGTAGAATCCGTGACATTATGTTTTGACACAATTTTTGGGCCATTAGATTACTCCACTTTCAATGATTGAGATTAAACCTGACATGAGTTTTAATTTTTTAATTAGACAATCATTAATTTTATTTTCTCTCTCATAAAAATAAAAGAAACGATTTTCTCTCATTCCTTTTTCTTGGTAATCTCTCACATGCCTCTCTCTCTCTCTCTCTCTCTCTCTCTCTCTCTCTCTCTCTCTCATTCTCATGAGACTAGAAAAAACCTCGATCTCTTTTTCTCTCTCTCTATCTGCAACAAGAGTCTCCTCCCTCCCTCTTTTTCATGAGACCATAAAAGACCTCCGTCACTTTTTGAGGGTTTGATTTAGGAATTTTAATCTTCTTATAAACAAAATAAAATTGACTATTACTGTTTCTTTCTTTTTTTCAATTAAGAACTTTTATCGTTTTAATATGGAGAGAATACAAAGTGAAAATTTGTTGCCACAATACTTGCTGATTATCTCGTGAAGAAGGCAAGTTCTATTGATCAACCTTCACTTTTACCAATTAGATGAGGTTAGAACTTCTTTAATTTGAATCACCATTCATGATTAAAAATGATGTTCTGTAACTGGCAGCTATCCTTTTGGAACTATTGAAATTCTTTAGATCATTGAAAGTAGAAATAGGGCTCAATTTTGATTAAGATTCTTATGCTTGAAAACTTATGGATAGTATTCTTACAATGTGAACAGGAATTCAGAACATTAGAGATGAACAATGTCTAAGATAGCACCTGGCATAGTCGGGGTGATACAATATACAAAGGTAGCCTTGGAGGGAAAATCATTCTTTGAGTTACAGATGGTTGTGAATCATGAGCTTAATAAACTCGGCATTTACCATTCCAGAAATTGGCTACAACTATGATATTAAGTTTACTTGAAATTTGATTAATTTCCCCTGAGATATGCACTGAGAGTTGGAGGAAATATCTTGCGCGTGCTCCAACATTTTGATGAGACAATATCTGTATTAAGATAGGAGAAATTGCTTTGACATAAAAGAAGGGACATTTTGGAAAAAGCAAAAGGAGAGAGAACTACTAAAGATGAATTGATGGCCGCATATGCATGTGCGTGAAGAAGGGAAAACTGAAGAGACTCTTCACGGTTTGGGCCTTTAGTTTTTGGCGAGATTCTTTATTTATTACGCTTTAATAAATATTTGATATTAAAAAGGTAGCTAGGATTACGTCTCTGATAAAAAAGGGAGGAGACAAAATTCTTTTATTTCTATGAGAGAGAAAATAAAATTAATAATTTTCTATTTAAAAAATTAAAACTACTTGCCATGTCAAGTTTAATCTTAACCATTGAAAGTGGAGTAATCTAATGGCCCAAAAATTGTGTAAAAAACATAGTGCCACGGATCCACCTCTATATATAGATTCCGAGCCTCTGCATTTAGAGTCCACGTATTTACCAGCATTTAACTTCATTTTGGTCATTGCAATGATCCAACGCCTTAAAATATGACACGTCATTACAACATAAAGTTTAATTTTTAATTTGTTTAATTTTTCTTAACTAACGATAGTCCTCGCCGTTTCGTCAAAGCCTCTCTCCCCTCCTTGCTCTCTTCCCTCTCTAGTCTCTCTCAATTCTCGCTTCCCATGAATATCTACTACTCGGCATCTTGAATTACATTCCCAATTTTTCATACAGTCTGAATCCATTCCCCATAAACATATGCTGAAGCATCTATTCTCTTCCTCATCGTGAGAAGGTTCGAGTCATGACAAACCTGAGCTCTAACTTGGGACTTCGGCTTGGGCCCTCCAAATTCTCCTCGCCGCGACTCTGAGTGCTTGGTTCACTATTCGGCCTAATTTTTTCTAATGAACCCTAAAAAATGTCTATCAAATAAAATTATTTGAGAGATCCTTCAATGATCCAAATTATCTGTTTTTTATGATTCATTTATGATTCCCGTCCTTGTAGCTAACCCTGTTTGCTTCCTCATGCAAGATGCATGCACTTTCCCTTCTTCTCATCTTGATATCTGAATTTGTTTTCATTCCCTAACGCACTCAAACTGCACATCAACTTTCACCTTTCCTAATTAATTTCTTCGACCGTGATTATAAAAATACAAATCTTTAATTGACTTTTCCTGTATAAAAATAAAATGGATTCTACATTTTACAGGTCATTTATCTATGTCAATTTTGAGCTGTGGATTACAAGTGTTAAAGTTCTACTTCTTTAGGGTTTGCGATTTAATAATAAAAATTATAGGAAAATCGAAGATAGTTCATGAATGTGTAACAATCTCTTAAATGAAAAATCAAGTGAAAACGAGAGAAGCATATTTTTTCTCGTCACTTTAACTTAAGATATATTTTTACTATCATTCTCAATACTTGACGTTCATGAGCATAACCATAATTAATTCTTTGTTTTATATTTGAGAAATCATTGTTACATGTCATGCATTGAGAAAAGTGATAGTACACAAAAATGCTCACAAAGGAGGTAGTAGGAATGTGAGTAGATTTGAGTGTTAATTAATTGGCAGCTAATATGATTAATAATAACATGGGATCGATCGATGAGGCCTCCCAACCCAAGTTCATTATTGTAACAGCTAGGCGCGTAGAGCTAGCTGTGACCTCTCTTCTTCTTAATTAACAATTAAATTAAGCGTTGAACTGAAATGCTTTTTAAGATTACAAATTAAAATTTACAAGTTAAGAATAATTAAGAAAATATCAATTAAGTAAGAGAAGGGAAGCTGCCACACTTGTGGCACTTATTAGAAACCACCGGAATCTGACGGCACGAGGGGCAGGACGAGTGCGATCGCAGCCACACGTCGATGCACGCCACGTGGAAGCGGTGGCCGCACTGCGGCAGCTCCCGGATCTCGTCTCCCGCGGCGAACTCAGTGAGGCAGATGGCGCACTCGGTGAACTTGGAAGTGCAGTCCGCCGTGTAAGTGAGCTTCGGGAGTGAGCGTAGGATTTTCTTCTTCAACCCCTTGTTCGGCGGAGGAGTCGGCAGCGGAGGAGGAGGAGGAGGTGTGGCAGCGGTTGTGAGGCGGCGGAGCCAGACGCAGCGAGCCACGACGAGGAGGCCGAGGACGCAGACGAGAGCGCAGAAGAGGGCGAGGAGGATCAAAGCGGAGTCGGAGCCCATGTTGGCTGACGGTTCATCGTCGGGTTCGGAAAACAGTGAGGGAGGGTTAAAGGCGCCGCCTAACAGTCGCAGAGGACGAGTCATGTTTTGTGAATGACTGTGAATTTGGTGAGAGAGAGAGAGAGAGAGAGAGAGAGAGAGAGAGAGAGAGTGAGTGATTTGGGTTTTGGTCGCTTGGTGGTTGCCAAATGTGTGACTAAACGTTTTTATGTTCGGAAGAAAATCAGTGTGAGGCTTGTTGTCTGATCCTATTACTAAAAAAAATAACAAAATTATTGTAATGAACAAAAAAGGAATTATAATAAATAATCTGACCTACTTTATTATTATTTTTCATATGTCAAATTCTTATAACTGAAATGATTTAAAAATAAAATAGTGTGGATTCCTTACAGGAGATATTTTGTATACAAGATTAATTTATGTATAATTCCATCTCCATTGTCCACTAATAATATATTATAGTGTCACACTTTTGTTCTTTTATACTCTATGAAGTTAATGGTACATCATAAGGATGGTGCACTTTTCTGCACATGTGATGGAAGGACATTACATTTGTTTTATATGTGAGACAACTCGTCTCCACTATCCCTGATTTAGGGAAGTGGACAGCGACCAATGTGACAATCGATGGATCAATTTCGTACCTGATAAATGGTTGAGATTCCAATTTAATCTCTGATTGACATTATATTAAATTCAATTGAATGATCGGTAGGTACTCTAGTCTCGAAGGGTCTTAAAAACTCTCTGATCTCTAATTGTCCGTCGATGCAGCTTCTCTTCTAATCTTCTCTCTTAAACTTGACATGCGTACGACATCGTTTTTCTGCTACTAACCTCTTAAGCATATGGTTCGACACTGGCCCGATCCTCAAATTTTGGGCATAGCCATTATTTCAGGCCCCAAAGAAAAAGGCCTATGCAAAACAAAATCTTCAAATGTCAAAAAATTAAATTGACAATATTTACGAGTGATTATAGGATCTCCCAAGTTTAAAAGCCAAAGCAAGTTGATTATGCGTACTCCCTTTCCACCAGCGAAATATCTAGTTGTGCTTGCTTGTGCAGAACAAGCAAAACCAAAATCCTCATGCTCAAGGCACGCATCATACACAGTTTCCACCCCAATCCCTCTTCTTTTTTTAACTTCATCTCCAAATAAAATCTTACCTGGCACGTCCAGTCTCCATATCCATCTCCACAACTTATCCAAGCAGCCCATTGTCGTCTAATTCTTTTGTCAACCCAATAACCGAATTTAACCCAGTAATTGCCATTTCCATTGCCATATGAGCTAGCCAATCAGTGCACCTGTACCTGCTCAACCGCATAAGCTAAAATAAGATCAGGCTCCTCCAGACCATACAACTCACGCACCTTGGTACTCTACTTGTATGCGTACATACTTCATCCACCAACATAAACTGAAACATTCGCCCTTCCAAAGTTCCTTCTCCTAACCTTGCAGATGCCAAACATCCATCAGTCTGACTTTTCTCAACATTGGTCAATAATCTACAGTGACAACGCTTTCTAGACATTTTCCCAATCTTTTTTTCTCTATTTTCCCCCTAAGATACAAATCCAATGCCCCGACTGCTGTCTTTTTAAACACCCATACAGCCACAAAAGTTATTTGGTGCAAAATGAAGCCATCCGCTAGTACAACTCGCATGGTTCACCTCAAGAATCACACAATTCACCCAATTCATGACAAAAGAATAATGGCCTTGGGGTCACAAATTGAGATTAAAATCTGGGGGACATGCAAGATCTCTCCAATATGGTAACAAGTTTTAATCTCCATTTTTTTTTAATAGAAGTTTTAATCTCCATTAGTTACCACTGTAAGGTAGAAGTTTAGCGTAGCAAAAATATAAGAGCAAAAAATCAAGAATGACCCTGCAAATGTTGCAGTTTCAATTTTCACTAAGTTTAGCACAATGGCTCTCAATTATAAGTAAAATGCGGTACAACATGTTTCCTAGTAACACATCTGACCTACAAAAGAAGTATTTCAAGTTTCACTTTCTCACAAATCATACCTCACATTCCATTTACCATTACCATCAGCATTGAGGGTCCAATTGTTTTCCCTGATCTGCATATATGGGACCTGAAAAAAGTGGGGGTGGGGAATAATAGATAAGCAGCAGAAAGTTAACAAAGAAAGTGATGTGACCTTAAAATGTTGGAAAGACAAGGAAAGGATTGAAAAGTGGAAATGAATTTGACAGAATATCTCCAATATTAGATTCAGTCGTTGAAATGGGGAAATAAAATCTAACTAGGTAAAATAATCTTACAAAACCAAAGAAAAATTCTGCATCGTTGTTCTTAGGATCTGGTTAATAGTTCATTCGATGGACGCTATTGTTGGATATATGAGTTCAACAATGTAAAATAAGACCATCACAATCGTTGGAATTTGAGCAAAGGAACAATACCTTGTCCAACAAGTCATAGCCAAGTTTAAGCCTGACATCTTGGTCCCTTTGAAAGTTCAAAATGCTCCAAGAAAATTCAGCAGCTCCTGTGGAGCTTCTCTGTCAAAGAATTAGAGCCAACATTATAGTGCCAAGGTTCTATCTTTAAGTAGGAATAAAGGAATAACATACATTCTAGGGAGTGGAGAACCAGATTTTGGTTCTGTGATTTTATAAGAAACGCGGATATAAGTATTTTCAAAGGTTAAAATGATACCACTGTATTTGTACCAACCTCTTTAAATTCTTTGTCAAGATCGCATCTTCCTTTAACATTAAAGCTCAACAGCCCATCCGTTGTCACAGGGAAGGACTTTTTCGCTCGGACAGTGTACCGTAGTTTCTCGCGCCTATCATACTGCAGTCCAACTCCAAGGCTTGCCGAAAACTACAAGTGATTTTCATTGTCATTGTCAGGCATATCAATGAAAAAACTAACGATCAAAGTCGAGAAAGGAACAAAATTGATATTAGGCTGTTACAACTTGAATTTTGGAAAATTTACTTACATCTGGGTAGAAGCGCCTTACAACAGCTCTACCAAATGTTGGAACTCCAAGTCTAGTATCTAGCTCTCCATGAATCTGACACACAAACAAAATAACATCAGGCATTTAGCATTTAGTTCAATTGAATTGCCAGAATTCCCAGATATTCTAGCATTCTAATTGCTACAGACTGAGACAGTAGATGACCAGAAAAAAACATGAATGTTGAAGAAGGATCATAATTTTGCTCAACCAAGAAAGCAAAACACTGAGTGCAATTAAAAATTAAATAAAATTGGGAAAGGAAAGAGCACCTGCAAATGAGTTTTGGAATCGAGTGGTAGCTTTTCCTTCGCATGGATTTTTAAGGCTTTAGCGTCTCCGCTGTATCTCAGAGAGGTCTCCATTTGAGCACCGAAATCCAAAACCCTAACCCTAGCTGGATGTGGATATGGCGGAGTAGAGAAATGAAAGTGAAGAGACACTCACCCTACCAATCCTTCCGTTATCTTAGGATTAGGAGGAGCAAAGCAAAGACCTTCAACACGTGCGTTTTTGGCTTGACCCATCCCAATCATTGATCGCCACGTCAGGTGTCAGCACGTGCCCTGCGCATGCTCCAATGGGCCACTTGGGCCTTCCGGAACTGGGTTGGGCTTCCTTTCTTCCTGCCATTAGCATTTCCTTCATCTGTAGTTACTGTTGACGATGCACTACCAGTCCTTACATCGATGCGTCGTCGTTTTGGACCCTGAAGAAGAAAACCCAAAACCTCTGCATATTGCTTGCTGCTGCTGCTGCAACATTTGTTAGAAGAGAAGAGAGTGTGAGAAACAGAGAAAGAGATGCGAGAAATGGGTTTGAGGTTGGATGTGTTTCTGTTGGCACTCACCATTCTATGGGCACCTGCGCTCTCGGATCTGGTCCTCTCCAAGGTTGACCGACGCGTAAGTCTCCCTTCCCTTCCTTCTTTTCTGAATTGGGGTTTTGGAGTTTTCTTTTATCGATGTTGTTTGGGATCTCCATCTTCTCATTCTCTTTTTTGTTCATCCAAAGTTGACAGGCCTCTCATTCAATATGTCACTACTTAGTGCTCTCTCTCTCTCTCTCTCTCTCTCTCTCTCTGTTGTTGATGTTTTAGGATCGCTAATTGCAGTTTCATTCATAAAAGTTGCTTTTTTTGGTTTTCTTTGTGCATTTGATCTTCGTTCGTAGTTGAATTTTTTCATTCGACATTGACCTCTGATTGTTGGTTGGTTGGTTGCAGATTGATTTGACATCACAAATTGCGCGCATCACTTCCACACTGAAGGTGCCCCATCAGTCCCCTTTTCATACCCTTCATTGGTTTTTTTTCCTTCTCTTTTTGCGTAAGTTAACATTGATTATGCTTGAGGGGGCCATGAGACTCAACGAAATATGTTTCTCATTTTTGAATTCTTTTGTGTGATTCTAGTGAATTGATAAGTAAAAGAATAATCCCAAGAATGCATGGAAAGTTATCCTCATTCGGAAAAGAAAAATCAAAACACATGTTTGTATATCAGCACTATTTTAAAATGGACATATATGTTGAATTTTACTCATACCGTTTGCACTCTGCAGGTGGAGAATGCGGGAAGCGGTTTGGTTTCAGAAGTTTTGTTGGCCTTTCCTGAGAGTCAGGCAAAACATTTGGCGCATCTGACAGCAACCCCCAATGAAGGGAAAGGAAAAGTGAAAGGTTCTGGTATTAGTTACCCTGTTCAACTTGTTCACGCTAAAGACATGCCTCCTTCTTTGACGTTTTATTCAGTATCTTTACCAAAGGGATTGGGCAAGGGGGACAGCTTCACTTTTGATGTATTGGCTGTTTTCACCCATGCATTGAAACCATTTCCTGAGAAAATTACTCAGGCTGACATTCAGCTCCTAGTGTTTCAGGACAGTGCACACTATCTTTCTCCTTATGCAGTCAAGGTGCAATCACTCAGTGTTAAATTGCCAGATGCAAGAATTGAATCTTATACGAGGATAGAAAATACAAAGAATATTGGCTCAGAGATCAAATACGGTCCTTATGAGAATCTTCCTCCCTACTCGTACTCACCTATAGTTGTTCATTTTGAGAGCAATCAACCCTTTGCTGTTGCTGAAGAATTGGTGCGAGAGATAGAGATTTCCCACTGGGGTAATATTCAAGTAACAGAGCATTACAAGCTTGTCCATGGAGGTGCTCAAAGCAAGGGAGAATTTTCAAGGTCTTTTTTTTTGTTTCTATTTTTGTTCATTTCGTGCTGTGCTAGCGGGGAGCTTAATTTTAATTATTTCTTATTTCTTCTGCAGGCTTGATTATCAAGCCAGACCTCATGTCAGAGGTGCATCAGCCATTAGGCGTCTTGTTGCAAAATTGCCACCAAGAGCTCATTCTGTGTATTATAGGGATGAAATAGGCAATGTTTCAACATCTAACTTATGGAGTGATTTTAAGAAGGTAATAATTTCAACTCGTGTGAACTACTATTCCTAGTTGTTATTCCTTATTTTACTCAACTTTTATGCATCATTTCAGACAGAACTGGAAATCGAACCTAGGTATCCTATGTTTGGTGGTTGGAGAACTGCTTTTACCATTGGATATGGCTTACCGCTTCACGAGTTTCTGTTTGAATCAGATGGAAAACGCTTCATTAATATCTCTTTTGGTTGCCCTATAAATGAGGTGGTCATTGACACTCTCATTGTGAAGGTTGGTAATGCAATGACTTATTGATACTAGATTCTTTTGTCCTTTATTATTCAACTTGTGTTGGCTACTTTATTTGTCAGATGGTCATACTGAGTTGCTTTCATATGATTTCCTTTCAATGTGTTGTATGTGTTTATTGATACCAGGGAAGTATTAAAAGCATGAATTGGAGTCAGATTATGTTAAAAGAATTATTCTTCCTGTATTTTTGATTTGGTGACTGTAAACTGCAGGTTGTTCTGCCTGAGGGTTCTAGAGATATATCTGTATCTGCTCCATTTCCTCTAAAACAATCGCAAGAGGTATTATAGACCAAGTTTAAATGTCATCCCATATTCATGCTTGTACAATTTTTTTTAATATCTCTCTTTTGCCTCTTCTCGTTGCCTATTTTGAAAAGGCTATTTCATTTTCTTATTTATTGATTAAAGAGTTTTTCTAATTAAATATGTCTACGATTCTTACAGAAAAAATTTTCCCACTTGGATCTTGTTGGTAGGCCAGTGGTTGCACTGGAAAAGACTAATGTTGTGCCTGAGCATAATCAGAAATTCCAGGTATTACTGGTGCCCATTTTCAAATAACAGGAAATGACTACGGGATAAGTTTTATTTTATTCTGCTAATAATATCACATTTACTTTAGTTTCTAATATTGATTAAAGTTTTGACCCCTTCTAGTGGTCTATAAAAATAAAGACACATGTTAATTAAATTTCTAAAATTGCTTAAAGAGAAAAATGCTTTTGGTTTATAGTTGCTTGCAAGTGTCAATTGATGCTTATAGTGGTAAGTCTTGTGTATGTTTTTTTGTCAAGCTTTCTGCTTCACCTTAGTCAGAACAGTTTTCTGTTTTCGGTGCTTAATTGTATTTTACATCTCTCTAGTACTTATAATGTAAAATCAATCCGCTTGTTCATTTATTTATCTTTTTGTAAAAATCGGAAGTGAAAATAAAAATGTTCTAGAACAGCTCTGCTGCCTGTCATGTATTGCAGAAGTTGCTTTTAGACCTCTTCCCTGCCTTTTCACTCGTATCCGACTTTGTTTGATATTCCTGTTGATGTATCCAATGCCATGAATGTTAAGATCTTTAATCTATAGATTTCGTAACTTCTGTATATTGTATTATGTTGTAGTATAATTTATAATAATTTTCATGGTTTCATTTCTAGATAACAAGAGTTATGCAAATTTGCTTACATATGTGTTAAGACAGTGGACCGTTTTTTCACTCTCTTCCCTGATTATACTGTATTTTTCCTTAAGTTTCACACAGTAGTTTTATTTTGCTTCATTTGCAGGTCTATTACAAATTCAACAGCCTTGCAATGCTTTGGGAACCCTTGATGTTGATTTTTGGAATTTTCTTCCTTTTTGTGACTGGGATTGTATACATGCATGTGGACATGTCCATCTCCAAATCTTCTGCTTCTTATTTGGCCAAACTGCAGTGGGATGAAGTAGGTTTTTGTCTAGTATTTTCTTTTTAAATAATTTACAATAAGAAGACAGTTATTATTCTATGTCTTGTTCTAGGTGCAAGCAGCAATTCAGCAGATCAGAAATATCATCACCCGATGCCTCGTGATACATGATAAGGTGGAAGCATCATTACGTGATCTTTCGCGGACAGGGGACATCCAAGCTTGTAAAGCAGCTCGAAAAGCAGCTGATGGTTTGTTGAAAGAGCTTTCGAAAGAGATGAAGCCCTTATTGGCATTCTTGCAATCATCTCAGCAGGCTGCACATCTGCTGCCTAAGGTTGGTTATTTTCAGTTGCAATTAAATGTATTTTACAATTTGGTTAAATGAACGAAACTTTATGCAACATGAAGTTGCGAGTGAAACTCATATATTAGTTTAGCTACTTGAAGTTGACATTGGATTGGTATTTTCGTATATGTACTGCCAAACACTATCTTCTCCATACACTGGGTTCGCATAGCGTGCAGACATGCTATCAGTACATCTTTTAATTATTGTATTTAATATTGTTTGTGTATACAGGTGGAGGAGCTGGTGGTGAAGGTGAAGGATTTGGAAGAAAGGTTAATGGTGAAACACTCTACCATTGTGGATTGTTATGAGAAGAAATATGGAGGAAGGGAAATCGAGAATCGGGTTGCTTCGCAAGTGCAGAAAATTACTGCCTTGAGGCAGGAGGTTGACGATCTTCTTGAGTTTATTGATGAGATATAAGAGATGGGCATATTTTGCACTTGCTATAATATTTTCCGGAACTTGTTAATTATTAAATAGAAAGAGGACTAGTTGCTTTTAGTTTTGTTTTGAAATTGCATTGTGCTAAAAATGTAAGGGACTCGTTTAATTTGCAAACACAGCCAACATTATTTTATGCATGGAACACTAAGTTCTCGTTTGACATTGCTTATTTGGGGTGATAAATGATTTTTAAAAATTTTTGGGAAGCCTAGTTCGTTTGGTAAACTATGAGAAAATTACTTATTGTTAAAAATTGATGTGAGAGAGAGTTCTAAGAGAAAACAACTAATGATGTGTTTTCATTTTCTGATTATGCGGGAATCAGTTTCGAAGAGGCGTTAGGTTTAATGATTATGCATGAATTATTTTCTGATTGTGCGGGAATTAGTACTAACACTTTTAATAAAAAATTTACCAAACATCAATTATTTTTTCTCACAGTTAATTTATCTCACAGCAAATCTAACAGCAATTATTTTCACAGCACATTAATCTATATATAAAGCAAAAGGCAGAGAATGGTGAAACATTCAAAATACCAGAAAATGTTATTGGTTAATTCAAACATTAAAAATTGAAATTATTAATTAAATGAGGATAATATGGTAAATTCGTTTGTTTTCATATTAAAAAAATAAAAATAAAATCATATAATAGATCATACTTTTATGAAACATAACTACCTATGTTATTTTTTTTAAATTTTAAAAATAAAATAAAAAATAAAAAAGAAAACCAATTAGCACATCCTCACGCATGTGCCAAGGGACTAGTGCTATTTTAGTAAAAAAATTACTAAACGCCAAATGTTAATAACTCGTGCACGTACCTTGTCCCCGACGGGTACGAGTAATACCCACTCTCTCTCGTGGGTACCCGACTCGCGTACCCAATGTACGTTTCTGCATGCATTAGCATTAATTGTGCTTTCTTGAATTAGTTGGTTTGGTTTGAATGGTTCATGATTTTCAGTGTGTTTTTTAGTTGCTGCATAATATTTGCAAGGCTCGACTGCACACTGGAATTTCATTTGTGAAAACAGTCGGATAGAAGTGAAAATCCGAGACTCGATCATAACTTATAACAGAACAAAATAAAGAATCTGTAACAAGCTTTAAATTTACATGAACGGTGTGCAATGTCAAATTACAGCAGTTATCCTGATTTTCTTTATTCTTTCGAACGTATGCTAGAATTGCATACAGAAACTGCAGATACCATGAACTGATTCAGCAATTGCAAAACTTTCTGTTACATACGAAAGAATCTTTGAGGCTGGCTATATCACTACTCTTTTAAAGGTTGTTTAAACATGAACTTCTCACAACCTCCTACATCAGGCTCACTTTCCTTCAGGTGGAATCACTTGCAAAAGCTCCAAATTTAGCTCGAATGTCGCTCCAGGCTGCGGAATGGTGTGACAGAAGTAAGAAAGAATATTCAATCCAAGTAATATATCAGAAACTAACAATGCCACTGCAGTACAAATATGCTAGCACAGTTGAAAAAAATAAAAGAATGACACTGATGATGCCTAGGTAAGGTGTGGGAGTTAAAAACCAAACAAAGCATTCTAAAAAAGAAGAAAACAAATGATGTTTAAAGTGCTTACAGGGATCTCATTCATGCCCTTTAGACCGTACCCAGCCTCAGGAGGAACAATCACAGTTCGCTGCAAGGACACCAGAAATTGATTATGGAAAAGCTTCTAAGTTCAAAGGTGAGAAAGGAAGGAAAAGAAATGGGTAATACCGACACGTCAATGAAGATGTTCGACACTAATACGTGGAATTACTAATTTCACCAAGACGCAATATAATAATAAATAGGCATGTAGCATGTATGTACTTAAGCATAAAAGGAGGATGTCATCACCTTCCCCCCTACTTTCATCCCCTCAGTTACCGAGTACATTGCTTGAGGGGGTTTTGGTGCAGCTTGTGCAGAAAATAGACCATTTGCATTGTCCACAAACTCACGCTTTCGTTCTTTCCCAGGAGGAGCTCCGACTTTGAACACGTATGGCTAGTAGAAAACAAGGAATTGTGCATTGGGAATTCATTCATGGATTAAAGAGTTGAGCCTCAAATGACTATTGGTTTTGATCAAAAAAGGGGTTGTGCATGATATGAACATGCAGAAGCTCTCAACACACCCACAAAAGTAAAGTTGAGAACCTGGGCAATACTACGATTTCCAGCTAAGAGTTTAGATTCCCTGCTTGATACAGCCGTAATCCCGCGATATAAACAGTCAAAGTGAACCTGTGAAGTATGTACAGGTCAAAAACAGAGGCGAGAACATATCCAAAGACTGAAAGGCATGATAACAAACATCATTCTCCTTAAACTAGAATTCTATTTATACCTCAACCGTTGATCCTTTCTCAGCTACTGGACCCTTCCCCTCAACCAAATCATAATATTTCAATCCATCAGCTGCTGTGGTAACAAGAAAGCAATAGGGGTTAAATTCAAATGCTAATTACATGTAGAACACAAAATTACGCTCCATTTGGACAGAGAAACTTCAAAGAAAGGATTTGGATAGAAACGATTAGATTGAATGTATTTGAAATAATTCGGCATAGAACATTTGAAATGACTATATGCAAGTAATCAGTTGAAATCCATTTGTTATCTTCCTTTCCTCCTTGTCCAAATCTAGGTATACATGGATTGCAACAGTCTAAACAGACAATTTTACCTAATACTATCATCTAAGTTCCACATGGACACAACAAAATAAGAAGATAAAAGGAAAAAAAAAGAACTGAATCAACCATTTTCCAGATAAAACTGCACAAATATTGTTTGAGACCGAATTGTGGCCTGAGCATTGCATCTAATAAGTTGTCAACCAATCTTTTATTCTCTTTGTTTGGGTCTACAACAAGATATTCCATGCCCATTGGGACGAAATTCGCCATGAACACACTCGTAGTTATACATATTATTTTGGGCAAATTACCCTTCAAAATCAAAACTAAAATCAAGAGTCACACAAGTTTTGAACTTATTTAACTTTTAAATCACAAGAACATGAAATCGCAAGAAATGGAAGCCACCCACATGATTAGGCAATTAGTAGACTTGAGAGATAAATTAATTAAGAAGAGAGAAAGGGTTAGAGTAAGTAATTACGGGTAGTGCGGTAGTCTTCAAGAGGAATGACTTTCCTGTTGCGTCTCTCTCTGGCCTCCGAAGGCGGAGACGCTGAAATGAGGCTCAGAGGCAGCCAAGTGATCAGAATCGCACATCTTCTTGAAATCAATGAGGAAATGGGAACTGAAACTCGAACCACTTGCTCTGCCTTGTCTACTACTTGGGTTGTGCTTTTGCTGGGTTTTGAACTTGAACTTGAACTCAACCGTGGATGATGATGATGATGACGGTGATTAACGGTCAAGCACCTTATTGATGCCATGGCCGTTGGAATAACAGAGAGGCCGGTTTTTAAAGCAACCTATAATACCATATCCCTATCCACTTCCTATTTTTCTAAAATTACCATAATACCCATACTTGCTTCATCACCACTTTAGTATTGGGTTATGATATTAGGGAACAGGATATGTCTAATTTCACTCGTTGGATTGTATGGATGCTGCATATTAAATGGCAAAAGGTCATTGTTGAATTGCACATATGCTGCATAGCTAAGGATGAGAATTCCCAGTTGAAAGCCATTGAATAATCCATCTTTTTTTTTATTATCAGTGTCTCAGTCTTTGGAGTTTGGAGTGGAATTTTAATACCATTCTAGATTAGAGTTAGATAGATCTTGGGACTTAAAAGAAGGAAAAATCAGTGAAGTCCGTGATCAAGTATTTGTTGCTTCGAGCACCATCCAATTTTATCCATCCATTTAGTATATTGCTCAAATTCTTGCTATCTAGCAAGATTCTTGGAGCACCATCTTGGCCACCATACTCGGCGAGAGTCTCCTAGGTTATTTGCCAAACTTGTTTATTGATTAACACTAGGAAAGCCTTGTGTGCTAAGGTAGAGGAACCTACGGCCGAGATTTGTTCTTTCCTCGACCACAATCGCTTCGATCAGAAGTCCAAATCCAATGCATCATTCACACCATCAACGTTCACTCGCACACCCCGCATCCACACATCCCAAGGAAGACGCCAATTGCTCATTTTTCTCAGTCAAATATTGGGTTTATTATTTTGGTCATTTATATAGGGCCGAGAAATATTTGGGTCAACATAGACTAAAGGAACACTACGAATAAAATGGTAACTGATAATGTCTTGAAAGTATACATAATTTACAGAACTTGAGATGAGCTAAATTTAGAAGGTGCTTGCTTGTGTCTTCAACTTTAAATTTAAACCAAATGAATCCACCATGTAGCTGATATTGGTTTCATAACAAAACTGCAAAGAAATAATATATAATATTACATACAAAGAAGGGATCTAGACTATCGATCGCCACATAAATTGGAGCCCATGTTGTTATTTATCAGGAACTCAAGATGTGTTCTGGCCTGGCACTTGTAGAAGATTAGGTTCATGTTAATAATTTGGTCAGTTTGCAAAATGTCACAACCAATGGTGCATGCATGGCCTTTCTGGAGCCTCAACAATATTGTCAATATTTTTCTCCCACATTCAGCGCCGCAATCTCACCATAATCTCATGGTCCTCCTGTTAGGAGGTCATTCGTGTTGCCTTGAATATCTACACTGGCCATGATGTTTGCCGTCTGTTCAGGAGTTGATGGACCTTTTTCCATTTCAGCCTTTGTTGGAGCCTTTGTTACTGAATCGCCACCGGGTTTAGCTGCCGGCTTCCCGTCACTCTTCTTCTTTGCAGCAGCATTCTTTTGCCATATCTTTAAAGCTTTGTTAGTTTGTTCATCAAAGATTGACTTCTTCATTGTTGATCCCATCTATGATTTCCCAAGAACGGAAAAAACAGTAGTTATATATGGACACAAAAAAAAGATACATAGTGGAGTGATTAGTGAATTGTACCTGCGTAACCAATGCATATAGGGGAAGTGTGATGTAGCTGCACATAACTTGGACGCATACCCTGCTCAAATCACATTCACCATTCAGTAATTTGGAGGGTTCAATCATGTCTCGTTAATTACAAACTCAAATGATTTCTGTCAAAGCACCGTCTACGAATAAGGAAGAACATGTTCATGATAATGGAAGATGTTCTATTGTCAGACTGTGAATCATAGACCGTTCACTGATTAGGTTAATTTTGGCCAAATGTGTGCTTCAGATTCACAGTCTACCACGAGAACATAACTCTTAAGTAAGATAATATAATCTACCAGGGCAGTATGTAGCCTGAATTTACGAGAACTTCAATGGGGGTATAACTCTAATGAGTATTAGAAAAGTTAAAAAAGAAGAAAAAAAGAGAGAAGATATACATACCCAAGTGCAACTCTGAGTATTGTAAGAACGAAATTATCATGGAAACAAGATCTTATCCCAAACTCGTACTGCATTAGGATTCAAGAGAGAACTTTTAATTTCGAATGCCAGAAGTGACATATATAAATAATCAAAATAAAGAAAGGTGGTTGATCTAATTTTTACCCATATCCAAAAGAAATATGTTATCTCAAATGCATTCTGCAAAAATGAAATACACAATTAGGTGGCAGATAATAAACTCAAAATCTTGATCATGGTTTCAAATAAAGGGGCTAATAATACACCTGAAACAGGACAAAATGGATCAAATAAAGAACTAACTGAGGCCAGCTAAACCAGAAATGCTTGTCTGAGACTTGCACCAGAGGTATCCCTTGGACTACAGCATGTCTTTCTTGGATCTCAAGTGCCATTTGAGATATAATTGCTTGCAGCTTTGTTCCAACAGCTAATATTATCTTCAACCAACACAAGCCTCAGTCATTAATTTTTTTTTAAACCATTAATTTTTATTAAATTGATTTAATTAATTGTGAGTTAATTCCCAGAACAATTTTTTTTTTTTTTTAAAAAAATAACACTTACAACAAGAGGAAGTATGGACAGCACAAACATAGCCTCCCATCCTGAAACAAAAGGCCAAGCAAAAAAGTTATCCGAGGAATTAAATCCAACTCTTAATATAGAAATTTGAATCTATATCAAATTTATAAAAAAAAAAAAAAAAAAAAAAAAAAAAAAAAAGGAAAAAAAAGAAAGAAGAGAATAACTAACCATGAACATTGAGAAGCAGGTAGAGAACCATTGAAGTCCACAACAGTGGACTGCCAGCACCATCAAAATACAGAGTTAGAAAAGAGCATTTCCCACAAATTTGATGAAAACAAAATGTTTTAGTATTTTTACCTGATTCCCACAACTACCTTAAAGTCATCTTCTAATGACCTTTTGATATACTTTTGAAAGTCAAACTTACTTCCAGGTGCTAAATGGACCTATACATATGCATATAAGAACACACTTCAAGTCAGTCATCTTGCTAAAAATACTAATATGAACTGAAGATTGTTTCATGTAATTCTAGAGAAACATACCGTGACGAATCCATGTCGCATGGTCAAGTAGTCGGCCCTGCGGACGGACCTAAAGAATTGTCGAAGAAAGCTTACCTGCCAACAAATTTGAATATTCAAGACAATCATAGAGAAAAACTGCATTCTAGTGTGTCTATTGAATATGTAATAGAGGAGAGTTTTCAAGTGAGGATGTCCTCATTTGAAAAATATTGTGAACATTCTCCTAGAGCTACCCCGCAATGCAGTTCAATGATCGAAACTGTCTATATTTGAGGACATTTTTGCAATAAATTAGCCATATCGATAATTGTGTTCGATCATGGGATTGCAAGCATCTCACAGGGAACTAGAAATAGGGAACAGAGGAAATAATAACATCGTTCTTACAAAATAGAAGGTAAATGGGTTTTTAGTCCAACATCTTGTGTGGTCTCTAACAAATGATGTCTCGTGAGTAAGCCTGAATTTTGTAGGATCTGTTTAAAATACAAAGCTCCAAATTTAGCACTCAACACAGAGACAAGTAACAATCAGTAGCTGTTGCGTTGTCGAATGATTTACCATTGAATTCATTATCAAATTCCATCTCTCGTTCCCATACCTTCCACGCACGAATCTGCACAAATTCAGGAAAATACAACGCTTCACCAAAATTTTATTTTATTTTAGGGTTTTAGTAATAAAACTCCACAAAAATTCTATAACCTTTGAATTGCAGATGGATATGTATCAAAACAAAAATAGAGTCTTGAACCGACCTTTAATCTTCCAAGTGTCATGGTTATGGCACCGTATACAACGTGAAATATTGCTAAAAAGAATATGAAGATGTGCAATTGATGTAATCCATTTGTAGATATGAGCGGCACTTTTCCCTGCATCACAATACACAATCAAGTAGTTTTAAAAAAAATCCAAAACTCATGGAGAAAATGAGACAGTAAAATTACCTCCTTGCAGCCTGGACCATCGCCACCACCGGCTAAATATCTGCGTTCATACCATAAAAGCCTGCGACGATGATCTCCACCACCACCACCACCACCTCCTTCTTGCTCTTCCCCTCTGTATGGGCAAGGTAACATTGTGTCTGCTGCCTCTATCGGAATACACACTTTAGCGATGTACTGTTGCCCAAATGTTAGCAACAGAGAAATAAATCCCAAAACCATAAGCTCTGCATGCATGCATGTGCCCAAAAACACAACCATGCAAACCAAACAAACGAAAACCAAAGACAAAAGCAAAACAAAAAAAATAAATGAGATTATAATGGAATTATAAACACATATATACTCAAACTCAAAGTATGAAAGAAATGAAAACATAACATTTCTCTCGTCGGGTTATTTTGGGTTTAAATTCACAGACTAACAACATAAGTTAAGCAATAAAAATTATCCTATATGGCGTTTTCTACATGTACTTACCTCCTTTCACTTTCTCAAGAGCTTCAAGCAATCCACTCTTTTTTCTATGTTCAAACCACTGCAATATGGAAAGCACAGGATAAGTCTATTCAATTGATATATAATCTCCCAGTTATAGTTCCAAACCATTAAACCATGCATACGTATAAGCATGCATGCAGTTCAACAATACCTAATTAATTACGATGATTCTTAATTGTTTGAAAAAGTAATTACATTAATTATACAAAAAGTAAATTAATAAAATGCAATTTAAAGTAAAATTATGGAGATTGTACGTACATGTCCGATCATATGAAGAACCTTTTCCAAAACGATGGAAATAATAATGATAATGAAACAGACGGTGGCCAGAGCCCACGTTGGCGTCTGATCCAGCTCCCTGCCTCCACCCCCTCCGCCGGCCATTTATTATAATCTTCAAACCCTCAACCGCCCTAGCTGGCTAGCTTTCCCTTAATTCTGGCCTTAATTATTTAATTATATTAATTTACGCAACAATCAACGATGATGATTGAAATTTTAAAAAATAAAAAATAAAAAAATCATCTACCTCTCTCTCTCTCTCTCTCTCTCTCTCTAGCTATACAAAGCCAATGCGTTTAGAGGGTTGACAGGGTTCCTTGAAGAAGAAAAGAAAAAGAAGAAGAAAGAAGAAAGAAGAAAGAAGAAAGACCGTTTCTTTGGTTTTTCTTGTAACGGTCTTGAACTCGGAGAGATGTACGGAAGGCTGGCTGATGAACAAATGGCGCATGGCGGTTGCGAATCAAGATTGCCCGTCTTTATGGTGTGTAATTTCATGTTTGCCATTTACCCAAAAAGCATAAAACATTCCTCTTTGCCCATTGCCATCTCTGTGGTGAACCTGTTAACCGGAGTGTAAATTGGGATTCTTTTGCTAAAAAAAGATTGAGGCCCTACTACAGCCACGAGAGAAATAATCCAGTGATGAAAGAAATCACGAGGCATCGTGTCCACTTTGCAATCCACTATATTGTCAAAACAAGTACTAGTGTGTTAGTCGCTCATCAATTTTGAAAATTGAATGTGACGGTCAAATCGTCGTGTAATGTTATCCGTTCATGTGTCATAGCCATAAAAAATACAACATAAGTTTAAAAAAGAACACTCTTCCATAGTTAATCTCATAAATTACTTGACTTAGTGGTCATTTCTAATTAATCACGATGAGTACATAGCGGTCATATTTACATCAACTAATTAACTCTTAATTAGATTTTTGCCCCTTATGATTCCTCTCAAACTTTTCGTGGTGTCCGAACATTTAGGTTTCATTTCATATGAAATGTGATGATTTGGGATAATAATCCGATATCATTGTTATAATTAGAACCATTTATAATTATTTCCAACGGTGGAGAAGACATAGAGTATGCTACTTTATGTGGATTTGTTAATGCCCACTTGACACCCCTATTGGCAATGAAAATTTTAGGAATTAAACTATTGGAGTGACAAATCCATACCCACGTCTCAGTGGGGCTCATTTGGTATTGTAGTTCAACAATCCGAACCGTGTTTTTAAGTCTTCATTTATAAATTATCTTTGAAAAAAAATTAGACAAATTAATTCTTAACAATTCAGACATCTAATTGTGATGAAATAAAGAGATAATTTTTTCTTCAAGAAATACTAAACATCATATGGTGTGTATATCTCCACGCTATAAGATAAGGGGTTATCATAAGATAGTCAGGTCGAAGTTATTCCTTTTGGTTACATGTTCGTTAATTGTCACCCTTGACACAAACAGAGAAGGACACGTTAAAGAGATTCAATTTCAAATTATTCTTGAAGAGGTACCATCTATAAATGATTTATTGATCTTCATCCTCTTTGTTTTTTTAACACAGATTTTGTAAAAAAATTGAAATAAATTTAAAAACTCCATGTTTAGTATGAATACTTTACATTATTAATAAATTGATAATCTCAGAAAAATAAATAAATCGACTAATCAAGTCTTAATTAACCATCACTGCATATTCTTTTTGAAAAGCAAATAAATAGTACAGAGACCATTTTAAGATCAACAAAGTCGTTGTAGTATAGTGGTAAGTATTCCCGCCTGTCACGCGGGTGACCCGGGTTCGATCCCCGGCAACGGCGTTTTCTTTTTGCCTATACTAAATTCAATTTTCCTTTCTCTCCGCCATCAGTCATTCAGCGGCTCAATTCATTTCAACTTGTTTCCCCCTGTGTTGAATCTGAAACCAACTGCTCCCATTAATCTCTCACCATAAAGTTAAAATAAATATTGATAACCATTTTTACTTCGTATCAATTTTAATGTCATAAGATTGTTCCTTGTTGATTTTATATTTGATTTTTTTTTACTTTTTACAAAATTAAAGGCTCAAATTCTGTTAAATTTATACGGTTTGCAGAAGAATTGTTACCTCTTTTTATTTTCTTTCGCACAAGCGTTATTAGAAGAGGAAATTTGAACACTCCTCAAGTACATTTGAATAGGAAAATCAATCATTTTTCCTTGTGGATCCGACATTAATCCTCTCATACCTACCAATTGGTGTACTTGGGATGCATTTCCTCTAGCTCCCGAAAATGATATCATCTTACTTTTTCTTCATAATCAATATTCTCATGTACAATTAACCTCTTATGGAATCTTTTTTTTGAGCGAATGCGTTTCTATGAAAAAATAAATTATCATGTAGAAGAAGTCTTTGCTAATGATTTTCCGGTTGCCATCTTATGGTTGTTCAAGGATCCTTTTATTGGCAACTGATGACAACCTGAACGCATTTTGTGACTTGGGAAGAAAAGATACAAAACAAAACGTAAAAATCTTTGGATGGAGAGACCCAGCTCAGCTTGGGGAGATGATCGTCCAAAGAATAAAGTTCTAACGACGCTTCAGGCAATGAGTTCTGGAATCACCTGTAACTATTGTAAGTATGCTAACAAAACCAAGAAAGATATATTGTATACGCACACCTGCAAATGAACAGCAATTCATATGTGGGAATCTAGTTAGAGAAAAATGCTGATCAGGCAGAGCAATGTATTGGGTTAGTTAGTACAACATGATACAAACTCTGCACATGATGATGTTTTGTAACAAAATTCAAACTGAAAGAAACATCCCGGGTCCAACTCTATATGCATGAAAATGGTGATCAGTATTTCTCATTAATATAATCTACTCAAACCAATCTAGAAGAAAACTGGTTTTGCTGGGAATCGCTTGGAAGAAACACGGGAAGCTGGCCACCCCTCTGGGATCTACCTTGTTGATACGTAGTAGAACCTCTATCCATGCCAGAAGCCAATGAACTGATGATATTCCTTGTCCCTCTGGTTGGCTGCTCATTCATAACAGGCCCACCAAAAAATATGGATTGCCCCGTGTACGTGAGCTCTGCTCCGGAAATCTGAGAAGAGGAACCTGCAGATCTGGAAGATGAGACAAATCGTCCAGCTTCTTGATCCCAAAAGACTGAAGATCCCACTTTTTCTGCAACACTCAAGTTACCTCTTTTCATAGGAATTTGCCCTATGTTTTCATTGCCCTCACTTTGTTTTGCTGACCGTGGAGATTGATCCACTGATGACTGATAAATGGGGTTGAACTGATCTATGTTTGAAGCTTTCTGCTCTAGTGGCGAAGGGGTGAGACTAGAGACATGAGGACTGCTAAAGTTACTAAGAGTGCCACGGCCCGTTTCAACATCTTCTCTGCTAGCACGACTTGGTGGGTATGAACTCTTAGGAGACAATTTTGACGTCCCTGCTCTAGCATTTCTGTTGGTGAACCCCTGATCTGTACTAATTGGACTGCTTCTTCCACTCACATTGCTACTCGATAAATAGTCAGCCTCATATGGTTGATGTCGAGAACTAATTGGACGAAGCACAGATGATGATGCTCTAGCTTTGGCACCTGCTTTGGTTGCCTCATTAGAATCCAACTTTGAAAGCTTCCATGCACTTATTCGGACTGGACGCTGGGGTAACTTTTTTGCCTTATCAGGCTGCTGTATTGTATCTGGATCCACTGTGGATGGTAGGCGTCCTGGCTCCAAATGTGGAATAATTTCATCCTGCATATACAAGACCAATAAGATATCAATTCTACCCTTATTCTTAGAAAGGTTATGAAAAAATTGCAAAACTGAGGATCCACATGCATCACATGTGATTGAGTTGCTGCATTTCAAACCAATGGCTTACAAAATCACTAGTCACCACCAATTACAACCATAACTCTGGCAGAAATCTATTCCTTTTTTATACATAATCCTTAAAATTGGTTAAATTTTCAGTAAAACAATTATATCTTCATCATTTTTTTGTATGGCTATATGATAACTAACGATTATAAACCATTAACATAATAGTACTTCAAAATTATCTCTCAATTGAAATTGCATATTATCCAGCTCCCTTGTACATCAAACTTATGAAACCAATTTCACACCCCATCCTCTTTTGAATTACACACAATTCACAAAAGATATTTGTCGGAAAAGTTTCATGCACCTACAACAGGATGTATATAAAATTTTCTACAATTAACGACAAACCAGTTTCAAATTTTCTTAAGGAAAATACACTTCTTTTAGAATACAACCGCTATTCCATAATTATATTTGAAGTAAAGGTAGTAGTACCTGGTGGTCCATAAATATTCTTGGAGGGGTGCACCAAGCAGCTTTATAGTGCAAATTCATTCCATGAGAGCTTCTTCCACTTATGGCAGTAACAGCAGAACTGGTTGGTGAAGATGGAAGACTTTGCTGATCACCTCCATCTACAGATGGTCCAGGATGTTCACTTTGTGTTCTCATGGCAACAACATATTCATATGTTGTGATGCCCTGCATCAAAACAATAATTTTAGTACATCCCCTACTAATATGGAGAGAGAGAGAGAGAGAGAGAGAGAGGAGAGAGAGAGAGAGAGAGAGAGAACAGGTACAAACAAACATACCTTTCGAATCAGAATTATGTGGAAAAAGAATAGCTCTCCCAAAGGAAAAATGGCAAGAAAGGAGATAGCTGTGCACAGGGCCTGCAGACATTATAAATTTGTGATGTTCTTTCAGTATCTGACAGAATCCAGACCAATGAATTAAAAGCCATGAAATTATAGGGCAGAAAACTTACAACTACAGTGGCAAAGGGGGGCTGGGAGAAGCCAACTCCCAGCCTCTCAGTTATCTCACTTTTCATACCATTTTTATCAACAAAGCATCTAACAAAGACAGCAATACCAACACCACATTCAACAATAAGCTGTGACACACATGCAAAAACATCATGAGAAATAAATTTACTTTGGATAGAAAGACATCAAAACATTATGTAAGGAAACCAGACCGTCGAAAAGCTCACCCAAACAAGGCTGGCAGCCATAAGGGACACAAATGTGATATAATTTTTCCTCCCCACACAATTATTCAACCACTGCAACAAAAATACTGATAATACTAGTGATGCCAATATAATAATAAAGATGTTCTTCATACATTATAGGGGCAAGTTACTAATGATGCATACTGAGCACTAGGATAAGTGCCATAGCACAGTTAGATATGCTAATAATTCAGGCAGGATATAACACAGGGATGAACATTTAGTATGAAATTTAGAAATTACCCGACAATGATGATCAAATCCATCAACACATTTATCACAACTTCTACAATGTTTACTGAACTTGCGGACCTACAAAATAACATGACAGCATGAGATGACCTGGAAGATAAAGTTTCCCTTCCTTTGTTTAGCATGCAGATACCAAACATTACGACCCTCACAACACCAAGAATGAGACAAGGCTTCAACTAGCTGAAGATGCTGAAAACTGAAATTAACATAACTAGAAATCTCATACCTCAGCATTGCACAAAGTGCAGAAGAGAGCATCCTCTCCAGATTGTTCCTGTTGCTGCAAACCATCTTCATATTTGCGGCAATCTTCTCTTACAAAACAGCAACAAAAGAAACCTCCTAATTTTGAACACCAACTTGAACCTTGCCTATCCAACTTTCCTCCATTATTGAAAGACACATTCCCTAATAAAAATACAACATAAGCTTAAATTAGAAGCTCCAGAGAACAAAGTCAGAAGGAAGTGCTGATATCTTCAGCTTATGCTGGCAAATAATATCAGACGGGTAAAAGGATCATTCTCTTTTTACTTAGGTACATGAGCAAATGAGCTTCTATCGGATTCTCTCAATTAATAATCAATAATTCAGATAGGCTGACATACACATTTTATTGTAGAGCCACTCAGGACTATCTATCAATATTCTTTTCCCCAAGAAATATCCTGACAAGTACCATTGCTAAAGTGGGCCTTAATTTCAATGTGAGATATCATGTCTGTTCTAGACTTGAATATGTACTTTAATGCAATCTCTGCAGAAATAAATAAACTATATTGCAGCCAAAACACTAACCACGAGTATCTGTATCATTGTTTGCTTTGTAGGACAATGTCTTGTCAGCTTCAACTAGTATACCAGGATCAGCAGGATCAATTGCTGTACACCGAACATAAAGTATGAATACAGCAAGTGCCTGAAAATCAAGATTCAATCAATTAGACAATGACAAGAAAGCCTGAGCCAATGATTGGATTTTAAGTTTTTGGTTTTGGTGGTGGGGGGTAACTGAGCTTACCAAGATAGAATAAATGCCAATAGCCACATACTCATAGATGTCCTTTCCGAGAAATGGAGCGAAGAAGGCATAATATGCAACAGTTAGCAGGAAAAAAACCGTTATAGCCACAACCTGAGCACACACAAAAAAAAGAAAAAAAAGAAAAAGGGAATGAGTATCAGAAAGGCATGAAACATCACACAAGCTCTCAATGTTTCTCCAAAACATGGATCCACCAATCCCCGGTAATGACTTAGGTAATACAAACTTGTCTATTCAAATCTGCTTGACTATCTAACAACAGCACTGACATAAATTATTACCTACTTATGACTTATGCCATTTTTTAACTTTATTTTCAAGTTCACACTGCAACAACTTAACTTTCAATTATCGCAAATGACATGATCACCAGTATGAAACCTAGTTATATGGTGTGTGGGATTAATGATTTCACTCAAGAACAAGGTTAGAATTAGAATGGGAACCCAATTAGCAAAGAAGACCGGCACTAAATCGAGCCTAATACAACAGAACAAAACGTAAAACAAAGTCTTAATTGCTTCTTTTCTTTGGCTCAATTATCATCGGACAGGTAGGGTCCAATAATCACCCTTAATGCATTCGAAATAAAGATTTTAAAGTAACTGGTAATCCAACAAGTGCAATTTCTTGCAAAATAAAAGGTTACATCATTTCCGGAAACAAAGGCTCTGAAGTCCTTCGAAGAATTACTTTACTTTTTACAAAAACAATTGTTAGAGAAGAGAGACCCATAAACACAAAATCCCCCGACGACATTGTAAAACAAAGGAATCGCACACTCAAACACATAATAAATAACAATGATTCACCAGTCAGCCCTTGGAAAAATAATAATTTACCAAAAACAAAAATTTAGAGTAAAGGCAGATGAGAACTAAAATATACAAACAAACAAAAGACCACATTTTGACAATTATAAAAAAAAAGTACCTGAAAAGTGTGAGCAGGGAGTTCCCATCCATGACGCCGAGCCATGACCAAGAACTGAGTCCAAATTCCTAAACGGTCAACACCATCAGAAAACCGAAACCGCCATTAACACAAGCCAACACCAGAATGCAAATCGTAACCAGATTCTCAGAAAAACTGGTTCAGCACTGTCCCATTGTTTCTTGCTTCCTATTATCCTAGTACGGACCACAGCAAATCCAAGCCTTAAATATGTTTTCTTTTGAGATTTCAATGTCGACCCAGATGGTAAAAACGGATTTCGAGACAACCCATGAAGTTTGATTTTGGATTCTAGGGCTGGTGGAGGGTTGAAATCAGAAGAAATATCATGAGAAGAAGAGCAGAAGGAGAGGAGAGCCTTGGGCTGTGTCTCTGTTTGATTATATTGAACACTTGTCTGCTGTGGTTTTTAAAGTAAACGGCCTCTGTTAGTTGCCACTTACTTACACTGTATCTGCCGGCGAGGCAACTAATTTTTATTTTATGAAAACTTTGTACTCTTTTGAAAGTCTTTAACAGAATTTTATGTTGACCAGAAAACAAAAAGAATACAGAATTTTATGAAAGCCAGCTCCAGAATTTTAGAGACTCCATCACCCTCAATTCATCAATCCTTCTATCCAATCCAGTCAGCCGCTACCGTGATTTTGGTGATTTGGTTGATGATTAATATAGTCAACTCCATTTTTTTCACTTGATGGTCAAAATCAGTTAATCATGGTCTGGCCACATAATTTTTTGTCAAATTGGGTAAATCATTATTCGATGATTAATAATTTATGACACTTTCTTTTAAGAGCCCAAAATCACTAATTACTATTTAGTAGTGAGTTTTTAATTTATCGGAAGAGGCTATTCGTTTAAATTTTATGAACGACAATTATTGAACAAAAAAATTATAGTCACTAAATTTGTTTACTAAGGTGACAATGTCTCATTTATATTTATTCAATTTTGGCATTAGGTTAACGGGGTTTAGCTTAGTAAAAAAGGACATTGACTTACAGGCCAATAGTCTCAAGTTCGAACACCATGACACATTGGAACTTTAGCAAAAAAAAAAACTTTGGAATTAGTTTGAACTTCATTTTGTCCCTTAAAAAAATATATATATTGAAATATATTTTGACTCATCATTTGGTAGAACATTTGGTAACTTTAAGATTATTTGTTATAAGAACTCCATCTTAACTCTGTTAAATTGATAAATACTTCTTACTTTACTTTAATTTTCATGTCCATGAAGCTAGAAATGAGGTGGTTTTGGTAATTACAACAAATTGTTATACAATCAGCACTTTGATGCTTGAGTTATTATTATTATTATTATTATTATTATTATTATTATTATTATTATTTTGAGTACAAGTGATTGAGGAACGGGGATTTACATAAATATTTATTGGGTGTGTGGGGTATCGAATTTCTGCCCACATTAACAAAAGTGAAAGAACATAACCAACTGAGCTATACCCCACCGATAAATGCTTGATTTAAGTGAGCTAGGTCAAGCATTAAACTGTTTGTAGACTACTGTTTTGTTCAACCACAAGTTTGGATTTTTGTGTAAAAGGTTCAGCTGTTTTATTGCAAATGCTTTAACGATAAGCTTTCTATAGTCCTTTTATAATTATTGACCCTCAATTTCTTTTAATATGAGTGCATTGTCTCAATTTTTTTCTCTCTTTGCCATAATTTTCTTGAATTCACATAAACAACCCTTAACAATAGCACTAAATCATTATATATTATCACTGATACAATATATAATAAATATATGGAGACACTCTTAGACACTTTTTATAATTAATTTTAAGGGTTTTTAACTTTAGTAGTCACTGAATTTATACATGAATTTCAATTTACTCCTTAAACATATTTTTTTTGAGTCAATTAGATTCTCCAACTCTCTTAATCGTTCCAATTGAGTCATTCCATCACATTCCATCAATTTAAGGGTTAAAACTATTCATCTGAATTAAAAACTTAAAGTAAAATATTATAAAAATTAGAAAAAGAAAAAGAAAAAAGCCAACCTCACCCCACCCTCCTCCATCTGTCTCTTAACAACCCACCTTTTCTTCATCTGTCACTTCTCCCACCACCCACCCCCCTCCTTCTCTCTCATTCTTACTCTCTCTTCGACAATCACCTTTCCTCCATTCGTGATTTTGCATACCCTACTTTCTTGAAAATTCTTTAAAAAGTTCCAAAAAATAAAACTGGATCTTTTGACTACTGACAATACAATAAATCAATAACCAAAGCGGTTTGACATTTCAATGAAATAATTTATGGAAAATAAATTAATTAGTTGCAAACAAGGTATTAGATATCGGTTCTTTCGGAAATATTGGGAGTTTCAAAATATGGAAATTTCAACGGAAATTTGGATAAAATATTGATATTGGTAAAAATTGAATAAAAGTCATGAAAATTGTTAGAAAATTATGAAAATCTCAATTATCTACTCATTTAACAAAAGAAATTGAAAAAACGTCATTGCATGATAAGCTTGTGTGACTAAGATTACATATAATGCACACTGGCAGATACTATTACTGGGAAAATATGCTCACTAATTACAAACTTTGCATGTATGCACATCAGTTTCATTTTAATTAGATTTAGTATTGTTTGTTAATGAGAAGGAGAAAATTCAAGATTTCTATGAGGAAGAAAAAAAAAGATGAAGTATTTATAAATAAAATAATAATGTTAATTTAGATTTTAGGATATTTGTGGGAAAGATGGGGGATTGTTGGGAAAAAAAAAGGAATGGAAAGCACAAATAATGATAATAAGAGTTGAAGCCATTCACAAGTCAAGCTTCAACTCATTTGGTAGAAAGAAGTGGTGGCAATTCAATGGCAGAAGTGGTTGGATCGATAAATTTGCCAAAAAAGTTGATAAAATCACGGTAAATTAAGGAAACTTGCCAAAATATCCTAGCTTGAGAAAAACGATAATATCACCAAAATATCAACAATATTATCGATATTTAAGAATATGGTTGCAAAAAACCTAACCGCACCTGGTCCCCTTTCTCCTTGCCGACAACCAACTACAAGGAAGCTAAAGGGGGGAGGTGGCCATTGCCCCTCCTCCCTTCCTCTCCTCATCTCCCCTTCTTTTTCTCCTATCTTTCCCTTCCTCTTATCCCTTCTTCTCCTCTCCTTCCCCTCCCCATATATTCTAGATATGTTTGGATTTAGGTTTGTTTGTCTGTTTGTTTTGTTTAGTCATTTTTGCAGTGTTCTAGGTGACTAGTATTGTCTTTGTCTCGGCGGCGACGACAGTAGTGAAGCTGGATTGTGTCTCTCATCGGGAGAGTTGTGATACTTGGTGGCTGATGTTTTGTCTATGTTTCAACGGTGGTGGCAGCATCGACGCTGGTGGTAGTTGTTGGAATGTGGTGCTCTTCTCTACTCTGTGCAGATCGAAGAGCTATACTTGGTCATAAGAGGTTTTCTTTGTCAGGTTCTAAGTTGAAATGAATTACTTCTCATGGGTCCTTTTATTATTGTTTCTATGTTTCTCTCCATGTTCTCTCCTAGTTTCTGCTATGGTATACCTTGCAATTTGTGTAGGTGTCAAAGAAATACGATTTTGCTTATAGAAGGTTTCTTTTGATAGTTGGGATGTTTTGCGGTCCTCTCCTGTGGGTTTACTGTTTAGGGTTTCTGCGGTCCTCTCATGTGGGTCTACTGTGTTGGTCTCTAGTAGTGGTTCTTGTTGAAGGTTTTTGTGTTAGTTTTCATTTTTCATTTGTTCTTTTATTATAATGGTCCAAAGTGACATGAATTGGACTCTCTTGTTAGGCCATGACATGTGTGGTAATCTTTCCTCCCCTGGAGTTTGTCCCATGAGGTTGTCCTAAGAAGGTTTTAACGAGGCCACTGCATTATGTCACTCTTTGTACGTCTTTGGTTCTTTGAATGAATTCTCTTTCTCAAAAAAGAAAAAAAAGACTATGTTTGCAAAACAACTCACCATGTGTTTTTTTAGTCGAAATAAAAAACCAACCCATTGTTTTGATCTTTTTCTCCACCATAAAACCAAAGTCTTTCCTCTCTCATCTATCATAAAATCCAAAAGACATAGAATTTCATACATTAAACAACAACATAACTTTATCTACATCCAAACCCAAGATTCTCACACAACTAATCTCTGCAATCAAACACAATGACACACATAGAGATTGACACACATCAGCGAACTCTTCGACTCCGCCTGCAATCACCCAAGTCTCTTCTTTGACACTTTTTATTTTGCGTCTCCCTTAGGAACTCTTCCTTGTGTGCCAGGGTTTTTGCAAAGACTATTTCCTATTTGGAAGGAAAATATTCTTTCCCTTAAATGGAGAGATTAAGTCAATCAGGGATTTCAATTAGAATCAAATAATCCCCCAAATAAATGGGCCCGGTTATTGACCTAAGAGATATTTTTCTTGTCCACATGGTGCCTTGTGATTGGAAGCCGGAATATTGCTCCCACAAATGCCCCCCCAGCTTCTGCATGACACTTGTGAGGCATGAAGGAGATGAGAAATATTTTTCGGGCTTCCTAACTGCATTTGGGCTTTCTTCTTTGAGTTAGGCTCCTAATTGGAGTAGGCTTTTGACTTCTTTTTGGAGTTGGGCTCCCAATGGGAATAGGCTTGTGACTTCTTGTTGGTCAAGGATACCCAACTACTATAAATGCAAGGCTTCTCTTCGCTCCTCTTCATATCACAAACTTGCTTTCCTCTACTTTCTAGCTTGTGAGAGAGATCTTGTAGGATAGTATTGCTTGTTGAGGAGAGGAGTTGTTGTGCACACAAAGGTAGGTCACACTTGGGTTTTTATTTTTCTTCAACTTTTTCTTCACGGCAAGAACCAGTTGGCCGGTTGCCATCGACTGTGGCTGCCACCTGCTAGCTACTGAAATCGTGGCTGCTTTTGCAGTCGTGGACCTGCTAGAGTTGTGTTGGCTTGCTGTTGCAATGTCCTACTATGATATGGCTCGAATTGCTAATCCACATTATTAACATATCCAAAGCTTTGGTATTTGTGAGTTCTTGTGACTAATCAGCTTTTGTCTTCTACTTGCACTTTGAAGAGATCAGTAAAAGGCTTGAACTCGAACTGGACATGGCCAATGTTTGCCAGGCCATGAAAGCAGGAAGGTGGTTTGTCCCCAACTGGTGGTGTTTGAGAGATAGAAACATCATAGTCTCGACTTGGATGATCAGCTCGATGAAAGGTATAAGTCCTCGACTGGCACTTCTGAAAAGTGGAAGCATGTTCTCCATTAGTGTTTTTCAGGTGAGTCTTATGCTTGAGGTGAGCAGGATATCGTCACGAAAACAGATACGGTTGATAAGCATGTAACTAGTGAGACAGTGGCTGATGAGCCTGTAGTCGAGGATGATGATGCCAAAGAGGGCACAACTGATAAGGCAAAGGCTAATGTTGTGGAGTAAGTAGCCAAAATTGATGAGTAGGTGGTTGCAATCGATGAGTAGGCAGCCGAGGCTAATGAGTAGGTGGCTGCATCTGATAAGCAAGTGGTTGGTGAGACATGAGTTGAAGAGAAATGTAGCTGATGAGACTAGAGCTGAGGATGACGTCAACAAGGGGGAGTCTCCTGCCGAAGCCTCAAAGTATGTAAAGATTTTTTTTCTTCTTTGTAGTTTTGTAGCATTAAGTATTGGTCACGATTGATTACTTCATTTGATATGCTAAACTTGGGCATGTCGGCTGCCCATTACTATATTTGAACTTCTGGATCTGTTGGTTGCATGTTCTTTGTTGAACTCTGGCTAGTCGGTCATGTTGCTATGGAAACTTTAGTTATTTCTTTAACTTTAGTTCGCATTGTGTCTTGTGAACTGCTTGAGTGACCAGTTGGTGTCTTGGTGTCATATTTCTCTTAGGATATTTGAATGTTTATTCACCGCTTGCTTAAAGGGTGCTCTTTTGCTTCAATTTTTAGGATACTTTGACTGTCAGTGTCTCCCTTAAGACATTTACGAGTCACCCTTAGGATACTTTTAGCGCATCCTGTTTCTCCTTTAGGATGCTTCATGGACTGCATCTCCCTTACGACGCTAATAAATAGCTGCTTCCCTTTGACACTATTTTTTTTAAAATGAGAAACTGAACTTGTATTGATGCTGAAGTGGAGTGGACTTAGTCATCTGCTGGGAACTAAGCTATTCTCCTTTGTGGTAGTCGGACATCAATTGCTGCTAATAAACCACAACCCGAACTATGGCTTGTTTCCATTCTTCATCGAGCAGGTTAAGGTTGGTCTTTAGCTACTCAGAATTCTGATCATCGCTGCCCATCTCGATGCTCATGGATGGAAAAATGATATGAGAAAGAATGATTGCTTTAGTTACATAGGCTAAGGGAAATGGAATTCACCGGTTGATCTCTTTTAGGTAGTACGATAAGCTCATAGGACTTTAGGAAGCTCGTATACCTATTTTCCCTCGACACCTTTCAATCTTTGTGAAAAGAATTCGGTGATTTGCTTGCTAATGAATTGCGATCCATTGTCGGTGACTAGCAACTGTGGGCAGCCAAACCAGCAGATGATGTTCTTTTAGATGAATCACTCCACGTTAGCTTCTTTAGTAGAGGATAGAGTTTCAGCCTCAATCCATCTAGTAAAGCAGTTAATAGCCATAATTGTCATCTTCTTATTGGCAGGAGCCGACGGCATGGGACCCATTAAGTCGATAGCCCATTGCATGAATGGCCATGGGTTGTTCTGCGGATGAAACACTTCAGCAGGTAAGCTAGGAACCAGGTCGTATAGCAACGATTTCATCTTTAGACATACTATGTAAAGTCGTGGTGCACTGTAGGCCAAAAAGTGGCCTATGTTTAGAGTTTTCTAGGTGAGTGATCTGCCCCCAGAGGTTGTAGAACTTGCCGTCATGGATTTTACAGAGCATTTCGAGAGTTTGCAGGTGCTTGATACAGGTGAGATAGGGATTGGAATATGATATGCGAACAAGCTTGTTGTCCTTTATATAGCATATAATAGCTTTCTGCTTGATTTTTCTGGCTTCGGACTTGTCCTTTGGTAGATTTCCCTTTGCCAAATAGTCGATGATGGGGTCTTGCCAAATAGGGCCCTCAAAAATATATATAAATTAATAAATGGAAGAAACTAAGGTTTGAGGTTGTTTCGACTTTTTCACTTTTCACCCAGCTACCTTTTCTTCTCTTCTCCGCAAGTCAACTTCACTGCAAATAACCTCTGCAACCCACATGCAAAACGGCTCATAAACCCAAACTCATACTCAATTTTGGCAAACTGAGATAAACTACAAGTTAGATGCATAACCCAATTCAAAATTCATAGTTGAAAGTCTGATTTCTCTACTGTCCTCCCTGCAAAGCAAACCTAAAATGCTATCTAATTCATTTATCACAATGAGAGTGACAAGGTGCCTCCATTTGTGTATAAAGACTCATGATTCTCTGCTTCCAAAAACCAAACCAATAGCTTTGCTCTGCTTCCCTCTAACCAAATAAAGATTTCTTTATTATTTTCTTCTATTATTTTTATAATTATATTTTTGTTCTTTACTAACACATTATTGTTTGTTTGTGTTTCTCCATCTCCACATCTGTGGAGATCAACAAGGACAGTGAGATGTGGAGAGTCTATGATTTGTAAGCTTGGCAATTGCGTTGATAAGAAGTTAAAGAATCATTATATGTATACTTTGAAAGAGGTTGAAGAAGACCTCAAAGAGATTACTGATGTTTACATCCAGGAGTCGTTGGACATGGAAGCAGTTGTGAAGTTGAGGGATGAGGGCAAGTGGCTAACAGGCACCAACGTGGTCTATGAGATTAATTTACTTCAGGATGAAGCGCTGAAGAAAGTTAAGAACATGGCCAGGAGTGCGGGCCTCAATGTGAATGAAGTAACGAACTAGTTTGAGGTGAGCGTTACAACCATCTAGCAAATGAGTTTTTTGTTGTTGTTGGAATACACTTAGAGCCATCTTGGGGTCTTTGTTTCTGAGAGGGACTCGACCATCTAGTAAATGAGTTCTAAAGTTCTATTTTTGACTTTTGTAGCACGAACTAGAAAAGGGCAAAGCCAGGATATCAGGCAAAAGAAGTTGGATATGAGCCTGCATACATTGGAAAATGAAGTAGTAACTAAAAGTTATGGAAGGAGTGTGGAAGGGGAGAGAGAAGCACCAACTATGAGTGAAAAAAAAAAGCTTTAAAACTATTTGCTTGTTAGAAATGCTAATTAGTGTTTTATGTTTTTTTATAATGTTTTTTTAGTAATGAAGACTATTGGTATGTAGTGTGCATTGGTGATATAAGTTTCCAAGTGCAAGTCTTTATATATAATTTCTTATCAAGCAACGACTTCTTTCAGTTTGTTTGTTCCAATGAATGATAGATTTCTTATCAAGCAACGACCTCTTTCAGTTTGTTTGTTCCAATGAATTATAAATTCCCTATCTCCTTTCTCCTCTTTCCTCTCTCTATTGGGCATTGACTTAGGCATGAAGGAGTTTCCTACTTCGGCTTCACCTCCACCACAAAGCAAAAATCTTCTTGGATTCCTTCTATGTATGCTATGTCCAATTTCAACAAAAATATTTCCTTTCCTTTTTCCTTTTTCTTTGTAAAGTTTACAATTGATTCAATTCAACTACCTAAGTGAGAAGAGTAAATAATAAATGGACATTAATTTCCTAAGCAGTAATGGTTGATAAGTTGGGTGGTTGGTGTTGGAAAGACTAAGGTGAGAATTGTCTTGTGAAACATACATGGATTGGTTTTGTTAGCTTTACAGCTTGTTCATATCTTGTATTATTATGATACATAGGATTGCTACAACTCTTGCTTAATATGTGTTAAACCTTTATGAGTTACTAGCATAGTTTGATTATGATTTCTACTTTTGCACATGAGTTTGTGTTCCACTAGGATTGAGTGTGAAGCCCTTCTTACAGGAATGGCCAATGGCCAGTGAATGATAAAATGACGAGACCTAGAATAGTTTGCTGGATCTTAAAGTTGTTAGTTGAATGTTTTGTAATTGGTAAATAGTTTGCAAATGATAAAATGACGAGACCTAGATTAGTTTGCTGGATCCTAAAGGAATTAATATTGCAACAACCTGGTCTTGCCAAACTAGAAAGAAATTATCAGTTTAAACTAAGACACTACTACAAAAAGTGACAAAGACGACCAGAAAAAAACGACGGTCTAAGTGAAAACCGTCGTTGTTTTTTAAAAGACGACGGTTCTATAAAACCGCCGTGTAATAACACCTTAGACACCTAAAAAATGGAGATTCAAATGGTTGTTTATAAACAACGACGTACCTAATTAAAAAACCGACGTCTATTTGAAACAGGATTTCCGCAGTGTAAAATCAAAGCAAATAAAGAACGGCAGAAGTTATGAATCGACCGACGTAGAAAGTAAAGACGACGATTTCAAAAAAAGCCGCCGTTTTTACGCAGAAAATAACACGACCAAGTTTTCGTATAAGGCGCCATATAATTACAAATAAATCCACGGCGGTAAAATACAAAATATCGCCGTATTAAATTAATGTACAACGACGGAAAATAAAAATATATCGACGTCTTTCTTGTATAGTTCTACGACGGTATCTTTAAATCTCACCACGTTTGTTTTTCATTTAACGACGTATTATAAAATTTAACGTCGTATTTATTCCCTTTATACGTCATACCTTATATTTAAACCGTCGTCTATTATATGTAAAGATGACGATTTTTTTAAAAAACCGTCGTCTATTATATGTAAAGATGACGATTTTATAAAACCGTCGTCTATTATATGTAAAGACGACGATTTTATAAAACCGTCGTCTATTATATGTAAAGACGACGATTTTTATTACAAACCGTCGTCTATTATATGTAAAGATGATGATTTTATAAAACCGTCGTCTATTATATGTAAAGACGACGATTTTATAAAACCGTCGTCTATTATATGTAAAGACGACGATTTTTATTACAAACCGTCGTCTATTATATGTAAAGATGACGATTTTTTTAAAAACCGTCGTCTATTATGTGTAAAGATGACGATTTTTTTTAAAACCGTCGTCTATTATATGTAAAGATGACGATTTTATAAAACCGTCGTCTATTATATGTAAAGATGAAGCTTTTTATAAAAAACCGAAAAAACCGTCGTCTATTGTATGTAAAGATGACGCTTTTTATAAAAACCGAAAAAACCGTCGTCTATTGTATGTAAAGATGACGCTTTTTATAAAAACCGAAAAAACCGTCGTCTATTATATGTAAAGACGACGCTTTTTATAAAAAAACCGTCGTCTATTATATGTAAAGATGACGCTTTTTATAAAAACCGTCGTCTATTATATATAAAGATGACAATTTTTTTTTAAAAAAAAGGGTCGTCTATTATATATAAAGATGACGCTTTTTTATAAAAAATGGTCGTCTATTATATGTAAAGATGATGGTTTGTTATAATAACCGTTAAATCATGATTTTTCATTTATAACCGTCGAAATTTTTTGTCCCGTTACTTTATCTTTGAATGTTTATTTTTTTCGATTTTTGGTGTAGATGATCTCGAAGTATAAACAAACAAGTTTGACGGTTGGATCGTTGAAACTAGTTTCTTAGAATGCGTATGCCATCAAAACAATATATTCACTAACAATTAAGAGTTTATTTATACTTTCGTTAAATATAACATAAGATTTTGTGGTATCCACTAGTGTAAATATTTTAAATTGAAGATCAAATTCAGTCATTGTATTCATATAGGGTCAAGGAGTGTAGCGGTAAAAAATCATCAAAATCGGAGTTAAAATAACCGTTAAATCATGATTTTTCATTTATAACCGTCGAAATTTTTTGTCCCGTTACTTTATCTCTGAATGTTTATTTTTTCTGATTTTTGGCGTATATGATCTCGAAGTATAAACAAACATGTTTGACGGTTGGATCATTGAAACTAGTTTCTTAGAATGCGTATGCCATCAAAACAATATATTCACTAACAATGAAGAGTTTATTTATACTTTCATTAAATATGACATAAGATTTTGTGGTATCCACTAGTGTAAATATTTTAAATTGAAGATCAAATTCAATCATTGTATTCATATTGGGTCAAGGACTGTAGTGGTAAAAAATCATCAAAATCGGAGTTAAAATAACCGTTAAATCATGATTTTTCATTTATAACCGTTGAAATTTTTTGTCTCGTTACTTGATCTCTGAATGTTTATTTTTTCCGATTTTTGGCGTATATGATCTCGAAGCATAAACAAACATGTTTGACGGTTGGATCATTGAAACTAGTTTCTTAGAATGCGTATGCCATCAAAACAATATATTCACTAACAATTAAGAGTTTATTTATACTTTCGTTAAATATGACATAAGATTTTGTGGTATCCACTAGTGTAAATATTTTAAATTGAAGATCAAATTCAATCATTGTATTCATATTGGGTCAAGGAGTGTAGCGGTAAAAAATCATCAAAATCGGAGTTAAAATAACCGTTAAATCATGATTTTTCATTTATAACCGTCGAAATTTTTTGTCCCGTTACTTTATCTCTGAATGTTTATTTTTTTCGATTTTTGGTGTAGATGATCTCGAAGTATAAACAAACAAGTTTGACGGTTGGATCGTTGAAACTAGTTTCTTAAAATGCGTATGCCATAAAAAAAAATATTCACTAACAATTAAGAGTTTATTTATACTTTCGTTAAATATAACATAAGATTTTGTGGTATCCACTAGTGTAAATATTTTAAATTGAAGATCAAATTCAGTCATTGTATTCATATAGGGTCAAGAAGTGTAGTGGAAAAAAACGTCGTCTATTGTATGTAAAGATGACGTTTTTTATAAAAACCGTCGTCTATTGTACGTAAAGATGACGCTTTTTATAAAAACCGTCGTCTATTGTACGTAAAGATGACGCTTTTTATAAAAAACCGTCGTCTATTGTATGTAAAGATGACGCTTTTTATAAAAACCGTCGTCTATTATATGTAAAGATGACGCTTTTTATAAAAAAACCGTCGTATATTATATGTAAAGATGACAAATTTTTTTTAAAAAAAAGCGTCGTCTTTTAAAACGCGCTAAAAAATGGCCGCTTAAGTGAATTCGCGCTCGATAAATTTTCAAATTTTCACCCGTCTTTGAAAATCTTATCTCTCATTAACAAGCGTCGTCTTTTAAAACACGCTAAAAAAAGTCTACTTAAGTGAATTCGCGCTTGTCAAATTTTCAGATTTTCCCCCGTCTCTGAAAACCTTATCTCTCCCTCCTTGAAACCCTCATGCACTCTCTAAAACACCCTCATAAAACTCTCTACAAAATCATCAAAAGATCTTAGCAAATCCATAAGATGTAGAGGGATGTTCTGTATTTGAGAATCAAAGCTGGTTGAAAGGTTGATTTGAAAGTCACCTAATCTCTTAATACCCTTCTATATCTTGCTAGTGAATTCTGGATTAGTCTCTTTGCGTTTTTGGTATGTTCTTTGTATCCCTAATTTCAGATTTTGTCTTTCTTGATTTGTCTGATTTGTTTACATATTTTTTTTATTTCTGGTTTCTTTTTAGATTTTCTGATTTGGTTATCAGGAGATGAGGAGGAAGCTTGCAGATTTATAACTCTTTCTTTTGCAGGTTTTCTATGTGAGACGTATGTTTTTTTGTTGTTGAAAATTTGCAGGTTCTCGATGGTCTTTTTTATGCTCATTTTACAAGTTTTCTATGGAAATATGGACCAATGGTAAAATTTCTCTTCCACCTAATTTTTTATGTTTATAATCTTAGCTTCTTTTTTTTTCTCTCTTTGTCATTTTGATTTATTTACAGGGATGATGGAGGAGACTTCAGTTGTGCATCATTTGTATGTTTGGATGAGGAATGCTTGGATTAGGAGTACGTAGGTCTTGTTAGGAATTATGTTTGTTGTAGAATAAAGATTGGTTAACTATGTAATAACTATTGAATCTTCAAGTTTTATGAAAGAAACTATTTTTGATAAAGCATTATGGTTGGTTTTCTAGTTAAAATCGTTGTATAGCATCATAGGAAATCAAAAAGCATTATTGTACGTAAAGATGACGCTTTTTTATAAAAACCGTCGTCTATTGTATGTAAAGAGGACGCTTTTTATAAAAACCGTCGTCTATTGTATGTAAAGATGACGCTTTTTATAAAACCGTCGTCTATTATACGTAAAGATGACGCTTTTTATAAAAAAACCGTCGTCTATTGTACGTAAAGATGACAATTTTTATAAAAAAAACGTCGTCTATTGTACGTAAAGATGACGCTTTTTATAAAAACCGTCGTCTATTATGTGTAAAGATGACGATTTTTTTTAAAACCGTCGTCTATTATATGTAAAGATGAAGCTTTTTATAAAAAACCGAAAAAACCGTCGTCTATTGTATGTAAAGATGACGCTTTTTATAAAAAACCGAAAAAACCGTCGTCTATTGTATGTAAAGATGACGCTTTTTATAAAAACCGAAAAAACCGTCGTCTATTATATGTAAAGATGACGCTTTTTATAAAAAAACCGTCGTCTATTATATGTAAAGATGACGCTTTTTATAAAAACCGTCGTCTATTATATATAAAGATGACAATTTTTTTTTAAAAAAAGGGTCGTCTATTATATATAAAGATGACGCTTTTTATAAAAAAAACGTCGTCTATTGTACGTAAAGATGACGCTTTTTATAAAAAACCGTCGTCTATTGTACGTAAAGATGACGCTTTTTATAAAAAACCGTCGTCGATTGTATGTAAAGATGACGCTTTTTATAAAAACCGTCGTCTATTGTATGTAAAGATGATGCTTTTTATAAAAAAAGGTCGTCTATTGTATGTAAAGATGACGTCTTTATAAACAATCCACGACGGTTTTCATAAAAAAATCGTCATCTTTACATACAATATACGACGGTTTTATTAAAAACAGTCGTCTTTCCTCCTATAATTAACGATCTTTACCTCTAAACAACGACGATTTTCTTTGAAAACCGTCATCTTTACTGATAAACAACGACGGTGAAAAGCCGTCGTAGTTTGAAACCCAAATAGACGGCAGTCGATTTCACGACCGGGCGAAAACCTTTTACACGACGGTGGTTTCCCGTCGTCTATTTCGATTTTTGTAGTAGTGAGACAACTTGATCAACTTTCACTAACAAGTAAGTAACTACTCAATCAATCATCCATATAGGAAACAATTAAACTAAGACAAGTAAACAATATTATCACATGATGATGAAATTGATCAGTCCACTATAACTAGATTCTGATAGTCTTGGCCAGAAATGGCAGCTTACATGGCATGTTCGAGGCCAAAATCCCCACAATTGTGCAGGAAGAACTTGATCAAATTGTTGTTGACGAAGCCACTCAACATGGTGAAGCCTAAGCCTGGTTGTGTATTAGGCATCCCTAGCACAGGCATGTGTGCCCTGATATTTATCCCTTCTCCTTAAACTTTCTCTGCATTGCCTCAAAATCACTAGTCTCCCATCTATTATAGGCCTCACTGGAGGGAGTGAACACATACACCCTCTCGATCATTTGCTTCGACTTCAAATTCTCATTCACAGCCAATTTCAGGATCAAATCAAGCACCTTTTCAAAATTAACCTCAACATCCCACGGATCTAGTTTTGTTGTCATAAACTTGTACTTGGACTTAAGATCATCACCTTGTATGGAAACCAGCCGAGGGTTCTCATTATAGGTGATCACCTTTCCATTCCATGGCTCTTCACTCAGTTGAGACAACAGAAGCCCCAAACCCATCGACACTTTGTTGTTTGACTCGACATCACATACAACCAAACACTTTTGAAACTTACCTTGCTTTAAGTAGATGTCCTCCACCATGGTCTTCCACTGAAGACCAGCCGTATCCACTAGATCATGCACTTCGTCATCGTCATTATCCATCCTTCTCTGAAGAAAGCCTATGATCTCATTTGGCAGCATAGCACTGGCCTGAATCTTGGACTTGCCAGCTTTAACGACGTCGTCCAAATAAGTCTTAACTGCTCAGGGCTCTCACTTGAACCCCGGATTATAATCCCATTTGTTGCCACCGGTATGAGCCGTGTGGGCCAAAGCTTTGTTCAATGGCATCAAAACCTTATTCCATAACCGCTTCTTGACTCTGTACGTGAAATCATCATCAATCTCCTCCGATTATACTCCTCTGCCTCGCGGGAAAACCTTTTTCACAATGCTCTCGCAGAGCAGAGTGGTGCGATCGTAAATGGAGTCGATGTGAGGGAAAAAATCTGCTGCCCTGGTTATCTCCAAGCACTCAAGCTCATCATCATTGCTAATCCTATGATTTTTCAAGCTCTGAATGTCAGACTTGAGGCACAGAGCGTAAATATCGGAGACGGCGTCATGTAAAAGGCGATAATTGGGGTCAAGCTAGTACCTCTCAACAGCCTTTTTTGCCATAACCAAGATCTTCTCCCTCCTCCTCCTCATCATCTAAGTACGGCCCTCGATGCCTTGTGTGATCGGGTGGTAGAAACGAGCATTGGGCAATTGGTCTCTAGAGAAGGTCGGGATAGTGCCAAAGGAGGCAGCAATAGCAATGACGTTGCAGGCAAGGGTCTTGTGGTGGTATTGGTAGAGCCAGTAAGCCGCCGTGTAGAAGGCTTGCTCGTCAAATTTACCACATCGGTGACGTAGATTGAAGATGAGCTTGAGTGTGGTAAAGGGGCTGTGACCAGGCCTGCGACAACAGCTGTTGGAGATAGTCATTGAAAAATTGGGGGGGCTGTCCCTACAGTATGCAGGTGGTTTGATGTCGAAAAACAGATGGAGGCAGCGGTTAGGGTTAGGGTTCTTCTTGGAACTATCATTATAGTTATTAGCTATTAATCTACTGAGCAATAAAGGACCAACAAGAGTTGTTGGAGTTGCAAGTTGAATTTGAGGAGGAGGAGGAAGAGGAATATCGGCTTTTCCGAGGACGACATTAACATGATTACTTCAGCATGATTTCAGGAGGATAAAGGTGGTGTAATACACTAGCATTGGTTTCTTCAAGCTAAGCTTCTCTCTATGCTCTCTGCTCTTTGCTCAGAGAGAGTGTCTTGAGTTTTTTTTTAAGTTTCAATGAATTTCAGTAATTTGTTTGGAGGGAAAGGAGGACCACGGTCACTTTCAGTTTGTTTGTTCCAATGAATTATAGATTCCTTCTCTCTGTTAGACATTGACTTGGGCACCAAGGAATTTCCTTCTTGGGCTCCACCTCCACCACGAGCAAAAATATTCTTAGATTCCTTCATTTATGTATGCTATATCCAATTTCAACAAAAATCTTTCCTTTCCTTTTTCATTGTAAAGTTTACCTAAGTAAGAAGACTAAATAACAAGAGTAAATCATAGATGGAAATTAATTTCCTAAGCAGTAATGGTTGACAAGTTGGGTAGTTGGTGTTGTTCAAGTCAAACAAGTCAAATTCTTTAGTTTTCTGGGATACCCATGTGGCACAACATTTATTCTTTTCCTTGTTTTTTCTGAGCAACCAAATTAAGCAAACGAGTTTGTTGTGTGTGTTGTTTGTGATTAGTGTTATAGATGCTATTGTTTTTGGTTTGCTTTCCTTTTTTTGATCTCGTTTTAAAGTTTTAAATTTTCATTGTACTGGGAGATTGCACGACTCAAGTGGTCTTAATATCATATCACACCATATAGAAAGAGCACAACATAACAAAAACATAATTCAAAACCCCAACTTTGAAAAAAAAAAAAAAATTAATTAAAAAAATCTCTAAATAAGCAAGGCAACAATTGTTATTTAACATATAGTTGGCATTGCTTTGTTTTTGTGTGTCTTTGAACTTTAGTTTTGGGTTATCCTGTAAACACCAACAAAATCCACAACTGGAGATCCTAAGTAGTACGACTTATTAATCTCATTAACTTTACTAATGCTACTGAACGCGTGGAAACATTCAATCAATTTCATCATTATGTGATGAAATTGTTTACTTGTCTTAGTTTAATTGTTTCCTATAAGGATGATTGATTAAGTAGTTACTTACTAGTTAGTGAAAGTTGATCAAGTTGTCTTAGTTTAAACTGATAATTTCTTTCTAGTTTGGCAATACCATGTTGCTGTAATATTAATTCCTTTAAGATCCAGCAAACTATTCTAGGTCTCGTCATTTTATCATTTGCAAACTATTTACCAATTACAAAACATCCAACTGACAACTTTAAGATCCAGCAAACTATTCTAGGTCTCGTCATTTTATCATTCGCTGGCCATTGGCCATTTCTGTAAGAAGGGCTTCACACTCAATCCTAGTGGAACACAAACTCATGTGCAAAAGTAGAAATCATAATCAAACTCTACTAGTAACACATCTTTTTAAAACATATTAAACACTACAAGTTGTATCATAATAATACAAGATATGAACAAGCTGTAAAGCTAACAAAACCAGTCCATGTGTGTTTCACAAGACAATTCTCACCTTAGTCTTTCACATAAAAAATTGTAATTTGCTTATGACACTGTACATAATTAAACATAGGACTGTATGTATGTATGTAGTGACATGCATAAGGCAAATGTTGAACACGACGCAATAGGAAAACTGTTGAAATTTGATCGATAAATAAAAGAACTGTGTTGTTAAGAACTTTCTTTGCCGCTAGGGATCGCGATTAGTAAAGATGGTTCATTTGTCCTTGTTTTTGAATGCACTTTACGAAGAATCCAAAAGTTTTGGCTCACAGTCGAAAAGCTAACACATCAGAAATTATTTACCATACTGTGGGATATCCAGTTAACATAAGGTGGAGCAGCAGCAACATCAACAACACTAGAAGACATGGATTTAGCTTTATGAAGGTTTTTCTTCTAATATATTGGGTTATTAGACCTTGTTTTGAACTTCTTCTGATGTTAAACCTCAACTCAAGGCAGAGATGTCTTATAGTTTTTTAGTCTGTCCTATAGTTTTAGTAACTTTCTGGCTGCTAGGTCCCTAAAAGTGCCAAAGTTACAATCATATTTGTTATGCAGGAAAACATGTATTTAGTAATCTACTACTTTTACCATTTCTTGTTTCAACACTACTGAGTGAGAAAATCGATACATTTACACGTTCAATTTGTGTTTGTATTAACTGTTTTGGATCTTGAGTTTCTGTTACTGTATCTTAAAAGACGAAAAGTTTTAGTAGATTTTTGTTTTGTACAGAGATGAAGACAGCGTCAGAACTTCGGACATTTATAATGTTTGAGGTGGAAGATCTTCAAGAATTTTTAGCCAATATAAAAAAAACTTGTGAAATTTATGAATGATTTCGCCACCCTTGTAGTACACAAGTCATGCATTTAGGTAGTTGTAAGTCTTTTGCCACTCTTCCATGAAATTGGAATGTATTGTTAATGTTTGAGGTGTAATCACATATCCTATATTATAGCATGTACTACATGATATTGCATTGATTTTAGGCAATGGCTCTTTGTTGGCAATGCATTGATTAAATTACTTTTAAAGTTTTTTTCTTTTTTAGAAATTGCTTATTCCTATGTAGAAAGGAGGATCATGAGACCTAAATGTAGAGGCTCGAGATCCATAGTGAGGAGAGGTTCATTGGGTTTGAGTTATTGTTCAAGAGGTGGAAAAATGCGATAGGGTCCCTTAACGTGCTTTAACCTCAAGAAGAGAAGAGGAAAGCTTGATTACTGGAATAACGTAATGTGTGCTACATAATTAAACGTAGGACAATACGTATGTCTGCAGTGACATGCACAAGGCAAATGTTGAGCACAATACAACTAGAAAACTATTGAAATTTGATCCACAAACAAAAGAAGTAATAGTGTTGTTAAGAGGACTTTCTTTGTTGCTAGGGATGACAGTTAGTAAGGACGGTTCATTTGTCCTTGTTTATGAATGCACTTTACAAAGAATCCAAAAGTTTTGGCTCACAAGTCCAAAAGCTAACACATCAGAAATTATTTACCATACTATGGGATATCCGGTTAACATAAGAAGGAGGAGGAGTAGCAATATCAACAACACATCATCATCATCATCATGAGATTTCTGGGTGGCCGCAAACTGTCGATATAGATATGCTCATTCGTCATTCATGTCCACCTACCCCATTGCATTTCAAATCAATGCATATAGGCTTTGGATTACAACTGACGGATTGGCCCGTAAGGTCTTGGGTTGGACGACTCTCAACTGGCCACAGGCCAACCCGGCCCATTGGACCTAATTGCCTCATGTCGGTCAACCTAAAGATATGGATAGTGTGGTGTCGAGCCTTATTTAAACGGGTCATGCTCGTGCCTTGCTTGAGCCGCCTAGTTCGTTTAACACCTCTAGCCTGAGGCTAGATGGGCCAAAGCCCAACTTGGCCCGATGGTTAGGCCTACTCGGCCCTGCCTCATTCTAAGGTTAGAATAGAAGTGCCACATCCATGAGATTTATTTTTAGGTATAATATTTGTTTAAATATATTGGCTATTGGTCTAGGTTTAGTAAAAGAGTTTGACTCTTTATTCATCTATTTATCCCCTGTAGTTTAGGCTGTCGCTTGTACTAAACGGAAAAAAAAAAGGTCCTCACCAATGGGGTGTTAGTTGAATTGACCCAGACTTTTGGTGTGCTTCCAAGTGGTTTTGGGTTCAAGCCCCCCATGGTACTCGTGGCCGTGTGTGTGAGTCTTTACTTCCCTTCCTAACTTTGGCAAACAAAATAAAAGGAGAGTCCTCTAAGCCCCCATGATGCTTGTGTACTTATCTCATCAATTTGAGATAAGTATTTTTTAAATAAATAAAAAATCGAGAATTCAGGGCGGGTTCGGAAGATAGCCCCACAACGGGACGAGTGCAGTAATTTTCCAAAAATTCTTAGGGGAATAGGGGCGTGGAAGGGGACATGGATTGTAATGCCATATCATACCTAGTCTCGAACCAGCCCATTACTGTCCCTGCGCTAGTATTGGTGCGCATGCGTGCCAAGAGTCTAGTGTGGAGAAAGTGTGAGTTGGCTTGGAGCCAAAACTTTGGGTCTTCTCATTAGACGAGCTCTTAGCTCTTAGGCCATCTCCAACCCATGAGGCCAAACCCAAAATATCCAAAATTATAGCCCAAAACCTTTCTCAACCAAAAAAAGGGCCAAAATTTGGGAAACCCAAGCTTGGGGCCAAATAGCAGTCCAGCTATTGCCTGAACCCAAAAAAAAATCAATGGAGCCCACCTGCTGCTGACGCAGTCCATGTGCAAGGAATTTGACGTGGGCCCCACTTGCTACTATGCTGCTGCTTTATGGTAGATGTGTCGCGCCACTTGTCCAACTCTGGTGATGTTGTTGTTGGAATCCAACGACAACAATTCAAACTTTGTTTTTTATTTTATAATAAACTTAAATCAACGATCTAGATTAAATCTAAGCTATTTTAATGGTAAAAAAAATATAAAAATCCAACGGTTCAAATTTAAATCAAATGACCAAAATAATATTTTAAATTAATTTAGATCAGATCCAACCCCAAAACTCACTCCAAACTCAATAAATATCCACCCATTTCTCAAATAATCTACCAAAATTAGTTTATCTATTTCTCAATTTATTTTTCGTTCGTCATTCTCATCAATCTCATTTTATTCTTGTTGAAGATGTCCACAAAATCTCAAAGAGGTGTGAATTGGAGGCTCGACGAAGATGAGACATTGTGCAAATGGTGGGTTTTGTCAGTGAAGATGGGCCATTGGCACCAATCAAGCAAGCAAAACATTTTGGAAGCGTGTATATCAAAAGTTTCTGGAAAATGATCTAGGCATTAGTGAACTCGAGCGACAAACATACCAAGCCATTACTTCCGGGTTCAAGACTATCAACTAACAATATTCTCTTTGGAAGGCATGCTTGACTAAGGCCAATACGAACCCACAAAGTGGCTCAAATCTACATGACGTGGTAAGTAACCATTCTTATTAAAGCTTTAAATTTATATTTGTAATTTTATTCAACTCCAAACTTAAATTTATTTTTTCATGCGAAGGACGTGTATGCAAAAACGATCTTTCTTAATTATAATAAGCCTCCAAATAGGCCTTTCAAGTTGTATCATGCTTGGAAAATCTTAAAAGATTTCCCAAAGTGGAACGATATAAATAAGCCTCCCAAACAATGTTCTTTTGGAGCTAGTGCAAGTATGGTGAATTTGGATAACGACGTAGACGATATCACCATGCCTAGTCCAAGGCTTGAAAGGCGAGATAAACGAAAGGTGCAAAAAAAAAAGAAAAAAAAGGTAAGATGGCTGACCCTTCTCAACAAATAAGGGATAAGTACTTGTAATCATTGGTTGAGTAAGGTATTGCTTTCGAGGAGGATAGGAGACAAAAGCTCAACATATTGGACAAGTTTGTCCAAGTTCAAGCTGATGCTTATGCGTATCATAACCAACAAGATAAGGAAGCCCAAGAATAAAAAAATAATGTTCATGGACGTGTCCAATTTACTCCAAGAAAGAAGAAGTATTGTGTGAATAAACAAGATGAAATTATGCAAGAATATGCACAAGGTCAACAGTCTACTGTTAATCCTAAAGATAACTCAGGGGATTATTATACAAGCCCCCACGATGGTGGTTATTAGTTTATTCATATTGGGTTTCATGTATGGTGAATTTGAAATATTGTTTGTTTTTTTTTAAGAATTATGTTGTGTGTTTTCTTTTGGAATAAAATTCTATGAGATTTTCTATTTAAACCCCACATTTCTCTTAGTTCACTCAAACTTTTAATTTAAATTTTCACAATTTCTAAGAAAACCTCATTATCTTTCTAAACTATCCTTAAATACACCCCAAACTGAAAAAATAAGAACTAAAAGAGATTTTCTATTTAAACCCCGCAATTTTCTTTGTTCCCAGCCAAAAAAAACACAAACAAATGTAACCCCAAATCCGAAATTTAATACTTTCTAGAGAAAGAGAACAACTTTACCTCTCTTCAAGAACTGTAACTGAAATTCTAACACTTCGGTCTTGTTGAGAACTTGAGTGAGAGAGAGAGAGAGAGTTTGTAAACAGGAAGTTGGAATGAGGTTTCTAAAACTTAATATGAAGAGTGGTGGGGTGTATGGAGTGTGTGTGTATAAATATACTAGGGTTAATTATTAAGTTGGATGACCTTTTTTGTCTTTTTACACAATAAAATAACTTACAGCTTAATGATTTAAGTATTGAGGTGAACAAAGAGAAGTGCGGGGTTTAAATAGAAAATCTCAATTCTATTTGTGAAATTTCAATTTTTTAAGTCAAATTGTTCAAAAAATTAAATTACGAAGTTATTTAAAAAGATTGAATGAAGAAAAGTTATCCATTAAAAAAAAATTAGATTTAAACTATTCTTAAATAATTTAATAAAATTGCGGACTTAAAATTTGAGTCCGGAAGGTTGGGAGAAAAAAAGGTTTGAGTCCGGGTAAAACCCAAATAGTTATTTTTTTGAGGGAAAAAATTTGGATTTAGCCCTAAATAGATTGGAGAAGGCTCAATAGCTTACCTCAAAGGTAGCCAACCCAGCCCATAGCCCATAGCCTATAGCCTATCTCATAAGCCAAGCCCAGCTCGTCAGGCGCAACCTTAAATGCCCACCAGCTCGTCCCCCTCCCTCCTCCTCGTCTTTTTCTCCTCCTCCTCCTGTGCTCCTACTCACTTAAATATACAGTTGGAATCAGCTTTTTCTTCTTTTCTGAGTTCTTCTTCGTCTCCTTATTCTGTTCAGTTCTTCACCCGTGAGCTGTGAACCGAGTTTTGCAGCGCTCCCCCTCCTGTTCTTCTTCCCTTCCTCCTCAATTCTTCTTCTTCTTCGACACTTAAATTGCTCGATGTGCTATATATATCAGCATTTGTTCAATTGTTGAAGCGGTATATTTACTCTAATTTTAATTCAATTACTCAATTACTTATCTTTCTTTGTTGATCTTATTAGGTGCTAACTGGTTTATTTATTTAAATTTTGTTGCTTTTATTGTTTGATATAAAGATTGCCCTTATAGACTTGCTTGTGGTGGTGTATATATCTCATCATGGACCCATCTATTATGAAGAAGCTCCTTGAAGACGATGAGGTTCTCTCTGTCGCTGCCAATCTGTAGCTTTGAATTTAAATATGTAGTTTTGAATTTAACATCCTGAAGTTTTTCTTTTGTTTAAAATTTGTGTAAAGGATGAAACCATGCATTCAGGGGCCGATGTGGAGGCCTTCCAGGCCGCTCTGAACAGGGACATTGAAGGAGATGTGTCTGTTTCGCAGCCGTCTGATTCTGACTCCGGTATCCCTCTTAACCTTTTTTGCAGATTACCCTTTGAACACTTTGTTAAAATTTATTAATTTTGAGAATTAGTTAGCTTTGGTGTTTGTTTTAATTTCGGACAGCATGATTGGTTTGGATGGAACAGCTTAAATTTGTCATTTTGATGCTTGATGTGATTCTTATATCTCTTGGAACAAACATGTGAGGCGTTTTTTCGGTCCTGTTGAAATTATATATTTTTATCTTAACAGTGTTGAGCATGTGTTTTTCAGTATGATTTAGAAATGATAGTAATTGTTCCCATTACTTCTTTTACAAAAATCCCATTCCCATGCTGGCATTAAGTTGGTCGTGAGGCTTTTGCTTATTGTTAAATGGTGTGCTTAAAATGATCCAATCAAAAGGTGAACGAATGAAGATGTAGATTTGTTTTGGATTGTCCAAGATAGCTCTTTTCAATGAAACTTCAAATAAAAAGAAAACCTTTTAACGAAACCTTGTCATAATGAGAATTAAACTAATCAGTTGATATATTTCATTCTTTAGTGGCTCCCGAGTATCCAAGATCCCCAAAGTTAAGCTATTTTGAGTGAAAAATAGTGCCTTACGAATGTGTCTTTCTTCCACACAAAAATGGTAATGTAGTGAGGAAAAATAGCAATCACAAGAAACATTTGACGATGTATTAAAATAACACCACATAGCGTGTCAAATGTTAGTTTGTATTACATCATTATAAACCAAAATAAATTTATTTTGAATAGCAGGGTTTGTTATTGTTCGTTGTATCTGTCTTAAATCATACAAGGCTCATATACATGCACTTCAATTTTCTCTAATTTTTTTGGGGTAAAAATGTAGATAATTAACTAACAAGCACAATTTGATGCATTATTCAAAATTTCCATTTTTTCTCATAATTTCTGTTGTTTTTCTTTTGATGTTTCATCGTATTGATATTCTGTGTTTTAGAACTTTCAATATTTCCGTTGACACTAATATTAATGTACCTTGGTTATTAGTTTGTCTCTATTTTGTTCATCCTATTCCAGTTCTACTTACTACACCATCATCAGTTTTTCTTTTTGTTGGGCATTTTCTGATCCTAGAATATCAGAAGTGATTTGAAATGAATTTTCATTGAATTGTTCTCTGGAAAGATCTATTGTTCATTTCAACCATAACAAGAAACTTCCCAAGAATGTATGAAAATTTTGATTAACTGTTACACCCATAATCTCTTGTTAACTGTCTTGGGGTTTTGCTTATGTTCATACCCAGAACTCGTTGTCTATACGTAACATGTGAAACTGAATAGTGCAGCGGTTTTGTCTCAAGGAAGCAATAACACTTCTAGTCAGTCATTACCGCAGTTCCATACTGCTAGTCAGGATGAAAACACAGCTTGTCAAACGCAACATGACCAAAAAATTGCACAACAGCGAGAAATGCATTCATATGAAATGGAGCTAAAGCAATATGGGTCCGTTGCTGAGAATATACAACAAAAAAAGGATGCCTCACATGAATTTAATCAATTTCCTTTGCCCCAGAAGCAACCCCAAGGTGATCTTCAACAAGGGCAGGCAGAGCAGAAACCCCTCCATAAACCTGAAACAGCTGGAATACCGATTTCTGGGAAAATTCCAATCTCAAAACATGAGCAGGACATAACACCTACTCCAGAAAGCGAATCTCAGTACTTAAAGCTTCAGAAGATGAGTAGTCAACAGGCAATGATCCCGGAGCAGCCAAGCAACCCGATGAATCGCAGTAAACAAGTACCATTTGGCCTGTTACTCCCTGTCTTATTGCCCCAGCTTGATAAAGACAGAGCCATGCAACTTACTACTCTATTTGGTAAACTGAAGGTGGGTCCTACACACATAATCATTGTGTTGTGCGTTTTGTTAATTTTTATGATTTCTAACTGTTTCCGCTATTCTAGAACAACGAAATCTCTAAGGATGCTTTTGTCCGGCACATTCGAAGTGTTGTTGGGGACCAGATGCTCAAATTGGCAGTAATGAAAGTACAATCACAGGTAAGTATAAAATGAATTTTATTATTTTAATGGATTAATAATGTATTTATGTCTGAACTAAGCTAAAAACCAGCATATAAAAACCTTGCAGCCTGGTCCTAAACACCAGTTACCACCTCAGGCTTCAGTGCAGCAACAACCTCCTAGGATGCCATCTATTAGTGTAGGTTCTTCACCGTTCACTGATCCTCGCTCATTTGCACTTCATCAGAGAGGCACCAACCCTCCCACAGACCCATCACAGATTCCCTCTTCAGCAGTTCAAGTGCAGTCTGATTCAAGCCATTCAGTCATCGAAAACAGTGCTAAAAAACTGCGGGAGGCAGAACGTCAGTCAGACTCTCATGGAATGCAAGGAAGTCAAATGCCTTCTTCTAGTGCGGTAGCTGGCAATCAAGAAAGGGAGCGCTCCACAGGCCCTCCACAAATCCTTAATAAGCAGCAGCAACAACAACAGTTGCACTATCCACAATCATCCTTTGCCATGTATGGAAGTACTGGTGGTAATTATCACCCGTATTCAGCAACAAGTATCAATACCTCCACAGTGCCTCTAAAACAGCAACCTCATGATTCGCAACTGAGGCAAATTCCACAACATCAAGGCATGGGTTCAACTCAGTCAGGTGGGGAACCACAGGGTGTGACTAATGTGTCCAAATTGGAGAGGCAAAATTCTCTGAACGACCCTAGTAGACTGCAGGGTGGATCTGTTTCTCACTTTACAAATAATTCAAATTTACAACAGAATTCAGTTCCTTGGCAGTCCTCAAATAAGGAGCAGAATCCCGGTCCTGTGTCATCAATGTCTTATGTAAAACAGGAACCAATTGATCAGACTGCTGAGCAGCAGCAGAAGCCCCCCATTATCTAATCAACAAGGACTGCCTTCTGTTTCTGCTGCTCAACTTGAGCAGGGGAGTGCGTTACCTGGAATTTCAACAGATGAATCTTTAGAGAAGCAATCTTCAAGAATGGGATTTGCAACATCTGGCATGGTGACTTCATCTTCTACAGGCACAGTGCCCCCAAATTCTGTTTCTCCTTCCATAATGACGCAAGTTGATACTAATGTCTCGGTACTTCCATTCTTTTCATTTATGCTTCTTTGCTACATATGCATTTGTTAGGTTGTGATGCAGACTTCCTTGCTTTTATTGATGTGTTTTGTGTAAAGTAGTACTCTATAGAGAATGTGAACTCATGTCTTAGCAGGAATTTTCTTTCAAAATTTGTTTTGGATAAAGACATGTGCATTCATATCTTAGTTTTAGTTTGTGAATTGAAGTCCGAAAATTTAGTTTTTAAATATAAGAAAATATATAGGCCAATGGTTCAAGGGAATTTTGAGCCATATATAAACTGAAATTAGTCACATATATGATGTAAATTAGGAAAACAAAGACATTAGTTTATACAGGGAAGGATTACTTCCAGCATATATATGAGTAGAATTATTATATGTTAAGGATCTCCTTATTGTTAGAACAGTGGGCACATCCTTCATAGCGGTCCCAAACAATGATCAGAACTGTGCGCAAAAAAATTGTGTAGATCCGAAGTTGTTTAGTAATCTAAAACGTGCACCAAAAAAAAGAGAGGTAGTTTGCTAAATAAAACTGAAATAAAAATGTGCAAAATAAAATGGCTAAACAATTTCCGGTTTAGCTGATTTTTTGCATGGATAAACAAGAGGCCTTCTTGTAAGGAAAATAGGGGCATCCTTACTATAGAAAGCCTATATGTATATACATAGATGTCATTCTCAAAAAGAAAATTATAGGGGCACCCTTGTAGAGCCTAGTATGCATTGCAGTTTAATGATCCGAACCATCAATTTTTAGGTATACCCTCAAAGATCATCTCTAAAAAAATACCCAATTCGGAGAATATTTTAACCATTTGATTAAATCATAGTAATTTTAGTGTGTTTTCCGAAATACTGTGTTATATTTATTTCTTGACAATTAGATCCTTTAATGATTTATTATTTATCTAATTTTTTGTCAACGGTGATTAATGAATGAAGACTTGAAAAATAAACAGTTCAGATCATTGAAATACAATTCGGAGTGGGTTCCACAAGCTTATATATAGGTATATATGTAGATTATCTCCATGGTTTGACATTTCCATTAACCAAACCTTTCGCTTTAGTATATATATAGTAATATAAGGAAGTTTTGGCAAGGCATTGTACATATGTTTCATAATCCTGTAGCATATACTGAGAATTTTTTTTAAAAAAATTGGGGGCCATGGCCATCCATGGTCATCAAGTGGCTCTGCCACTGTCGATATGGTATGGCATATAACAGGTATTGCAGGTGTAGTTATATATGTAAATTCATAACAATATGCTTTTTTTCCACATTGTATTGTTTTATTGTGCCACTCAGTTCTCAATGTTGAACGGTAACATTAAAAAATTGTCTTGGATGGAGTAATTTCATAGTTTACTTGTGCTGCATGCAAATATTTGTTTTAAAAGATCATGTGTTTTCCTTGATATGAATATCTTTTCACTTTATTGAGGATTAATGTATTTTCTGCTTTTCTGTTTATGCCAGTTAGGCCATCGAATACCCTCTGGAACTTCTCCTGCTGGGATTAGTAATAGAGCACCTCCAAAAAAGCCTTCTATTGGCCAAAAGAAGCCTCTTGAAGTACCTGGTTCCTCACCACCGCCATCAAGGTAAAATAGATTTGCATTGATGTTATCGCTTTCTGTGCATGATTTCAATTGTTTCTTACAAACTTTCTGTTAAATCCTTACACATTGTGTTCTGGACCTCTTCAGTAAGAAGCAAAAATTATCCGGGAACTTTTTGGATCAAAGCATTGAACAACTGAATGATGTCACTGCTGTTAGTGGAGTTAATCTTAGGGTATGGTATTTTGTCATTTTCAAATCATCCTGCATGGGGTATTAGCTAATTCAGTGAACCGTTGACAATCATTCAGTAAACATGCTTATAATCCTTTGAATATTTTTAAAAAAAATAGGAAGAGGAAGAGCAGCTGTTTTCTGGACCCAAGGAGGATAGTCGAGCTTCAGAAGCATCTCGAAAGTTTGTGCAAGAAGAAGAAGAAAGGCTGATTTTGCAGAAGGCTCCCTTGCAGAAAAAATTGGCGGAAATTAGTTAATACTCTATGCTTATCTCTTTATCATTGAAATGTTAAAATTCTGTATTTGTTCCTGTCATGAAAGGAAATAACAAACAGAGCTTGATATCTGGAATTTATGCTTGTTGGTTTAGCAGTGGTCAAATGTGGTTTGAAAAGTATAAGCAATGACGTGGAGCGCTGTTTGTCACTGGTGAGGTGCTAGCTTCTAGTTCTTTTTCTGTTGTGATAAACTTGCATGTTATCTTATTCCAAGGTAAATGAATCTTCAGTGTGTGGAGGAAAGAATGAGGGGACTAATAAATAATTTGATCAGACTGTCAAAGCAGGTATGTTTCTATTTTTTTTTTCTTTCTGCTGAACAATATTTCTCTTGCGTTATATATTTCCTGACTTTGAGTGAATCTCCTTGTGCTAGCGGGTTGATGCTGAGAAACCAAGACACCACACTATTACTACCTCTGATGTTCGGCAACAAGTTATGAATCTCAACCAGAATGCTAGGGAAGAATTTGAAAAAAAGCAGGCTGAGGCAGAAAAGCTTCGAAGGCTTAATGAAGTGAGCATCTTTAAGCATTCTATATTGTCATTTCTACAATGCACACATGGTGTCAACTACTAATGTGCTAAACACACACATGCATAGAGTATTTTTGTACAAGTGTATGCGCATTTTATTAGTCCCAAGTAAATAATATGACTGCATACAGCCTGAGGTTAACAATGGAGTTGATGGTGATAAAGACAAAGATGATGGTCGCTCCAAATCATTTAAGGTATGAATTCTGCTCAGCATTATATGTTTGCCTCTGGAATGAATAGAGAGATTAGTCTTCTGTAACTTTCGGCTTGATGTAGCCAAACAAAGAGGAAGATGACAAAATGAGGACGACAGCAGCAAATGTTGCTGCCCGAGCTGCTGTTGGAGGGGATGACATGTTGTCAAAATGGCAACTTATGGCTGAGCAAGCCCGGCAAAAGCGTGAAGGTGGGATTGATGTGGCATCTGGGTCCCAACCAGGTAAAGATGTAAACCGCAAGCCTACATCAACAGCTGGAAGAATTATGAAGGACAATCAAGATGCAGAGAAAAGGGGAGGTGGAACTCCAGTTGCTGCATCTGGTTAGTGTCACTAAGCTTGGATGTTTGTCAGATCATGATTTTGAAGATTTTAGTAGCCATAGTCATTACCTTTAGATATAAATTTTGTAGCTTCTTAGAGCTAATTCTTGAAGTTGTATTAGCTAGGGGATTTCCAGCACCTTGGATCTGCACAGGTAACATAATATGACTTCTAATTTCGTATAAGTGGCTGAGTTGGCATGTATTGAGTAACATTTAAAATGTTATCCCCGAATATTCGAATCATCAAAATCCAAAAGCACATCAAGTTCTATGTCCATTAAAATTTGAACCATGTGGAGGTTGGGGAGCTTTCTTCTCTACTCTTTGTTCTTGAAACTTTTTTCCTTTCATTTCAGGTAGACCTGTTAGGACATTATGGAAACTTAAGTGCTCCCGGAGTTTTCTCGTAGCTTTAGGGTTCTTCTGTATTCTCTTTGCTAATTACATATTTTTACGTTTCTTTCTTCTTTTCCTGTTTTGGAAAATTATCCTCTTCTAGGCATGTATGAGCTGTATAATCTTGTTATTCAAATTCACAACCATATTATGGTATAACAATCATGTGTTTACTTGCAACCAGTCTCATCTAACAGCTTTAGTGTATAAGTGTACTGTCTTAATTTTATAGTTATTTTGTGTAGTGCATTTCTGGAGTAATCATCCTCTGTGCATTCTTACTGTGCAGGCTTTGTTAATTGCAATTTTTATTTTTATTTTTTCGAGCAGGGACTATTAGAAAATGTGGAAGGAACCAAGTTATCACACCTCATACAAGGGTGGCTCGTAGTATATCTGTCAAGGATGTGATTGCTGTCCTGGAGAGGGAACCTCAGATGTCGAGGTCTACTATGATATATCGCTTGTTTGAAAGAATCCAATCAGACACCACTTGTGAATAATCTGAAAGTGTTTGTTCATTAGTTGTAAATTATGTGGTTTTTGGTAAGTTTGCTGAACCATAAGCTTTTATTATTGGTATAGGCAGTTTCACCATTCCAAATGCAAAGCTGGTCCATGTTGGTTCTACAATTTCTGTCATGTACCATTTTATGATATTCATTTTTGTAATAAAAACATTGCATACTATCAATATTCTTTAGGTCATGCTAATATCTGAAGCATCTGATGGCATTATTAATTGTTATTGAAGGTGGAAGGGTGTTGAGGCGGGAGGGAATAAATTCTTTTTACATCATGCATTAGAACTTTCACCCCCATTACAATGCAAGGGAGCATGAAATTGTAGAATTTGCAAATTTCAGCACAGGTAAGAATCCAGAAGCGCTATGTTATGATCACAGGCCATATATTGTGCAGAGAAATCCTATTTGTTCATTGCGCGAGTTGCATACAGGAAATCCTATTAGTTTAAATGCTAGTTTTTCTATCCTATATTGGACCAATTGTCCTTCACCTGTGACTGAGTACATACCCAAACTTGCTCTTTTTTTTTCTTGTTTTTGGTTGGGTGGGTTAACAGATTGGCCAATAATTGTTGTTCGAGATTAATGGCTCCAAGCTTCTTGAAGCCTTTCATGATAATTTCTCAGATTTCCACTTTACCTCCTTTTGAAGGACGTTATATATTTCGACCCAAAAAAAAAAAAAAGAGACATTGTATATGCTTTTATTTATTTATTTATAAATATATTTAAAAAATTAAAAATAAATAAATTAATGAAGGTCAATTCAAGAGTCATGCTTGAGCCTATTCAAATTCAAGAGTCACGCTGAACCATCACAATGAGGTGCACTTTTCTCGAATGTAACCTTAAAGGAGGGAATGAACGAAATGTGCGAAAAATTATGTCCCTATGGTTAAAACGTAAATATATTTGTTTACCCCAAATCTACTAGCCTCAAGAGTGGGCAAGAGATTGTATGAGATTGCGAGCATGTCACTATTAGCAATGTAAAACCCTAGTAGACTTTGAATGAAAATAAAGTAACTTAAGTCCCAAGAAATGGACTTTAAACAAAATGACTCTGAATTGAATGGGGAATTGGTTCAATATAGGTTTTTATTTTTCGATGCATTAAGACAAATAAGGACTTCAATATTTCTCTAATACAAAAACAAAAACAAAAAACAAAACAAAACAAAACAAAAAAAAAGGGAAAAAAAGAAGAGAAAAAACAACATAAATTAAGTAACAATAGCGGGTCAGATCAATAGATATGATCAGAACTGGGATCACCATCACCTTGGATCATTGCTTTGAAGACTTGGGGAAAACTTGGAGGCAGTCAGAATTTGCAAAGTGATTGAGGACAACACCTTCAATTGATGCAAATAAATTGGAAATCAATATCACTAACGGAACTGGCTGAGGAAATATCCAGAAAACTTGTTTGCCTTTGAAAATGATTTAGGATTTGTATCGAGTTGATTGTTGAAAAGTTGTGTTTCTAGACAATGAGCTATCTCCTCCTTTTTATGACTTTTTGCCCTAGCTTGAGAGGTCACGGTCGATTAGGGCACGACATTCTTGAAAATTAGATCAAATCAAATAAATCATTATCAAATTAACTTGCCAAGGAATAATAGGATTTATCCTTAATTTTCTAGGTAATTATCAATTTATTAGATAATTACACTTTTAGCCACGCAAACTGGCCAAAGACTGCATTTAATCCAAATGGCTATGAGCCCATGCCACACATTGACCCATTTTGCTTATTTATTAAAGTGGGTAAAAACCAGGCCCAAACAATGTTCATACGAAAAATAATATATATTCTTTATGAACCGACTTTGGATACCGTCCCTAAAGAGAAAGAATGACGAAATGTGGATTTCTAAAGAGAGAGTTTTTGGAAGTAAGTGAATGACTTGAAAATTTTGAGAAAGCAAAAGAATTGTGATTGTGGTGTGGTGTTTTATATTGAGATTACCATGGTAATACACGGATTGTGCAATGCTCTAAATAATTGCCCGTGTGATGTTGATTATGTGAAAAGATACATATCTTACTTATAGTGATTTACTCATATGAGCTACAAAAGCCTTATAGGGTTTGTCAATGGTGACCCGGTACAGTATTCGACGGTGTAGGAGTTAACTCTACAGGTGAGGGAAATCAAAGATTCCTAGCTAGAGGCTTCTTGTACAGTTTTGGCGAGGTGTGTTTTGTTTTCACTATTGTAATAAGCTCTAAAGGAGCAATTATATAATATGTTGATGTAATATATGATTTTGAAGTATGAATATGTATTAACATTGTGAGTTCGGAATGATTGTGTGACTACTAAAAGAAAAGTAAAGAAGTTGTGGAACATTTTTTTATTTATTTTTGTATTTCGAGCTTTATGTCCCGAATTGTATGTTTTATTAATCAAGAGTATCTCCAATAGTAGTAGCAAACTAAACTCTTCAAATTAAAGTTTGTTGGCCCATGTGGCAATTTTAAAAGGTTTATTTCTTACTTTTATAATGTATGCCCCAACACATTCTTCAATTTAATTAATGCAATGTTATAGAAAAGAATGAAAAATACGAAAACATGTGAAGAGTGTATATATGTATTTATTATCTGAAAAGAAAAAGTACATGTTTTTAACATTTCAAGGTAGGTTTTATTTTTTCAAAGTAAAATTAAATGTTTTGAAGAGTTAAAGTCAACTTACCAGTCATAAAGAGATAGAAAGAGGTTGCAATTTTGATGACTGAGTTTGACAAGGTTGTTAGAGAGAGCTTTGATGATATCTCACCTATTTTAGCATTTCAAAGTTGTTGGAGATGCTCTAAGCATGTTATATTTGTGTTGAAATTCGGGGGCATGACACTTTGGGAGAATCACCATGTAGAGTGGAAAGGAGCCTACCACAAAAAACAAGAAAAGCAAAAGAAACTCTCACATAGGAAAGAAGAAGCTCTCACAGAGGAGAGAGAAAACTCTCACAAAAGGAGAGAGCAAAAAGGAAAAGATTGTAGGGGTAGGGGCACAATACAAAATCGAGAGGAATAGAGGAGATTGGAGGAAGAAAGTAAAGGAGAGAAAGATAGGAGATGGAAGGATGACCTCCTCCCCTCTCAAAGGCTAATGAGCATTGAAAGTTTTCTAGGGAAGAGGGGCTAGTATTTCGGGTGGTGTATGATCCTTGATAGAGACATGTTAATTTGTGAGATTAAGGGAGAAAGTTGAGAGTGATATTAAGAATGGATGAAATCAACAACCGCGAGAGGCAGGTTTTTTTGTTTTTATCTTCTTCTTAAGTTCTTATGCATAAAATGGAATGATGGTGTAGAATGGAGGTAAGCCATAACTATTTAAAACAAGAAGAGTTCAAATCATGTTAATCAATTGGTTTGGTCGATTTGATGAGGTTTTCAGTGCAAATGCTGAGACCAACGTACTATCATGTTTTCTAGGATTTAATACAAAACAACCAATTTATAATAAATAAACAGTAATGATACGAGCACCAACTTTTGATTACCAATTGATGTGAAGCATAACATGGTATGTGTAACAAGGGTGAAAAACGCCTGCTGAATGTGTTGTCGATGCTTCCAAGGTAATCTAGCGACGCTTCTTGCAAGCTTCCGCCGAGACCCTTCAACATCCATCTTGCAACGCTTGTCTTGTCCTAGACCCACTCCAGCACATTTTCAGCCAAACTGCCACGTCCATCCCACGATCTGCCTACGTGCGTTGCGCAGTCTGCACGCACGCTGCGCTCTGCATCCTTGCACCCAATGCTGTTGACATCCATTGAGCATCCTGCGCGCATGCTACGAGCAGCTCCTATCGTCATCTCGTCTCGGCCTATGCCAACTTGTTAGGGTTTCACAATATGCCATGTCATTTGCCGTCTCTGCAATTAAGAAAAAGAGAAGTTTTTTACCCAAATTCCATTCTTCATCATATATCTTGCAATAAGAAAGTGGCATGGTAAGATGATTGTATTGTTGCATCCGCGATGATGTGGGGTAGATAATGTTGTCATGGTGATGGAGTTACCGCGATGTCTGTATTTTGGGCAGAAGTGATGATGCAGGGAAAATGGTGCTATGGTGGTGAATGGTTAGGTTTAATAATAAATAATAAACAAAAAGAAAGTTAATAGATAAAATTGATTATTATGATGCCATGTGCCACAATTATTATTTTTAAATATATTCTAAACTATAATTGAAGGGTGGTTTTTCACACACTACCAAAGTCCCATAAGTGTTCGAATCTAAAATCTTGACTAAGTTAGACTTCGTTGGCTTTGCCTAGGGGTGCAAGTTGGATTGGAAAATCCGATTTGGGTTCGAAGATTTCCAAAAAAATCCGACTCCGACAAATCCAAATTCCACAAATGCCGAAATCCGAAATTTCCAAAAAAAAATTGGATCGGATTTGGAATGCACATGGAACTTCTGAAATTTCCGAAATTTCCTATCCAAAATGTTTCGAACTCATTCCAATCCGATAATTCCGATTTATCTCTAATATATTCCGATTTTAAAAATTCCGAATATTTGAAAAGCATTCTGATCGGAAAATTCTGATTTATTCTGAAATATTTTGAATTAATCCTACAAAAATTTAGAGAACAATGAATATATTAATTTTTATGACAACATTTAGTGAATTCCTTCAATTTTTAATTGGTCCATAGTTCTATCACAACCAACCAAAGACACAAGTTTTCTTTGATATTATTGTGAACAGTATATATACATACATAATGAAAATTTTAAGAGTACATTTAAAAATATTATTAGAAGGAAAAAACCAATTTTGATTTGATCTAAATTATGTAGTATATTTTCCTTTAATTCTAACTCAATTTCTTGAATAGGACTCATTGAGGTATGTGGTCATGCATTTAATTATAAACATATTTTATTTATGATCAATTGTCATGCTGCTAATGTATTACTATTTTCTTAATAATGTGAATATAAACAATAGGGGGTTACAAAAGAGTTACGTACATCGATGGGTAACTTACCTTTAAAAAAAGGTAGGATATTGACATGTTGTCTCAAATACAAATAGGTATCAAACTCTTATTCATGAATCATGATTATGAAAATTAAAAAATAGGGATGATCATGGAACCACATTGTAGAATGAACCCTAATAGTAAGTATGTAGTAGTATCCCTTGCAATCTTTCAAGATAAAGTTTATATGTATATATATATATATATATATATATATATAGAAAGAATTTCCATTGATGAATCCCTTAAATTAGCTTATTTGAGGGATACTTTTGTAGGGCTCACTCCGTATAGTATATTACTAATCTAAACTATCTATTTTGTAGATACTCATTCAAAGATCATCTCTACACAAAATCACTTGAATTTGATATCATTTGACCACTCAATTAAATTATTGAAATTTTAGTACTTTCTCTAAGTACCGTATTCATTGATTTTGTATGACATAATTGGATTTCGAAACGGTTTCCGATTTGTTTAATTTTTTGCAAGGATGATTTATAAATGTATACTTAAAAAAATAAATGGTTTGGATCGTTGAAAAAAAAATCATATGGGACCCTAAAGGGTGTGCCTCAAATATCTCTCAATAGAAGGGAACTGTATATATAATATAAAATTATATATGTACATATTTGTTTAATCAATAACACTAATTTAGATTTAAATATTAATATTGAATCAAATTATGATACAAAATAAAAGTAAAAGTAAATCAACTTAATTTAACATATAAAATTACAACTTATGTATCACGACTAAGTCCTCTTTGACTATAATATTTAATATCATTACATACATACTACTTAGGGTGAGAGTTTTTTTTTTTTTTTTTTTTTTTTTTTTTTTTTTTTTTTTTTTTGGGAGAAAAGGTGAGAGAGTCTTTACTTTAGATCCAGATAAGAGCCCTCTTGTATTCTCCCCCAGCAAGCAGCAAAGAGATTTCACTCCATCCCTTGGAAAACCAAACGACTCTTCTCTTTCTTCACTAGAGACGAAAACAAGATGGAACTTTAAACGTTTTCATTAATCACACTATTAACCTACTTCCCTATGCAATATCACCACCACTGCAAGTCTACACCAAAATCTCTATCATTATTCACTATTCAGTAAGTTTTCTTTTTTAGTTTCTCCAGATCTTGTTTATGTATTACTGGGCAATTGAATTTGTTAACTTGTCTACCTAATTAGAAAGGAATATTGACAAGAAAAAAAAAGTGTTTTCATCGCTTTGCTAGTTCAATTTCTTTTTCATTTTGAGGGTGTTAACAGAGGGTTTTGAATCGTTTTATTTTAAGTCTTGCAGGGTTTGCTCTTCTAATTTTGTGTATCATTCTTTTGTGCTTGTGTGCCATTATCGGTGTTTATTGCATAATTTGTGGTATTTAAGATGAGCAATACATATTCTTATAGCTACTAGAACCACAATATGTCTTGCATTTTCCTTTAAGTGGAAACTTTTTGTTATCATCGGTCTTTTTCTTATACACCTAATAGATTGCTTGATTATTTTATATGTTATTGTAGATCTAAAAATGGCACAGGACATGGATCATAGCCCTCAGGTTCCCAATCAAGTTCCCGACTAGGTTGCCAAGAAAGCTACCATTTGTGGCAATCCAAAGAAGCAAAAAATTACCAAGAAGTCTGGTTTTGCTGGAAACCATGGAAAATCTTAGGTATGGAATTTTTTAAAGAAAGTTTTAGATGAGGAAACTAGAAAATACAAAGGAATTGCAATTTGTATGTTTTGTGAAGCTAGAATTACTGCACCTTCTAACATTGGCACCAATAAGCTGTGGTCTCATACTAGGACTTGTAAAAAGTTTCCTCATGATGAACAAGATAATGCATAGACACTAATTTCTGTAATGGGAGGTTAAACTTGCAACTGGAAGTTTGACCAGGAGCTATGAAGGAGGTTTTTTACAAAAATGATTATCCTTTGTGAACTCCCATTTAGCTTTGTAGAAAAGGAAGGCTTTATGATGTTTTGTGAAGTTATACAGCCCAAATTTCATGTCCAAAACCACAATCACAAAAGATTGTTTACAAATATATCATGAGAAAAAAAGTAAGTTAAAAGATTATTTCGAAGAGATTTCTACACGAATATGCATCACAACATATTTGTGGACTTCGGTTCAAAATCTTGGGTACATGGCCTTGACAGCTCACTTTGTGGACAAAGATTGGGTTCTTAGAAAGAAAATCATAAATTTTCGAGTTCTTCCACATCCACACAAAGGAAAGGTTATTGCAAAAGCAATAGAAAATTGTCTTTTAGAGTGGGGAATAGAAAAGATATGAAAATCACGCTTGATAATGCGAAGAATAATGATACATGTGCTACGGATTTAAAGAAAAGATTTAACAAGAGAAATATGATGTTATTAGGTGGAGAGTTCTTTGATGTAATGTGTTTTGCACATGTCATCAATTTGGTTGTGAGGGATTGAAATGAAGGGGTGAAGACAACCATCAAGCATCTTCGTCGAAGTGTTAGTATGTGAGGAGTAATTCCTCACGTTTGCAAATGTTTAAAAATTGTGCTTTGGATGAGAGTGTAACTTGCAAGAAGGTTGTGTGTTTAGATGTTAAAACAAGATGGAATTCAACATATTTGATGATAAATGAAGCAATGGAGTGAGAAGATGGAAGTGAGCTAGGTTTGAAGAAAAAAATGGGTGGAAGTGAGTGTGATGAGAGGGGGGGAGAGGGGGGGAGAGGGGGGGATCTCATAAATGAAGTTGATTGGAGTAAATTGCGAAGTTTGCATACATTTTTGGAAGATTTTTATATTCTAACAAAGCGTATATATGGTTCTCATTACATCATCTCTAACACTTACTTTGATGAGGTGACACAAACCAAGGATATGCTCTTGCAACAAATGGGTAACAATGATGTTTTTCTTAGTTCCATGACTAAGAAAATGAATGAAGAATTTGAAAAATATTGTGACGTTGATGCTTTGAATCCAGTTTTGATTGCTTCTATTGTGCTAGACCCTAGATATAAATTGGATTATGTGACATTTTGATATAGAAGTTGCTTAGATAGTGATATTCTTCTAAGTGAGGATGAAAAAGAAAAAAAAATTTGAGGATTGGGTTGAAAGATTCAAAAGTATGATGTCACGTCTTTATCTTCATTATGAGTCGAAAGCCACATCTTTAGATTATCAATCTGCAAATTCAGAGAGTGTTGTGGCTAATCAAGGTGGGTATTGATCCAAGAAGGAGATGTTTATGAGAAAATTGAAAAAAAAGGAACATGCAGATGCTAATAATGAGTTGGACAAATACTTGAGTCATGGAATTAAGGATGAATCTCCAAACTTTGATGTACTGACTTGATAGAAAGGGAAGTATGCAACCTATCACGCACTTGCAATAATGGCATGAGATGTTTTATCAATTTCAGTGACATCTGTTGCTTCAGAATATGCTTTTAGTACTACTGGAAGAGTTCTTGACCCATTTCGAAGTTCCTTAACACCAAATATAATGGAGGCTTTGGTGTGTACCCAAGATTGGTTAAGATATTCCGAACAAGAGCGTGGGAGTGTTGAAGAACAACTTGAAGAGCTTGAGGAAATTGAAATTTGTATGTAACACATGAGTTTAAATTATTTACAGCTCTTAAATTGCTTTTTTAATTATAATATTGATTTTATGCTTGTTGCAGTTGTAAGCTAAGAGTTTGAAAATCTATCACGTGAATGAATGGAACTAAATATGAAGGTATAGAGTTCTTTAATTTAGTTTTGTATAAATATGTAGATTTTTTTTTAATGTTTTCTATTATCTTTAAAGGAAAATCACTTTTACATTTCATGCCACTTTTCTCTTCATGTGCCCTTGTTAATTCATATTTTTGTTGTATATTTTTCTTGAAAGGTTTGAAATTTTTTAATGACAGAGACAAAATAGAAGAATAAAAGCTTTAATTGTAAGAATTGATTTTCTCATTGAATGAAGTATGTGATCAGTACAGTAATGTTTATATATAGAGTGTTATGAAATATCTAGAATAAAAATTGTTACAAAGAATCATAAGAGTGTGACAAGTGTAAGGATGAGATGAACTTAGCCATTTTCTTGGATTCCTCTGGAATAATATTAGGGTATTGGTACTGTGCAGTTCTTATTTGGTCTAATGTGCTCTTGCTTGATTGTTCTGGAATAATGTCTCTTCTCTGATGATGTGTCATTGTTCTTGCTAATAGAGCATTCTGTTTATCAAGGTGTTTGGATATGGTCACCAAATTTTAGCCAAGTCAAGTGGTCTCCATTCCAAGCCAAGTCAAATGGTCTCAATTTCAAGCCAAGTCATGGAGACCAAATTACAGCCAAGTCAAGTGGAACTCAACTCCACAAGGTCTAGCCAAATAAAGAAATTGTTATTTATAATGGCAATAAATAAATGAAAGTCCAAGTAGTTTTGGTTTGGAATAAATAATCAGCCAACTAATCCAAGAAGTTTGGATTCTCTTACCACTCAATTACGTGACCCAAAAAACATATCGGGCGAACTTTTTATCAACCGGGTCAAGCTCTTGTTTAGTCGGGTTAGAACTTTACTACAACAATCTAAAAAAGGTAGTCAAGATCTTTAGTATCTAAATATACACGTGATAGTAGATTCATCAAAACATTGGATTAATACTCACCACTCTGATGAAAGCTATTTCTTTGAGGTGCAATGAAGTTGTCAAGCTCCTTCAGGTAGGAATGGCGGCTAGAGCATGAAAGGGGTATGCTTCTCTTGCTCAGATTCTTAACCCAAAAAGAATAATCTCAACAAGGTGCTTTGACAAATGAGATGGGTTCAACTTGGGTCTCTCATGTACATGAAATGAGTATCATGCACACCTTATATAATGTATGAATTGATAAGGAGGAGGCTATTCCTATTTCGCAAGATAAGAGAGACAATAGTGAAAGTTCTTTTAGAGAGAAATGATATCTTGAGGTGCTACAAATTCAAAAGCCCACTTTGGCTGTGTGTGTATATATATATATATATTATATTATATTAAAATGGCCAAATCATGGCCTTGGGATTTAACTTAAGCAGAATCAAATTCAACTGATTGACTTATCAAGACGGGTGAGTAATTGGGGTTGAATGATTTGCTGGTGTCTAGTTAAAGTTCAGCTCCCAAGATGTCCTATGTTTCAAATATAATAGTATAAAATTATATATGATGAGATTGGGGAGGTGTTACATGTGTTATAGCTGCAAGGCTGTAAAGGCCTTGTGGCCTGGACTTTGATACATGTTATGTATATAATTATATATATAAGGTATAAGCCTTATGACTTGGATGTGATTAATATTAATAGGCCCACATATACATTTATTGTATATCTAGTTTAATTAAAATTTAAATATTAGTATGAATACACCTTATTGAAAAACAACTATCCTTTTTTACTTGGGTCCAATAGCAAAGGTCTCATGACCTCATTATCAGTTTCACAAAGGTTCATACAATTCAATGGGTTTCCAAGCCACTCCAACATCAGTGGACTATTTTTAATTAAGACCAAGATTCTGGAAGTAGGCCCAAAACCTCTGGATGTTTTCATACACGTGACGAGATCCATCAAAGTAAAGCAATAAAAGAGAGTGATGTCAATTTGGAACATTCTTAAGGAGGAGAAAATCAAGTGATCAAATTTGCAATCTGATGATCGCATTCGAATCAATTCCGTGGAGTTAGGAAGTCACACAAGGAAAGATTTTGAACAAAGTTTACCTTTGGCCATTTAATGGCCAACCCATGGGCTGACGAATGCCCCTATATAAACCTCATTAGACAAAAAGCAAAAGGACCCCGACATCAGACACAAAAACTTACTTTTTGTCTTTCACTTTTCTATCCCTAGACTAGATTTTTATTTTCCAAGCAAGTAGACTAGATCAATTCTTCACTTTCGTTAGTGTAAGTTTAATTTCTTGCATTTTTCATTATTTTGTTTTAAGATTCAAGTTTATCGCTTTACTTTTAATTGTTATCGAATGTTCTTTAAGTTTAATTTAATTTCATATTGCTTTATTTTATTGCCTTTATCGTTTATATCGTTCTTATTTCGTTCCTCATTTAATTTACGTTTATCTATTGCTTTGATTTACTTTATCACACTTTAATTCTTGTCTTTAAGTTTAATCGCATCTTTTAATTTAATTTGCATCATTATCAATAAATCTCAAAAATAGTAAAATACCCATACGAAACCTAACCATTCTAGACCTCGAGGAAGTGAAAGAACCTAGGCCAAGAGGAGATTCCTTACTTGGCCGATCAATCAGTTGGTTAGAAGTCAGAAGCGCGAACACAACAATCCAACTTTTTCCATTCAAACCAATCAGTGGCTTGGTGGTGGCACGCCTACGCAATCCAAGAGAAGTAGGACCAAAAGTTCTTTCCGTCAGCCACCTCGACTGAAAAGAGGGAAACACAAGGCTAACTAAATTTAGTTGAGCTTGATAATGGAACATTCACATTCTATACATTTAGTATAGTTTTCTTTCTTTTATCACATTTGATGATGGAACATTGTATCTATTTTGTTTTGCAGCTTCTTCTGTTGACAAATTATTTCAAGGAATTGAAGATGATGTGATTTTTAATTGAGTAATGCTACACTTATCACATTTTTATCCCACATTTCTATACCACATGATGTGGCATGTCCATATTATATGCCACATCAATTAAATCAATGAAGTGTGTTTTAATTAAAACAATTAGAAAAACAAATACTGGAATAAATCATAAAATAAAATAAAATATTAAATGATTTTAATTGATATGGTTGTCCACCTCAGCTGCTACATAAGATGGTATATGGATGTGGTATACAAATGTGGTAAGAGTAGCATTATTCTTTTTAATTTGGAGAGGTGAGTTTTGATTTTTGTTCAAATAAATACTATTACAGTAACATTACCCCTCTCTAACTAACATCATAGAACTTCCCATCACACATGAGTGTATGATACTTCTAGTTAATAATTACACCAAGAGATCTATATGCTTTGAGATTCATCATTTTACGTCAGGACTTGCAGCAGATTGCCTTGTTCCTGACTTGTATTCCTTCCATTCCATGTACATTTTTCATATCCTGCAATAGATACAGCTTGTATCGCTATTGTACATTCAAAGGTTTAAGGAGAGACATTTTCTGACTAGAACTAGCACTCTTGTGTTCCTTCCACTTTTCTCTTCGTGTGTCCATGTTGCCATCCGAAATATGCATAACAGTTCATAGCATCTGATTGTTCATAACTCTTTTGCATAGCAGTTCAGATTATATATATATCCTCAAACTGAGTGAGTAATTAGTTGTAACCTTGGAATTGTAGGTTGACATATTCGTGATTTTAGCAATGGTGTTGCGAAACATGATGTATTGATTAGCTTACTTCTAGTAATGAGTTGAATTTGAATGGATTATGGATCTATGTTAAATGTTGTAGGATTTATTTTTCTGTTTTTATTGTGGACTAGTTTAAATTTGAACATTATGTCATTTGAATGTAAACATTTTTCTGGATTTTTTTCTTTTTTGGTTGGCTTAATCATGATTCACAAGAAAATTTCCAAATTTGATTTCCAAAATTATTATTCGAAAATGCAGAAATTATTATCTGAAAATTCCGAAAATTCCGATAATGCCAAAAATTCCGCATCGGAATAGAGTTAGTACATTCCGAAATTTTGGAATCAAAATCAGAACTGAAAGGTAATTCCAAAAAGTTTCGGAATGGAATTCGGAGCAGTGGTTTCCAATCCATTTTGGCCGAAAAACACCCTTGGCTTTGTCACACTAGTTGGTAACTAAAAGTTGGCGAATGATCTGGTCTTATAGCACTATTGATATAAATCAAACTTTAAAATATCTGCCGTGTGTCACTGCTGAAATGGATCACTATCCTGCCCACAGGTTTAGACGCCGCACCGCATCCCTCCCCACCTACCATTTTTGATCGCGATTCGCCTCCGTACATTAGCCGAAGCCGCCAAACTGAGATTCAACAAAAACCCAACAAAAACTCCTGACCCGACTCGAGTTTCTCTGTGAGAGGCTATGGCGTCGCTCTCATCAGCGATCTCTAATCCAGGCCACATTCTCTCCCCCAACGCGTTGGCTCACGATGTCAAACCGAAGAAGATTTGCTACTCTCAATGCCATGCATTCTTTCTCCCTCCGCATCGCTCTACTACTTGCAGGTACTCATTTCGATACCCAGTCAGTTTTTCTTGATTCTTCCTTTTTTTCTGTTTGTTTCTCGAGAAAATGGAAGGCCTTTCTATCTAAAAAGTGGAACTCTTTTTCCATATTGATTTTTCATTTTACCATTTCGATGGAGCTTAAGACTTAAGTAGTAACTGTTTAACTTAACCTGGAATGATGGAATTATTTAATTTGTCCTGAAGATTCATATCGTGCTCAAAGATTTTTGTTTTTTATTTAAAATTTTCAAAATTGGTATACTGATGAGTGAAAGCACAGCAGAAAATGGGACCTAAGTATTGGAACTGTTTCCAAATTCCAAAGGCTATTGGTGACCTTTTCTTCTTTTTCTAATTTTAGTTTTGATATGGTTATTTTTCGTTAATTACTTATTAGTTTTTTATTTCTAATGTATGCAAGCGCGTGCGTGTTAGATAGCATTGAGTTTCTTCAGTGACTATGTATTTGCTCTTTGCTTGGTGTTTTTCAAGCAGTCATTTTTCTTTAGATATTCTTGCTTTCTGTTTTGACTAGTTAGGAATTTTATCACGGATCATAACTAACATGATCCAAGTAGGCACTTCCAAGTTCCAACCTTTAAGAATTTTATCACGGATCATAACTATCATGTTTTATTAAGCTCTTAGCGTAAGTTTGTGCTCTTAGAACCGATGTTTAATTTTCCGTCAAAATTTTTGCGTTGTACTTTCAGAAATTTACTTTTTTATTGTACAATTAAACAGTCATGTTTTATTATTCACCTCTTTCACTTCAAAATTTAGTGTTGTAAGTTTATTTGACTACTGAAAAAAAAGAATTAAAAAATGCTTTACTAATGCCAACCACATATGAACTCATTGTTCCATGTAATCGATACTTCAGATTAACTTAAATTACTTAGTAATTTACGAGGAGGTTTGTTGTCTTTTCCAGAATGGGTTTTGTTTCTGGGTTGGAAAGGAAAAAGACGCTAAAAAGCCAGATCTTTGCATCAGTCACAGGTTCATTTCCTCTCCTTTTCCATAACCAAACAAATTTTTCCTCAGGATCTTGTATGTATAAGTTTTCATCTAACTCTAATTTTCATTGCTTTATTAGTAGATACTCCAGTAAACACATCCCCTGAAAAAGTTCAGCTTCCTAAAGGTGACGCTTGGTCTGTTCATAAATTTGGTGGTACCTGTATGGGAAGTTCAGAAAGAATTAAGAATGTTGCAAAAATAGTTCTTAGTGATGATTCAGAGAGGAAGTTTATAGTTGTCTCTGCAATGTCAAAGGTAACAGATATGATGTATGATCTCATCTACAAGGCTCAATCACGAGACGATTCCTATTTATCTGCACTAGATGCTGTTTTAGAAAAGCACAGATCAACAGCCTTTGATCTACTTGATGGGGATGAACTTGGTAGTTTCTTAGCGCAATTGAATCATGACATCAGTAACCTGAAAGCGATGCTTCGAGCAATATACATTGGTACTAGATTTCTCTCTCTCTCTCTCTCTCTCTCTCTCTCTCTCTCTCTCTCTCTCGTTGTACCTGGAATGTTATGTGAATATGCTTTATTCATTTATTATTTTCCACAAAACATTGGGATATTAGTGGCTCTCTGATTTGTATGAACTCTCAAATGGATTATCACAGAAAGTAATTTGGTGTGTGTTTTTATCAATTCCCTGCATAAGTCAAACATTCCATGTTTATGGTCGTGTATGTGTTTGTATTCAAGGATGAAAATATCGGCTGGGGCAGATAGTATTGGGCCTTCAATTTATGGATGTTTCAGGGTATATATTGGTATCGTTTTAGGTAAATCCGTCAGAAAAGACAGATATTGGCTTAAAAACACGGAATTTTGAAATAAAAGTTTCATTGGATGTTAATTACATTATTGATGAATGTATTAAACAAATAAATCCAAAATATACTAGTATAAGATGTGCATATAACGAAATGTACGTGTATATAATGTGTGCACATGAAAATAAAACTTAGATTAGAAGATAAACTATGCATAATTATGCTTATGCATAGTTTGTTTCAACATTGGAGTACAAAGGTAAGTCAGATTTTTTGGTGGTATTTGGATTAGAATCTTTAGATTATTTGGGTATTTAGTTTGATTCAGTGGTTGGCTTAGTAGATGGGTATTCAATTAAGGTGTAATTTGGTTCATATTTGACTTGATTACAGATTTTAGACAATGATTATAAATTTTTTTAATTTGAATTCATATCTTTTTCCTTCGATTATCTACAAAACGAAAAAGAAATTTCTTGGGTATTTGGCTGGTACTGGCAAATATCGTCTGATATTGGTAAATATCGGGGCTATATCACCGATAAGGGGGAATAAATAGCCTTACCTGCCCAGTATCTGTGTTGACACCTAGTTTTCTCGATATGAATATCAGCTAGTATTCTTTGTCAGAGAAAGACTAATTCTTTTATCTGAATTCGTGGTAGTGGGATTAATAACTTATTTAATCCTTCCCATTTCGCTTCCTGGTTAATCACAATACATCGACAGAATGGCTGAATATAAATAAAAGGGTTAGTGCCCTAGTGGTAAAGCACTTGTCTTATTCCAACTTACATCCAGTAATTCATGTGTTATGGAGAATTTGTTCTTTGTCTAGTAATATTTACTATGACACTTAATCTAGATTTACTTGTTAATTTTCTTAATGGATCTTTTAAGTTTGGTTAAACTTAAGGTTGGATCTTGTCAGATTGACTAATTTGCATGCTTATGGCAGCTGGTCATGCAACAGAATCTTTTACAGATTTTGTTGTAGGACATGGAGAGTTATGGTCAGCTCAGATGTTGTCCTGTGTTGTTAGAAAGGTCTGGTGGTGGTATGCTTATTCTTCAAGGGCATTTGCTAAATGTTTCTTTTTGTAGTTGTCTGATATACTAATATATTTTGTTATTCTTTTTATTTCATTCTGCAGAATGGGGTGGATTGCAATTGGATGGATACAAGGGAAGTCCTTATTGTGAATCCTACTAGTTCTAATCAAGTCGATCCTGATTTCAAGGAGTCCGAAGAGAGACTTGAGATATGGTATTCCAAAAATCCATCGAAAACAATTGTAGCTACTGGTTTTATTGCTAGCACACCTCAAAATATTCCTACTACTTTGAAGAGAGATGGAAGTGACTTCTCCGCAGCTATCATGGGTGCTCTATTCAAGGCACGTCAAGTCACTATTTGGACAGATGTTGATGGAGTCTATAGTGCAGACCCCAGAAAAGGTTTGTATAGCCCTTGTACTTGGTAAACATTATCACATATAAACCATTTTTAAGTAACTTTCTATACAATGACAAGCGTACATATTTTTGTTTTGTGATAATAATTGGCTAATGCCTTTTAAGAATGTTGAAATGTTACTGACTTACTGTGGGATTTAAACAATAAGAAATGTTCATCTGCAGTCAGTGAGGCAGTGATTCTTAAGACGTTGTCTTATCAAGAGGCCTGGGAAATGGTGAACCTTATTACTCACTATCAAAGTTTCTGAGATTGGTACATTCACAAATTTAACATAGAATATTCGTCTATGTGCAGTCTTATTTCGGGGCAAATGTTCTGCATCCACGCACCATCATCCCAGTGATGCAATATGACATTCCAATTATAATACGAAATGTTTTCAACCTCGCAGTACCTGGAACAAAAATTTGTCGCTCTACTGAGGATGAAGATGGTCAGGGTTTGGAGTCCTTTGTCAAAGGGTTTGCCACAATAGACAACTTGGCCATTGTAAATGTTGAAGGGTGAGCTGTGCATTACTGTGATTGGGTTGCATTTGAATTAAAGATGTACATTCCCCCATTTTTAACATTGTCCTTTCTCTCTCCCAGAACTGGAATGGCTGGTGTTCCTGGTACGGCCAGTGCTATATTTAGTGCCGTAAAAGATGTCGGGGCTAATGTTATTATGATATCTCAGGTTACCTCATCCTCTGTGCTATATTCAGTTCATAGTATGTCGAAACCGTATACATTTTCATGCTTAATGTTTTTAGTGATGGTTCATTGTAGGCTAGTAGCGAGCATTCTGTGTGCTTTGCTGTCCCTGAAAAGGAAGTGAATGCTGTTTCTGAGTTACTGCAGTCTAGATTTCGTGAGGCTTTGAATGCTGGGCGCCTTTCTCAGGTGCTTAATTTTTATTTGACTGAATTTCTTGACCAGGTTTCTAAGTGTACTGACAATTAGTTTCTTGTTTATTTTACTGATAATCACTTAATATTTATTTTACTGATAATCACTTAATATTTTGGTTCATTGGTTTGCTTCACAATGATGAAAACGGCTGTACTGTGGTAGCCCTTTCTTTTCTCAGTAGTAACTTATTATTAAAGTTGTTGCTCAGACTCAGCTTTGCATACATCATAATTGTAATTGAGGCCAAAGTGGCAGGAAAATGTCGTTGGGTTGGCAATGTTACTTGAGGAAGTAAGTTGGAGGCAAGCATATAGTAAGTAGGACCAAGGTGGAGATTTGCATATCTTAAGATTAGGTGGAACTCAATACCATTACATGAAAAACCTTATTGGACCTACACTATGTATGTGGCTCAGTTAAAGAGTTATAAAAAAGAGTTGAAATTGGTGACATGAATGTTAACATAAAATAAATAAAAAATTGCATGTAACGATTTTATATTCTCATTTGTTTGATTCCTTATGAATAGTATATTTCCTTCCCAGCTTATTTCCATAACTGAAATTTTGATTGCACTGCATTTTTATTTGTTTCTTTCAATCTTTTTACGTACTGATTTGTGCCACCTCTGCCGGTACTTCTCTTCCCCTCTCAGGTTCAAGTCATTCCAAACTGTAGTATTCTGGCAGCAGTTGGCCAAAAAATGGCTAGTACCCCAGGAGTTAGTGCAACTCTTTTCAATGCACTGGCAAAGGTTAAGGATTTATTATATTTCTATTAATTTTATCAATAAGTTAGACTATTATTTTAATTTAACAATTCATGGTTGTTCGTATACTGTTGTATCCTCTTCTGTGGTCTTTGATTCTAAATGTTTATCATAATCCATTATCCCCAATACAGAGGGATCTAAATTGTTTTTAAAATGCAGGCAAACATTAATGTGCGTGCCATAGCTCAAGGTTGTTCTGAGTACAATATTACTGTAGTAGTAAAGCGGGAGGATTGTATTAGGGCCCTGCGAGCTGTCCACTCTAGATTTTATCTCTCAAGAACCACAATAGCAATGGGCATCATCGGACCCGGTCTGATTGGTGGAACTTTACTTGATCAATTAAGGGATCAGGTACCTTCTTTTTCGCTGTTCTTCTGTTATTATCAGTCTTTTGTACAATTAGGCACTTGTGTTGTCATATGTCCATGAAATCGCATGATTCTTTATTACATGCTTACTTAGAAGATCCTAAAATTGGTCAGATTTATCATTCTGTGTGCTAATTTGGAGGCCTTTTCTGGTTTTTGCACACGAGTACCTATTCTAGTCTGATTTAGTTTTGAGCGAGCAAGATGTTGAGTTATGCCCAATCCATTCTTCTCGTGTGTATGTGGTCAGAAGTGTGGTTTGCTTGTGCACAGAAGAATGTATTCAAATTAATACTCAAAAACATTTTACAGCCATTCAACAATTTAACATTTAGTTTTACAAACCCAACCAATTGGGTTTTCTTTCCTAATTTTAATTAAGGATCTAAGTTTGGCATAGTTTTATGTTGCCTCTCTCTCTCTCTTACACACACACACACACACACACACACACACACACATGCATCTCTGTGCCTTTAGTAGCAGAGTTTTATATTGCTGCTTGCTTCTGAACCAAAATTTTAATGGAGACACGGTGCTTTTATTTTCTTGTACTGGGTTGGGTGAATCACTAAATTGAATATTTCTAATCTTTGCAGACAGCTACCCTCAAGGAAGAGTTTAACATTGATTTGCGTGTTATGGGAATCACTGGCTCAAGGACAATGCTTTTGAGTGAGGCGTAAGTTAAAAGATTTCAAAGAAATATTATTAAATCATATGCTTCATATCATCTAAATTACACCTTGGAATGGTAGTGGTCTAATTTATACATGTTTGTTAATGCAATATTTTTGAATTTATTATTGACCAACATGGTAGTGGAAATTGCCTCTTCTGACAGTCCTATTACAATCTGTGCTGAAGCTTAAAAGTTGGCTTTCCTTCTTGTTATTTTAGGATTTCATATGTGCATCCTGCCACCGACCTTTTCCATTGTATTTTTTATTTTTATTTAACAAAAGAAAAAAAGCCACCTGATGCTTCTTATGGTTTGGTAATGATTGATCAAATACTTTTATTCCATATATCATGATCATTATTTCCATAACTATGAATTTACATTTTTCTTATTTATTATTGTAGTGGGATTGACCTATCTAGATGGAAAGAACTCCAAAAAGAGAAAGGAGTAGTGGCAGATATGGAAAAATTTGTGCAGCATATACATGGGAATCATTTCATTCCGAATACTGTTTTGGTTGACTGCACAGCTGACTCTAGTATTGCAAGCCATTACTATGACTGGTTGCGGAAAGGAATACATGTAGTCACCCCCAACAAGAAGGCAAATTCAGGACCACTTGATCAGGTAATATCTCTTTCATACATGGAAATGGTTTGACGTTGTTATCATGGTGATGTTATCTAATTGCAAATTCTTGTTTTGGTAATTCATATAATTCAACTGAGAAAGAACAAGGACATCTTCCATGTCCTTAATCAATTCATCTACCCAATTAAGTGGGGTTTTGTACTAAAACCCCTGAATTTGGTTTATCTTCCTAGCAAACTATTTACACAGTTATCAAGCTGTGCTCTTGGTCATCATTGGTCCCCACTTTTTCATCATCATATCCTCCATTTCCTTTTTTTTTTTTTGTTTTTTGTTTTTTGTTTTTTGTTTTTTTTTTTTTTTTTGTGATTCTTGGTCACTACTCTATAATGCTTTCGTTTTATATATCTAGGAGAGAATTGGTTTGTACTTTGTTCTCTGAACATAGTGGTGATAATAGCAGCCAACTTACATGTGTAATTATTCTAATAATCGTACACATAAATTTGTCAGAAATGTCTATGCAACAAGTGATGCAATGTTAATGTGAATTACTTTTATTTTAAAAAAATCTGAAAGATCACAAAGTTTGCCTGAATTGAATTTCATGTGAAAGATCTCAAAGTTTGTTTTGTTGAAACACAGTTTTTTAATAAAAACTAAGGGGGCGGGAATTATACCCAACTTGGTTGTTATGTTTTTTTGTTTTTGTTTTGTGGGTACAAGTTTGGTTGTTACATTTGTTTCTGTTGGGGATTTTATTTTGAGACACTTGGACTTTCATATTCATATCTTAATAATATATGAATCTTTTGTTTGATCTTCTTCAGTGCCCCTGCAGCATTGCCATAAATTGACTTGCAGGAAATAAAGAACTATTATTACTGTTGAACTCGTACTTAATATAAGTATTTTTATTTTTTTGGAACAAATGGGGAAGTGGAATTTGAACTTGGGACCTCTTCCAACATTGAGAAGAATGGTAACATATACTAAGAGCTAGTTTGTTCACTTAATATAAGTTAGTTACTAATAAGTAAAACTTTAATGCATTCTGAGGAGGCAATAATATTGTTCATATCTTGCATATGATTTTTACTTTGGGGGTTTCGTGAGTCATGACATTATTTTTGTCCGTGTTCAGTATTTGAAGTTAAGAGCTCTTCAACGGCAATCCTATACACATTACTTCTATGAAGCCACTGTTGGGGCTGGTCTGCCAATTATCAATACATTACAAGGTCTCCTCGAAACTGGTGACAAAATATTGCGCATTGAAGGCATCTTCAGGTATGCGTACTTTGTCTTTTTCTCTTAGCAAAAATTGAAAATAATACTAGAGTAGTTCCTTGTTTTAAGCATTTAAAATCTTGATGTTCCCAAATGCACACATTATGTTACGTTTAACACAAGTCTTGCCTTTATGATTTGCTGTTGCAGTGGCACTTTGAGTTATATCTTTAACAACTTTATAGGGACAAGAACTTTTAGTGAGGTGGTGGCTGAAGCAAAGCAGGCAGGTTATACTGAGCCGGATCCCAGGGATGATCTATCTGGAACAGATGTTTGTAGAAAGGTACAATGTGCTAAATTTTCGTCCAGTAAATTATGGAGGCTTCTAATGAGATGATGTTTTGTCCGTTTAATCGGCTTGAAGTTATTCAAATATGAGACGCTGTAGTTTGTATTATTAACAAAGATTTTCAACATCTTTGTACTGCTTTTGGCCCCCATTCCCAGACAACCTGAGCTATCATGATTTTTGCTTCATTGTTTTTGTGGTAAGATTTGGCTCCTAAGGTACCCCATTAAATGCAGGTGATAATTCTTGCTAGGGAATCTGGTCTTAAGCTGGAACTCTCTGACATCCCTGTTGAAAGCCTGGTGCCAGAACCATTGAAGGTAAAATGATATTTTAATATACCTCAGGAGGTGCAAAAGTTCACCTTTGATATGGAGTTTTGGATGATCTGTTTTCAGGATAGTGCATCGGCAGAGGAATTTATGCAAAAACTTCCACAATTCGATCATGACTTGGCTAAGAAAAGACAGATAGCTGAGGATGCTGGACAAGTAAGTATCTCTGAAATGCATTTCTTCTCTTGGTTCCTGTCTAATACCCACAATTTTGACCTATCTGAAAGTAGCCACAATTGATTCCTACATTAACCAGGTGGTTGTGTAGAGTCTACTGGGCATCCGCTGGCTATTAAAATGTTTCCATTTCTTTTTATTTTTCTTTCTTCTTTTGGAGGTATCCCATCTACAATGAGCAAATTAAGGAAGAAAAGAATTCAGAATTGTTAATTTTTATAAATATTAGAACAATATCATTTTGGTTTTCCTTTGACCCAGCATTATTTCTTCCATTTTTTCTGACATGCTGTGATGGGTTTGTGGATGTATCTCTCTGACTCTGTGTGATAACAACTGTACTCTGGATTTGTTTTTTAGGTAATAATGGTTGGGAAAATTTGAATATTTTTTTTTGTAGTTCTTTGTGCAGGAATATGCCAACCAAATATTATATAGCTGCTCTAGTTTTACAAGCGTTTTTTTTTTTTTTTTCGTTATTGGTTTGTTTAAATGATTATTCTTCTTCCTGATGACTTTGTGATATCTGAAGGTCCTGAGATACGTTGGGGTGGTCGACATGGTCAATCAGGAAGGGGCAGTGAAGCTGCAAACATACAAGAATGATCATCCTTTTGCTCAATTATCTGGGGCAGATAATATCATTGCTTTCACAACAACAAGGTACAAAGATCAGCCCCTAATAGTTCGTGGACCTGGTGCTGGTGCCGAAGTCACAGCTGGTGGAGTCTTCAGTGACATATTGCGGCTTGCCTCGTATCTCGGTGCCCCGTCATAGTGGAAAGCATGTAGCCAGAAGATCGTAGCGTCTGGTTCCTGTAGGCATTAATTCATGTGTTTCTGTCTTGGGGCACGCATTGATTATACTTATAATCATCATATATGTCGGCCTTTATTTAGTGGATGCAATAATTTGTCATATATGTAGGCTAATTTGTGAACTGGTTCTCCACATGAGAGTATAACTTTCCCATGCATGGTGATTTATTAGTTTATTTTGCAAAAATATGAGAAATATGAGAGAACATCTGTTTGTAGGAATTTTGTGTATTCCTTTTCTTGTAGAAGGTCATATTTATAATACAACGGAGTCTTATAAATAAAAATTTCTATTTCTATTTATAGTAGGGAATTAGGAATTAAAGTAAATTAATTATAATTATAATAGGAATTCTTGGTGTGTAAGGAAAGTAAGTCAATGATCCATAAATCACACTAACACTTCTCCTCACGTTGATATAGATGTCCCAATGCCTAATTGATCTAGTGAATTGTGGAACTCTCTTCTGGAAATCGCTTTTGTCAAAATATCTGTCAATTGATCATCGGATTTCACGAAAGAAAACTAAATCACTTTAGCCTCAAGCTTCTGTTTGATGAAGTGTTGATCCACCTCAACATGTTTAGTGCAATCATGTTGAATTGGATTCTATGCAATAACTATAACAACCTTGTTGTCACAAAAGAGATTCATTGTGGATGTAGGTTTATGCCCAAGTTTAGTAAGCAACTTCCTTAACCAAAGGAGCTCACAAGTCCTTTTAGTAACGTCTCTGAACTCGGCTTCTGCATTGGATAAAGCAACAACCTTTTGTTTCTTGTTCCTTCATGTCACCAAATTACCTCCCACAAATGTGAAGTAACCCGATGTGGATTTTCTATCAGTTACACTACCTGTCCAATCTGTATTTGAATAACCATCAATATTCATATGACCATGTTTTGAGAACATAAGTCATTTTCCGGGTGCAAACTTAAAAAATCTAAGCATCCGAAGAACTGCATTCATGTGGTCTTCATTTAGAGAATGCATAAATTGATTGACAACGCTCACCGCATAAGCAATGTATGGTCAAGTATGTGACATATAGATCAATCTTCCCAGTAACATTTAGTATCTTTCTTTGTTAGTTCGAACTTGATCTAGTGGTTTTCCAAGATGATGATTTTGAACAATAGGAGTGTCCACAGGTTTGCAATCTAGCATTCCTGTGTCTGTCAACAAGTCCAAGACAGATTTCCTTTGAGAAAGAAATATGCCTTACTGCAATCAGGTCACCTCAATCCCTAAGAAATACTTGAGTCTACCTAGATCCTTCATCCCAAACTCAGTAGCCAAATAGTTTTATAGTTTAGATATTTCATATTTATCATTCCCAGTAATAATCATATCATCAACATAGATTATTAAAGATGTTACCTTCCCTTTCTAATGTTTCAAGAATAGAGTATGATATGAGTTACTCTGTTTGAACACATTGTTCTTCATTGCGATGGTGAACTGTCCAAACCATGCCCACAGTGACTGTTTTGATCCGTACAATGCCTTTTGTAATCTACATATTGTTCCAGTTTGAGTAGTATTATATCTATGAGGAATATCCATATACACCTCCTTCATGAGTTCTCCATGCAAGAAAGCATTCTTTATATCAAACTAGTGTAGTGGCCAATCCAAATTAGCTACAAGGGACAATAAGACTATAACAGTATTCAACTTTGCAACTAGTGCAAAGGTTTCTTCATAGTCTATACCATAGGTCTGTGTGGTTTCTTCATAGTCTATACCATAGGTTTGTGTGTACTCTTTTGCCACAAGTCTTGCCTTATATCGCTCAATAGATCCATCATCATTGTGTCTTATAGTAAACACCCATCTACATCTGACAGTCCTTTTTCCTTGTGGTATAGTCTCTAGTGTCCAAGTCTGATTTTTCTCAAGAGCTTTCATCTATTCTTTTATAGCTTTGACCTATTTAGGATATTTCAATGCTTCAGCAACCTTGGTTGGAATATGGATAGTAGACAACTAATGCACAAAAGCCTTGAGTGGTTTAGACAGTTTTTTAGTGGATACATGATTTGCAATTGGATACTTGGATGTCTTGCTAATATCAGGTGAATAACGGTTTGGTGGCTTCCCACTATTTTTCCTGAAAGGTAATTGATATCCAATAAATTTATCCTCTAAATGCACAATTGTAGTAGGAGTAGTTACCTCAAAGATATTCTCGGGAGATTGGTCTGTCGGTACTATTAAGTGAGAGGGGGGTCTTCATCTTGTTGTTCTGAGTTGTCTATAGAAGTAGGACTGGAATAAAAAACAGCTTTGCATAGGTCATGTGATTGATCGTTGTGCATGGGTGATTGATCATTATTCGTCAAAAGCATTTGTGTGAGCTAGACTCGGGATGATCGATCGTCGGGTTTGGGCTATCAATAATGTCTTGGCCGAGAGCAATCTCATGCTCCAGACCTCGGGGTGATCGATCGTCAGAGCAAGAATGATCGATTGCTTCCAAGTTGCTTCAATTGTCCTCCTCACTGCGTATCTCCCCATGAAGAGTAGAATTGGATGCAGGGTCATGGAAGAACATCCATTATTCCAGAAAGGTCACATCCAAAGTGACATAGGTACGCCGAGTAGGAGGGTGATAATAGCGATAGTGTTTGTACAAATTTCAACATAGGGAATATTCGCGGGTTAATTCCTCCATCTTCGTTCTTCCTTCTCTCTCTTCCTTAATCCCAACAAAATAAGTATGAGTAAATAGACCACACCCGCAGGGTGTTGGCCAAAGGCCCTCTGATGCCTAAGTTAGTTCAATTGGATCTTTGAGAAAATATACGACAATGGCTCAAATGGATGGAGTTTTCTCTCACGAGGAGAGTCAGGTGGCCTTAGCCGTGTGTGGTGGCACTTAGCAGTATGGGTGAGAAGAGAGAGGGAGTGGTGATGGTAAGGAGAGAGAGAGAGAGAGAGAGAGAGAGAGAGAGAGAGAGGATTTTTGTAGGGTTTGAGAATTGAGTTTAGAATTACCTTGAATGTCTTTTGTGGCTATGTATTTATAGCCTCCTTGTGTGCTAGGGTTTTGGGAGAATAATCCTTATTTGATTAGGATTATTCTTCCCCAAAAAGATGATAGGAATTACTCCAAGAGATTGGGTGGAGATTGGTTCCTTGATTTATGGAGATATTTCTATCTTAAATCAAAGATAATTTTCCTAATTAAATAGGAATTAATTAGGGTAATTAGTTTGACCTAAGAAATATTTCTTTTCCACGTGTCGTCTTCTTATTGGCTAGTGAAATATATGCTCCCACAGGTAGCCTTTCTAAAGAGTGGCATAACCCCAAAAAAAACACAACAAAGTGCACATGGATCAAGTTTGCTTTGTTGATTTTTGTGGAGATGAACGAAGGCCATACATTCAAAAATGCAATGAGTAAGCACCAAAACAGAGGGCAGAGGCCTGTGTTGCACGAGCACTTGTAATGGAGTTTTGAAATTCAAGACCCCAAAAGGAATGCAGTTGATAAGGTGGACGATAGTGATGACAACATCATCCCAGTAATGACGAGGAACATGGCCACCAATGAGAAAATGGCGGGCTGTTTCACGGAGATGACGATTCTTTCGTTCAGCAACACCATTTTGTTGTAGTGTTTGGGGGCAAGTTGTCTCATGGATAATGTCATGTGTCTGGAAGTAAGTCTGAAAGTCATGATTAACAAATTCTCCACAGTTGTAGGAGAGAAGAATCTGTATTGGAGCATTGAACTATGTTTCCATCTGTTTGTAAAAGAATTGGAACATGGAAAACACTTCATTCTTTTTTTTCATCAAATAAAGACATGTCATCCTTGTACAATCATCGACGAATGTGACAAACCAATGAATACCGGAATCAATAGAACTAGGTAAAGGTCCCAAACATCATACTGAATGAAAGCGAAAGGAACATTACTTTTATTCATACTTAAATGATAGGATGCTTGGTGACTCTTGGCTAAAATGCAAGTGTCACATTTAAAATCTGAATATTTAAATACATAAAATAACTCGAGTAATAAGTGTCTCATATAACCAAAATATGGATGCCCCAAACATCGGTGCCATAGCCAAATCTGTGGGTGTTTGTCATTATACGGATGTTTCACACTGTTGGCACCTCCTATACTGAAGTCATCCACATAGTACAACCCCCTTATTTTAGTACCACGTCCAATGAACTCCTTAGTGAGAATATTCTGTAGTTAAAATAAATTGGGATAAATCAGTGCACAACAATTTAGATGCTCAGTTGCCTAACTAACAGACATTAATTTATTGGAAAAAAATAGAACGAGTAGAGTATTGGAAAGGGACAGAGAAGGTGAAACAGCGACAGTGCCAACCCCTATCATAGGATAAGTAAGTCCATTCACATTGCCAATACTTGTGTGTCAGGGTAGAGTGGTTCGCAAAAAATCATTCGAATTAAAGGTCATATGATCAGTGGCGCCATAATCAATTACCTGAGTCATCCGGAGGCGTGGAGCTATTAGTAGGATCTACCTGAGGAAACAAGGCTAATTGGGGTTCAGTAGAGACAAAAGCAACACAGTCGGAACTACTAGCAATTTCTCTAAGCTTCCAAGCGCGGAGTTCCTCCCACAATTCAGGATAACCATTCAACCTAAAACAGTTGTCATGGGTATGTTTGGGGTTGCCACAGTGAGTGCAACCACTTCCATCAGTCGGAGCCTAGGGACAGGAAGGTGGGATGGTTTTAGGAGGTGGCGCACCAACACCAGTGACATATGACTAGATTTGAATGTGGGCCGCGGTAGAGGAATTCTGGGACTGTCTTCGGCAACTAGTTGGCCCTGATCGAGGAGCACTCTTGACTGCTAAGCCCGCTCCAGTGGGTGCCAATGAACCCATCATCACAGCTTGTCAAAGATCTTCACGGCAGACATAGACATAAGCTTGGTCCACAGTGGGGAAAGGAGTCATGTGAAGAACGTCGCTTCAAGCCTTATCAAGACGGTTATCAAAGCCATCCAAAAATATGTAAACTCGATCTTCCTGTAAAAGATCATTATAGTGCTGGATATCACATTCATACTTCATCATATTGGCACGACGAGAATCAATCTCTCTCTATAAACTTTGGAGAGTATTTTAATAGGTTTCAATGGAACCACCAGCTTGTCGCATATGGGAGACTTGTCGTTTCAGATCATACACCTGAGAGATGTCAGTGCCATCATAGTAGGTCGTGGCAATTGCATCTTACACTGTTTTTGCCGTTGGAAAGCAAATGAAATTGCCAATCAAGCTCTACTCCAGAGAATTGATAAGCCATCCCTTCACTATGAAGTTCTCGGTGTGCCAGCCATGAAACGTTGGAGCAGTCGAATGAGGTTATGGAAGATCACCATTAATATATCCCAATTTATCTTTGTCGGAGATATACATCTCAACAACTTAGGAGCATAGGGCATAGTTGGTGCCATCCAACTTGATGCTGATATGTACAGTGGAAGCTTCATAGGTAATCGTGTCATTGGGATCGTCATTTGTGTTGGGTTAGGGGTCATCATCTAAGTTAGGTTCGGGGTTGTCGTTTGAGTCAAGTTCGGGGTTGTCTAGGTAGGATCCTAATTTAAGATCGAGTTCAAGGTCTGAATTTGCATCTTTAGGAGTTGAAACACCTAGGCACTTAACTCGACTATGATTGGTTGAGAATGAGAGGAGGAAGCAGCGATGCTACTGCTGTGAGTATTAGGAGAGTCATCCTCACCCATGATGGCGGCTAGGGTTTTAGAAACTAGAGTCAGCAATCACAAGATCGTCGCTTCAATACCATGCTAAAATATGAGAACCATGAGAGAATATTTGTTTGTATGAATTTTTTGTGCATTCCTTTACTTGTGTGACAGGACCTGCCTCGAATTCCTCAAAATTCGGAACAAATCCTGTGGTATTTCCGATATCATATTGATGATGGGCCCACTTACTGAAAGAGACGAGACTTTCTACCGAAATTTCGGCAGAGTCTCCCCTGAAAAATGGACATTCCCAAAATTTTCAACATGTTCAAACACATTTAAAATTCTCATCCGGCAGCATGCACAAGATAATATCATGCAATTTACATATTAGGCATCCGGCCTTACAATCAACCCTAACATGGACAATATCATAGCAGTAAAAAGAATTTCAGTTTACAAACGAAAATAAATTTCAACAAAAGAGAAACGATTAAAAGTTTATCCTACATAGCTCGGGCTCGGAATTCATGACTTGATAC